CAAATAATGGGGACTTTCTGAAGTTTGTGGAAATGCTGGGTATCTTTGATGGAATCATGAAGGAGCATGTAAGGAGAGTACAGTCCAAAGAAACACATGTGCACTACCTCGGTAAAAGAATCCAGAACGAAATCATTGACATGCTGGCACAAGAGATCGAGCAGACAGTGTGCAGTGATCTAAAAGCAGCCAAATATTTTTCTATAATTTTAAACTGCACACCAGACAAGAGCAAAACAGAGCAGATGACCAGGGTGGTGCGTTTAGTTTCAACCGAGGATGAAACCCCTCAGCGCCACGAGATGGGAGAACCGGGTGGATGTCACGTTCGTTTACAGACGGGTCAGACCAAGGCGCAGCGTGATATGCATACATGTTTATTTAACGAATAAACACAACGACAAAACAATAAACCAACGATACGTGACGTCCTAAGGTACACACAACAAACCTCACACGGAACAAGATCCCACAACCCACTAGTGCCAATAGGCTGCCTAAGTATGGTCCCCAATCAGAGACAATGAGCGACAGCTGCCTCTGATTGGGAACCACACCGGCCAACATAGATCTAGACATACTAGACTTATAACATAGACCTACACCACATAGAAAATACACACCCTGACTCAACAAATAAGAGTCCCCAGAGTCAGGGCGTGACAGTACCCCCCCCCCCACCAAAGGTGCGGACTCCGACCGCACAACCTTTACTAAACAGGGTAGGGGCCGGGTGGGCATTCCGCCTCGGAGGCGGATCCGGCTCCGGGCGTGACAACCACCTATTCTCCGCCTCCCTGTTGCGCCCCTGGTCTGGTCTGGACCTCGGCGCGCTGCTTCCCCTCTCTTTCCTCCCACTATACTCCAAGCCCTGTCTGGACACTGGTGTGGGAGACCCCGAACCTGGAGAGGGGCTGACGTCTGGGTCTGGACTGGAGCCGCTGACCGGAGCTGGACCGGGAACCGGTGGAGCGGACTGCTCAGGTTCCGGACTGGAGCCGCTGACCGTAGCTGGACTGGACCCCGGTGGAGTGGACTGCTCTGGCTCCGGAGTGGAGCAACTGACCGGAGCTGGATCAGGCACCGGTGGAGCGGACTGCTCTGGCTCCGGACTGGAGCTGCTGACTGGTGCCGGACCAGGCACCGGTGGAACGGGCACGGGCCGTGCCGGACTGGACACACTCACCACTGGTCTGGTGCGAGGAGCAGGCACGGGCCGAACCGGACTAGGAACATGCACCACTAGCTTGGTGCGAGGAGCAGGAACGGGCCGGGCCGGACTGGCGACACGCACCACTGGCTTGGTGCGAGGAGCGGGAACAGGCCGGGCCGGACTGGCGACACGCACCACTGGCTTGGTGCGAGGAGCGGCAACAGGCCGGGCCGGACTGGCGACGCGCACCACTGGCTTGGTGCGAGGAGCGGGAACAGGCCGGGCCGGACTGGCGACGCGCACCACTGGCTTGGTGCGAGGAGCAGGAACAGGCCGGGCCAGGCTGGGGACGCGCACCACTGGTTTGGTGTGAGGAGCAGGAACAGGCCGGGCCGGGCTGGCGACGCGCACCACTGGCTTGGTGCGAGGAGCAGGAACAGGCCGGGCCGGGCTGGCGACGCGCACCACTGGCTTGGTGCGAGGAGCAGGAACAGGCCGGGCCGGGCTGACGACGCGCACCACTGGCTTGGTGCGAGGAGCAGGAACAGGCCGGGCCGGGCTGGGAACGCGCACCACTGGCTTGGTGCGAGGAGCAGGAACAGGCCGGGCCTGGCTGGGAACACGCACCACTGGTTTGGTGCGAGGAGCAGGAACAGGCCGGACCGGGCTGGCGACGGGCACCACTGGCTTGGTGCGAGGAGCAGGAACAGGCCGGGCTGGGCTGGCGACGCGCACCACTGGCTTGGTGCGAGGAGCAGGAACGGGCCGTACCGGACTGTGGAGGCGGACTGGAGGTCTGAAGCGGAGAACTGGCACAACCTGTCCTGGCTGGATGCCTACTTCCGCACAGTATGTGTGAGGCATTAGCACAGGACGCACAGGGCTGTGCACGCGCACTGGCGATACAGTACGTAGAACCGGCGCAGGATATGCGGGACCGAGGAGGCGTACTGGAGACCAGGAGCTTTGAGCCGGCACACCCCGTCCTGGCTGGATGCCCATCTTCGCACGGCACGTGCGTGGTGCTAGCACAGGACGTACAGGACTGTGCCGGCACACTGGCGACACAGTACGTAGCTCCGCAAAAATATTGGGGCTGTCTCTCGGGCTTCTTCCTCGGCCGCCGCCTTCTGCGTTGCCGCTGCTCCTCTCTATACCGGGCCTCCACTGTCTCCTCCCAAGGACAGCGATCCATCCCAGGAAGAAGAGGAGTCTGTTTGGCTACGAGGGAGAGGATGAGCCTGTGACTGACCTTCAGCAGAAATTCAAAGTACATTTCTTTAATCAGATTCTTGATTTTGCTATCCAGTCCTTCAACGAGCGCTTTACGCAGCTCGAAGAGCACAGCAGTATTTTCAGCATTCTGTACAACATCCCCACCATCAAGGACATGGACACTGCAGCACTAACCAGCGACTACACAACACTGGAGAGGGCCCTTACTTACAGGGATTCCAGGGACATCCACGCAAAATATCTGTGTAATGAGCTCAAAGTCTTGAGCAGGAGACTGGACAGTGAGGCAGAACCACTCAACACACTCGAGTACATAACCAGACACCAAATGGCCTCCTTGTATCCCAATGCCTTTTTTGCCCTGAGAGTTCTTCTCACACTCCCGGAGACAGTGGCAAGTGGAGAGCGCACATTCTCCAAGCTCAAACTCATCAAAAACTACCTGCGCTCTACTATGAGTCAAGAGAGACTCAATGGACTCGCCACCATATCAATTGAGCATGAGTTGTCTTACAAAATCAACCTCTAACAAGCAGTGCATGCTTTTGCTGCCTGGAAGGCCAGGCGAGTCAACATGTCTTTGAATAAAAGGTAAGCGTTGATCATACACTCGCATTAATTTGTAAGATTACTCAATTATCTATCACCTGTTTACTTGTATTTTTTAGATTTAAATAGACTTCATCCTAATCTCACTCGCTCTCTCACTCTCTTTCTCTCTCTCTGTCCCCCTCTCTCTCTCTCCCCCTCTCTCTCTCCCCCTCTCTGTCTCTTTCAGATGATTTGATTTCATGACCATTGACAGCTACCGAGAGAAAACATTGCTGACTGCAGAGGAAAGAGGCCACTCTAGGCGGAGAGTAAATCAATAAATGCTGAAATTGATGTTGGACAATCAAATTCGCTATGTAAATAAACGAAATTCGTTAAGGCTGGGTCATTGACATAAAGCTTATTTTACACTGCTCCAGCGAAACGAGGCCCGCATTGCATCTATGAAAGCACTTGTTTCTAAAGCTCAAATGATCTCACTCTTTTTTAGTTCTACAGGAATATTAAAATATATGTTAAATATGTTATATAATAGTGTTATTTTTATTGTAATTGTAACAATTATGGGATCGTGCCATGTGTGATATCAGGTGGCATATTATTAATAAGAAACTCGGTTTCCTACTATAGGTAGTTGGCTGCCAAGTGATATCAACATTGTAACTCTCCGATGCAGGGGTTAAAGTAAAATTCCCTTCTACCTGGTAAGGGACCTCCTATATGTGCACGCCTGCACCAACATTCTTTATGGGCATAATCATAAAATTACATATATATTGGAGGCTTTCTTCCTATTCCAAAAAATAAGTGGTAAGTCTACCTGTTTGACCGACACAATTATGCTATCCATAGATGTCGGTATAGCCAAATACTCCAATACTGTCGCATGCACTGATTAAATACCTCCATGCCTGGGAAGGGCTTGGTGTGTTTAGTTAAAACAAGGGCTCGAATTGAGTGAGGGTATCACATACCCTTTGTTAAAGAAAAGGGCAAAAAGGATCTCTATTGTTTGCTTTATATTTTGAAATAAATGCATAAAAACGTATACAAATTATATCACGCGTTCTATAACGATGCTTAACTCGGTGATGCCTTATGGTGGAAACAAGCTCTAAAAGGCCTGCGAAAGATGTGACTCTGATGCATGTGGGGATAGTTTGATTCCTCTCTGACATTCTGAAGCTGAGTTGCAGCCTATAATATTCGAGGAGATAAAAAAAATTGACTTTGCTATTCTATCCCTATTAATTTAGCTTTTCTCTTTCTGAAAAGAGAAGATGTTTGTTTAAACCCAGGCAGCTTTTAGGGAAGCACTTCTGTTGTTGGGTTATACAATGGATAAGTAGCCAGCAGTTGAAGATTACATTTTTCTGCATCGGTAGAGCCTCTGTCTGGGTGGAAAGGTAACTTTTTTAAAGTGCCATGCTTAGATTCATAAGGATGTCTATGATGTAATTATTTGCAAACAGAGTTGCAAACAAGTCACTCTGGTTTGACATTGAGAAATATGCGGGGCTGCAGATTTTTGTGTTGCCTAGGGCGACAGAACGTCCAGGGCCGGCCCTGCTCATCTCTTCACCATACATATACATCCGCGGTAACAGGTAGCGTAGAAAGAAGTGCGACCAGTGCACAGGTAAAAGGGTACGGACAAAGACAGTACCACATATAGAACAATGGCTTAGTTATATTAAAAATAAAAATAAAATAAAAACTTTACCGTCCTTACTCTGTGGTATCGGTATCTTCTGTCAGTAGTCAGAGTTCGCGGGAAATATTAATGCGATGGATTTGAGATATATGATCCTAAGGGGTAGATGTTTCATGCAGCGATTTCATATCTCAATTCTGAACAATTGTCTTGCGAGTGAAAATGTAATATGATCTTAGTCATTATCATATAATCAAGTATTATCTCTTTCGATGCTCTGCAAACCAAAAATATAAATACTGTTGGATTGGCAAAATATCAGACACCCCTGTCTTTTACATTGGTTGCATCCTCTTTGGCGCGAAATCATGAAGCCCCGCCTTCATGATACAGTCAGTCACACACATACAGACTGCTGCATGCTTGTGTCATTTGCAATAGCTAGCTAGTTCTTCCTAAAACAAATATCCCAGGGAAATAGTTTATTTTGCTACTTATCTAGTTTGGCAACAAAGTTTGGTAGTTTTTCAATATGAGTTGGTAAGTCCTGTTTTGTTTCAAAACTGTCTTTATGCAAGCAGCTACGGTTAGAGATAACCTAGGGCTAGGTTAACATTAGTACCCTAGCTAGCTAAATAGCAATGCCGCTGGTAATAACGTTAGTGTGGTTTTTCGTGTTTCATAGCTTCAAGGCTTTCTGAACTGCTAACTTGCCATACAGTTTACACATGCACGGTTATTTGTCTCACTCATTTAATATTTACAACACAACAGCGTAAAGGAAGAAACCCGAAGCGTGTCTCCTAATTGTCCGAAGCCTAACGAATCTGAAGAACCGCTGGGTACAGCTATGGAGGAGACTTTGCCTGTAAATGGTAAGTAAAGACACTCCTTCATTTGCCATCGGTGGCTTACTAGCTTGTAGTAGCTAATACCCTTAGAGGTTGCTACCTAATGAGAATTCTTCCCTTCATATAAATGATAACCATATACGCGATATATACAAAAGTATGTGGACATCCCTTCAAATGAGTGAATTCGGCTATTTCAGCCACACCGTTGCTGACGTGTATAAAGTCGAGCACACAGCCATGCAATCTCCACAGACAAACGTTGTCAGTAGAATGGCCTTACTGACGAACTGTGACATTAAACGTGGCACCGTCATAGAATGGCACCATTCCAACAAGTCAGTAAGTCATTTTTTTTGCCCTGGTCAACAGTAAGGGCTGTTATTGTGAAGTGGAAACATCTGGGAGGAACAACGGCCAGCTGCGAAGTGGTAGGCCACACAAGCTCACAGAACTTGACCGCAGAGTGATGAAGCGCGTAGCGCGTACAAATCATCTGTCCTCGGTTGCAATACTCACTACCAAGTTCCAAACTGCCTCTGGAAGCAACATCAGCACAATAACTGTTCTTCAGGAGCTTCATGAAATGGGTTTCCATGGCCGAGCAGCATACAGAAATGGTTTGTCGAGATCGGTGTGGAAGAACTTGACTGGCCTGCACAGAGCCCTGACCTCAACCCCATTGAACACCTTTGGGATGAATTGGAATGCCGGCTACATGCCAGGCTTAATCGCCCTACATCAGTACCCGACCTCACTAATGCTCTTGTGGCTGAATGGTAGCGAGTCCCTTGTGGCTGAATGGTAGCGAGTCCCCATAGCAATGTTCCAACATCTAGTGGAAAGCCTTCCCAGGAGAGTGGAGGCTGTTATCGCAGCAAAGGGGGGACCAACTCCATATTAATGCCCATGATTTTGGAATGAAATGTTCGACGAGCAGGTGTCCACATACTTTTGGTCATGTAGTGTACGTTAACCATATCACCACTCAGCAGCTGCAAGTGTGGAAGCTGAAGATGTAGAGTGTGCAGTTGTCATCACAAAAGAGATGGAAGAAGAGGAGAAGCAGTTGATGGAGAAAGGAGAGAAACAAGAAGAGGAGATGATGAAAAAGGTTAGTAAAAAAAATGTCTGAACAACTGTAGTGTTCGGCAAATGTAATATTTTCATTGGTCAACATTTGCTCTTTTGTTTTCTAGGCTCGAGAAGCTCGGGAGAAGGAATCTCATGACATTCGCTTCAAGAGACTGCAACACTTGCTGGAGAAAAGTAACATCTATTCCAAATTCCTTCTTACAAAGATGGAGCAACAGCAGCATGAGGTAAGTCCTAATACCAGTGGAGTGGAATATTAGAAGTACCTCTTGCACAGCTTATTGTACAACTACTACCTAACCATAGATTTGATTTGATCATGTTATAGCTAATGAGTGACAGGTGAACAAATACGAATGAGCACAGGAATCTAGGCAGTCACTAGCTAAGCTCCTTAGTTTTGCTATTTCCAGTCCCCCTTTGGGGTCATGTTCATGCATAACTGCTGTAGCTATCCCTAATTGGGGGATAATTGCTTTCTAACTCGTGTAATTGTCTGAAAATGCACGGAAACACGTAGATCTACCCAAGTAGTTGGAATAGTCTTTGAAGAAGCAGTGTCTAATGGTACATTTTCCCTATAAACCCAGGAAATGCTGAAGAAAGAGAGACTGGAAAAGAAGACTAATGTGAGTTTTACATTCATTTTGAGTGTTTTTTTGTTATGTTTCTGATTATTGCTGCCAGAAGCTCCTTAATCACTAAACATATACAATTTTCTTGTCACAGGGCACTGGCAAAAAGACTGGGAGAGGTAGGCAGCACTTGTCCTGTTACTTTGCATCATGACCATTGAAATCCTCTCTAGTTGATGTTGAATTTATATTGATGATTTCCGACTCTTGAATTTGTCTTTCTGTTTTTTCAGTTGAAAGAAAGAAAAGGGAGAGGGAGGAAGATTACAAAATTGCTGATGTCATGTCTAAAGAGGTCAGGGCGTCCGTTTCTTTTGAAATGTAGACAAAGGCCTATTTCACGCTATTCAACTTTTTTTGCATAGGTCATTATTTCTTTGCTTTTTGTTTCAGGAAATTATGTCCAAGGCCAAGAAACCTAAAGTGGAGGACGAGGTAAAGGACTTTTGTTTATACACAGCAAGGATCATTTTTGGACTGATGGTTACTCTTACAGACTCAAGAATTTGGAAAGTGTTGAGTTGAGTCCTAGATGTCCCAGATCCTCTGTCAATATATCTGTCCATGGATAATAGGAGGTCCCCGGGAAGAAGAAGCTAGAAGCGGAGGACATTGAAAAGATGAGTGACTCAAATGCTGACATCAAGGGCCGTCTGTCGGAGGCTGTGAGAGACAATGCCAAACAACTGCTGGACCCAGACAGGAAAGTGAACGGGCAGGCGGTGCCTGCCCAGCAGCCCCTGCTCTTCACTGGGGGAGTCATGAGGTCGTACCAGATAGAGGGCGTGGAGTGGCTCAGGGTGAGTGGACAGTTGATTATGTACATTTTGTTTGTTCATGGATATATTTAATTATAACCTTGGTGTGTTTGTGTATTTTGTTTTCTCCAGATGTTGTGGGAGAATGGTATCAATGGGATCCTGGCAGATGAGATGGGTCTGGGGAAGACCATCCAGTGCATCGCCCATGTGGCCATGATGCTGGAGAGAAAGGTGCTGGGGCCCTTCCTGGTGGTGGCCCCCCTGTCCACTCTGCCCAACTGGATCAACGAGTTCAAGCGCTTCACTCCAGAGGTAAAAACTATTCAAAGTATTACCGAAGTTGTGCAATTGATACCATTTTAAAGTTAATATGTCATGTGTATACCAATTCCAATTACTGATTTTTGATTTCACTGTTAAATTGTCTTTGTTCATCTTGAATTGTAAGGTGTCAGTGCAGCTGTACCATGGGCCTGCTAAGGAGAGGATGGCGTCGTTAAAGAAGATTCGTAAGCCCCAGGGGCCTCACAACATGTGCCCTGTGGTGGTCACCTCCTTTGAGATTGCCATGATTGACAGGAAGTTTCTGCAGGTAGGCCCTACTCATATCATCACTATGTAAGCTGTAAAAGTTACATGTATTACTTTTCTGTACTTGGTATTCAGAAGTAGCTGATGCATTGACATCAAAAGCAAATTTGCCTACCTCAAGTTGTGCAACCTATTTAACCCATTCAGCCTCACTGATTACCCCCCTCTTGCTGTTCCTCCTCAGCGCTTCCACTGGAAGTACCTGATCGTGGACGAGGGCCACAGGATCAAGAACCTGAACTGCCGACTGGTGAGGGAACTGAAGATGCTGCCCACGGACAACAAACTGCTCCTGACGGGCACGCCGCTGCAGAACAACCTGGCTGAGCTCTGGTCACTGCTCAACTTCCTCCTGCCTGAGGTGTTTGATGACCTCAAGAGGTAAGGGACATGTCTATCTGTGTGTTTGCCTCTACTGTTGGAATGGGGCTATATCTAATATTTTTTTTATTTTGCCTTGTAAACTTAATTGCACTTTACCTATATATCTACAGCTTTGAGTCGTGGTTTGACATCGACACCATCGGATCGGATGCAAAAAAAGTTGTGGCGAACGAACGAGAGCAGAACATCCTGCACATGCTTCACCAGGTAAGCCCTAGCCCTCTAAGTGACTAGCTCTGCAATTCACTTGGAAAGGTAAAACGGTTAAACCAGTAGGGAGATTGTCCATAAACTCTCTTATCTGCAGAAGGCCCTCTTACCAACTGTGCTATTATGTGTGTTTTTTCGTGTTATTTGTAATTTATTCTGTACATAATGTTGCTGCCACTGTCTCTTATGACCAAAAAGAGCTTCTGGATATCAGGACAGTGATTACTCACCTCGTATTGGACGAAGATTTTTTTCTTCAACGAGTCAGATGCGAAGGATATTCTACAGACACCCGACAAGGCCCAAATCTCTGTCATTCGCATGAGAGACTGCGATATCGTGGACGTAGGTCGGGGTGCCTTTTAAGGATCTGACGGCAAGCGAGTAAACTGCCTCTTCCATCAATCCTATTAGCCAACGTACAATCATTGGAAAACAAAATGGACGACCTAAGATCAAGGATATCCTACCATCGGGACATTAAACTGTAATCTCATGTTTCACCGAGTCGTGGCTGAACGACGACATGGATAACATACAGCTGGCGTGATATACACTACATCGGCAGGATAGAACGGCTGACTCCGGTAAGACAAGGGGTGGCGGTCTATGTACAGTGAGGGGGAAAAAAAGTATTTGATCCCCTGCTGATTTTGTACGTTTGCCCACTGACAAAGAAATTATCAGTGTATAATTTTAATGGTAGGTTTATTTGAACAGTGAGAGACAGAATAACAACAACAAAAATCCAGAAAAACACATGTCAAAAATGTTATAAATTGATTTGCATTTTAATGAGGGAAATAAGTATTTGACCCCCTCTCAATCAGAAAGATTTCTGGCTCCCAGGTGTCTTTTATACAGGTAACGAGCTGAGATTAGGAGCACACTCTTAAAGGGAGTGCTCCTAATCTCCGTTTGTTACCTGTATAAAAGACACCTGTCCACAGAAGCAATCAATCAATCAGATTCCAAACTCACCACCATGGCCAATACCAAAGAGCTCTCCAAGGATGTCAGGGACAAGATTGTAGACCTACACAAGGCTGGAATGGGCTACAAGACCATCGCCAAGCATCTTGGTGAGAAGGTGACAACAGTTGGTGCGATTATTCGCAAATGGAAGAAACACAAAATAACTGTCAATCTCCCTCTGCCTGGGGCTCCATGCAAGATCTCACCTCGTGGAGTTGCAATGATCATGAGAACGGTGAGGAATCAGCCCAGAACTACACGGGAGGATCTTGTCAATGATCTCAAGGCAGCTGGGACCATAGTCACCAAGAAAACAATTGGTAACACACTACGCCGTGAAGGACTGAAATCCTGCAGCGCCCGCAAGGTCCCCCTGCTCAAGAAAGCACACATACATGCCCATCTGAAGTTTGCCAATGAACATCTGAATGATTCAGAGGAGAACTGGGTGAAAGTGTTGTGGTCAGATGAGACCAAAATGGAGCTCATTGGCATCAACTCAACTCGCCGTGTTTGGAGGATGAGGAATGGTGCCTATGACCCCAAGAACACCATCCCCACCGTCAAACATGGAGGTGGAAACATTATGCTTTGGGGGTGTTTTTCTGCTAAGGGGACAGGAGAACTTCACCGCATCAAAGGGACGATGGACAGGGCCATGTACCGTCAAATCTTGGGTGAGAACCTCCTTCCCTCAGCCAGGGCATTGAAAATGGGTAGTGGATGGGTATTCCAGCATGACAATGACCCAAAACACAAGGCCAAGGCAACAAAGGAGTGGTTCAAGAAGAAGCACATTAGGGTCCTGGTGTGGCCTAGCCAGTCTCCAGACCTTAATCCCATAGAAAATCTGTGGAGGGAGCTGAAGGTTCGAGTTGCCAAACGTCAGCCTCGAAACCTTAATGACTTGGAGAAGATCTACAAAGAGGAGTGGGACAAAATCCCTCTTGAGATGTGTGCAAACCTGGTGGCCAACTACAAGAAACATCTGACCTCTGTGATTGCCAACAAGGGTTTTTCCACCAAGTACTTAGTCATGTTTTGCAGAGGGGTCAAGTACTTATTTCCCTCATTAAAATGCAAATCAATTTATAACATTTTTGACATGCGTTTTTCTGGATTTTTTGGTTTGTTATTCTGTCTCTCACTGTTCAAATAAACCTACCATTAAAATTATAGACTGATCATTTCTTTGTCAGTGGGAAAACGTACAAAATCAGCAGGGGATCAAATACTTTTTTCCCCTCACTGTATATTTGTAAACAGCTGGTGCACGAAATCTAATACTAAGGAAGTCTTGAGGTTTTGCTCGCCTGAGGTAGAGTATCTCATGTTAAGCTGTACACCACACTATTTACCAAGAGTTTTCTTCTATATTTTTCGTAGCTGTCTATTTACCACCACAAACCGATGCTGGCACTAAGATTGCACTCAATGAGCTATATGAGGCCATGAGCAAACAGGAAAACGCTCATCCAAAGGCAGCGCTCCTAGTGGCCGGGGACTTTAATGCAGGGAAACTTAAATCCGTTCTACCTCATTTCTACCAGCATGTTAAATGTGCAACTTAAGGAAAAAAACTCTAGACCACCTTTAATCCACACACAGAGATGTGTACAAAGCTCTCCCTCGCCCTCCATTTGGCAAATCTGACCATAATTCTATCCTCCTGATTCCTGCTTATAAGCAAAAACTAAAGCAGGAAGCACCAGTGACTCTGTTAAGTAAGTGGTCAGATGACGCAGATGCTAAGCTACAGGACTGTCTTGCTAGCACAGACTGGAATATGTTCCGGGATTCTTCCGATGACATTGAGGAGTACGCCCCATCAGTCACTGGCTTCATCAATAAGTGCGTCGATGACATCGTCCCCACAGTGACCGTACGTACATACCCCAACCAGATTCCGTCGATTACAGGAAACATCCGCACTGAGCTAAAGGGTAGAGCTGCTGCTTTCAAGGAGCGGGACTCTAACCCAGACGCTTGTCAGAAATCCCGCTATGCCCTCCGACGAACCATCAAACAGGCAAAGAGTCAATACAGGCTAAGATTGAATCATACTACACCGGCCTCAACGCTCGTCGGATGTGGCAGGTCTTGCAAACTATTACAGACTACAAAGGGAAGCACAGCCGCGAGCTGCCCAGTGACACGAGCCTACCAGACGAGCTAAATCACTTCTATGCTCGCGTCGAGACAAGCAACACTGACGCATGCATGAGAGCACCAGCTGTTCCGGATGACTATGTGATCACGCTCTCCATAGCCAATGTGAGTAAGACTTTTAAGCAGGTCAACATTCACAAGGCTGCAGGGCCAGACGGATTACCAGGACCTGTACTCCGAGCATGTGCTGACCAACTGGCAAGTGTCTTCACTGACATTTTCAACATGTCCCTGACTGAGGCTGTAATACCAACATGTTTCAAGCAGACCACCATAGTCTCTGTGCCCAAGAACACTAAGATAACCTGCCTAAATGACTACCGACCTGTTGCACTGACGTCTGTAGCCATGAAGTGCTTTGAAAGGCTGGTCATGGCTCACATCAACACCATTATCCCAGAAACCCTAGACCCACTCCAATTTGCATACCGCCCCAACAGATCCACAGATGATGCAATCTCTATTGCACTCCACACTGCCCTTTCCCACCTGGACAAGAGGAACACCTACGTGAGAATGCTATTCATTGACTACAGCTCAGCGTTCAACACCATAGTGCCCTCAAAGCTCATCACTAAGCTAAGGACCCTGGGATGTAACACCTCCCTCTGCAACTGGATCCTGGACTTCTTGACGGGCCGCCCCCAGGTGGTAAGGGTAGGTAACAACACATCTGCCACGCTGATCCTCAACACGGGGGCCCCTCGGGTGCTTGCCCAGTCCCCTCCTGTACTCCCAGTTCACACATGACTGCATGGCCAGGCACGACTCCAACACCATTAAGTTTGCAGACGACACAACAGTGGTAGGCCTGATCACCGGCAATGATGAGACGGCCTATAGGGAGGAGGTCAGAGACCTGGCCGTGTGGTGCCAGGATAACAACCTCTCCCTCAACGTGATCAAGACAAATGAGATGATTGTGGACAACAGGAAAAAAAATAGGACTGAGCACGCCCCCATTCTCATCGACGGGGCTGTAGTGGAACAGGTTGAGAGCTTCAAGTTCATTGGTGTCCACATCACCAACAAATTATCATGGTCCAAACACACCAAGACAGTCGTGAAGAGGGCACGACAAAGCCTATTCCCCCTCAGGAGACTGAAAAGATTTGGCATAGGTCCTCAGATCCACAAAGTTATACAGCTGCACCATCGAGAGAATCCTGACTGGTTGCATCACCGCCTGGTATGGCAACTGCTCGGCCTCCGAACGCAAGGCACTACAGAGGGTAGTGCGTACGGCCCAGTACATCACTGGGGCCAAGCTGCTTGCCTTCCAGGACCTCTATACCAGGCGGTGTCAATGGAAGGCCCTAAAAATTGTCAAAGACTCAAGCCACCCTAGTCATAGACTGTTCTCTCTGCTACCGCACGGCAAGCGGTACCGGAGCGCCAAGTCTAGGTCCAAAAGGCTTCTTAACAGCTTCTACCCCCAAGTCGTAAGACTTAATCATGGCTACCCGGACTATTTGCATTGTCCCACCCAGTCTTTTACGCTGCTGCAACTCTGTTTATTATCTATGCATAGTCACTTTAACTCTACCCACATGTACATATTACCTCGACTAACCGGTGCCCCCATACATTGATTCTGTACCGGTACCCCCTGTATATAGCCTCCCTACTGTTATTTTATTTTACTGCTGCTCTTTAATACTTTTTTACTTAACTGCATTGTAGGTTAAGGGCTTGTAAGTAAGCATTTCACTGTAGTATTTGGCAAATAAAATGTGATTTGATTTTGAGATTCTGACGCCGTTCCTGCTGAGAAGACTGAAGTCTGACGTGACGTTGGAGGTGCCGCCCAAGAAGGAGATTGTTGTGTACGCCCCACTCACTGCCAAACAGGAGTGTTTTTACACTGCTGTGGTCAACAAGACCATCGCCAAAATGCTGGGCCAGGAGAAGGTAAGGCCTTCAGTTCACTGCTACACTGTCATATGGTTGTACTATAGAAAAACAAGGGAATAGAATGGGGAAAAATGATTGTCGACTTCTTCTCAGAGGCCAGGCTTTGTTTTGAAGGAAGATTCTAACAAACGTGTCCCCTTTGACGTGTCAGGTGGAGGCCCCAGTGGTGCTGACGACTGACGGCAGGCCTAAGCGCAGGACCAGGAGGCCTGTGGATTACAAAGAGACTGATGGTGACACTCCCTATGACCTGGAGAAATACCTGGAGAGGGTTCAGAAGGAGGCAGAGCTGAGGTCAGAATCTCCTCTACTATGGTAGTGTTCTGTGTGAAGCAAACAATGCTGTGACCATAGAAATGGAATGATTCTAATTTGATGGCTGTGCCTTTACCTAATAGGGGGTGCACTGGTCATATCAATTATAGTTTATCAAGTCCATGTAATCTCTACATTATATGAATTGATACATCTGATACACACCTCCCCCTTTCCCTCCCATGAGGACGAACTACATGATTCAATTTTTTTTGTGAATGTCAACCGCATTTTAATTTAGCCTCTTAGTATAAATCAACCATAAAGACTAGAGTTTGATAGTTGCCCCAGCAGTGGTCTAATGTGTGGCCTGTCTCTGTCCTCTCCAGCCCTGCCCTGGTGGTGGATGTGCAGATGCCCATAGACTCCCAGATCAACCTGAAACTGCAGAACATCCTTATGCTGCTGAAGAGGTGCTGTAACCACCCCTACCTCATCGAGTACCCACTGGACCCGGCCACTCAGGAGTTCAAGGTAAAGGCCCTGCTGGATTTAAATGGCTACTGGCATGGCTACTGCCACAGAATTATGTAGAAATGACATGGCCAATGTTGTGGGTGCATTCATGACTTCTCAGCACAGCTAAGTAGAGGCTTTTGTCAGAGCGTTTAGGGAGTTAGACTGCCATCTGGTGTAGCTCATGTGTAAATGCATTCTTGTTTCACCCCTCAATCTCTTTCCCCTGCAGATTGATGAGCAACTGGTGCAGACCTCTGGGAAATTCCTCATTCTAGACAGAATGCTACCAGAGCTGAAGAAAAGGGGACACAAGGTAAACTGCCAAATTCTTATATTTGGTGTCCTCTGTCAAGTGATTTGTTTTAATACTCCATTTTGCTTGAATATGTATTTATTGAGAGATGTTTGTGACCACTTCTGAACCGATGTTGTGGACAGGTGCTGATTTTCAGCCAGATGACGTCCATCTTGGATATCCTAATGGACTACTGCTACCTGCGGGGTTACCAGTACAGCCGACTGGACGGGAACATGGCTTATGCCGACAGAGAGGAGAACGTGAGTAGCGGCAGGGTCTACTCCCCACAAAGGAATTACCCTTCTTAAAGCACTCATTACCATTAAGCAGTCATAAAGCACTTATAATCATGTGGCAATCCCTCGCTATTTCTTGTGCTCTGCGGTTATCCCTCAATTTTTTTTGCAGATGACAAAGTTCTCTTCTGACCCAGAGGTGTTTCTCTTCCTACTGAGCACCAGAGCAGGTGGCCTGGGCATCAACCTGACTGCTGCTGACACGGTCATCATCTTTGACAGTGACTGGGTAGGTGTAGAACTCATGCTCTCTGGCTGAGCGCAACAAACGTTGCCTACTACTATTTGTTTGGTACTGACTGGTCTAGTGCCATACAATAATGAATGGACTCTTCTTCTGTCAGAACCCCCAGGCAGACCTGCAGGCCCAGGACAGGTGCCACCGTATCGGGCAGACCAAACCCGTGGTGGTGTATCGCCTGGTCACTGCAAACACCATCGACCAGAAGATCCTGGAGAGAGCCTCAGCCAAGAGGAAACTGGAAAAGATGGTCATTCACAAGAGTGAGTAGAGTACTGCTCCTCTCACATCCAGGACACATAAAAATGATTACATTGAGGGAAATCTAAAACCCACATGAATGGAAGAAGATGCATTAACGCAGGGATGAGAAACTGGCGGCCTGGCCCCCCCTTCTGTAGGCCAATGGACCAATAAATAAATAAAAATGTTAGAATAGTAGAATACACTAAGTGCAATTTTGAAATTTGGTTTTGAATCAGCAGTTTCTCATGTCAGTCACTCACCCTTGTCAGCGAACATTTTTTAGATTGGAAAATGTGTCTAGCCAGCTATCTAAACTTGTAGTAATCATGGTTTATTACCAACCAGGGGGCCCCCATTGATTTTGTTAGTCACTCTCACTCAGATATCATATTAAAAACTGCAGACATTTCTCTCCACCCTATGGCAAAATGTGTAGAATTGCATGAAATTAGTTATACAATTGCTAAATCTTCTCTCTGCCCCATGGCAACATTTGTAGAATTGCAGAAAATTAACTGTTTCTGTCTGCTGTCAAGAGGGGCCGCTAAAATGTTTTGCTCGCAAGGGGAGGGCGGGCAACAATTTAGCTTTGGGCCCCCAAAAGGCTAGTGCCGGCTCTGACTGCAGGTGTGGGTATGGATGTGGGTACACAGACCCGCGAGCCACTGCGGCCGCTCATGAGGAGTTCCCATTTTTTTTACGTCCCCCACCCCCATCAGTTGCCCATCCCTGCATTAAAGAGATGCTAAATATTTCAGAACAGAGTATTGTAGTGGTGATTTTAGGTGCGTGTGGTGCATGTGTTCACATTTTGGTACCTTTTTATCTTCAGACAAATTCAAAGGAGGAAAAGCTGAGCTCAAACAGGCCAAGAGCTGCGTTGACGTGTCCGAGCTGATGGATCTTCTCAACACAAGAGATTACGAGAAGTACTGGATTGTTGATTTAATGTTCATTGTGAAACTCAGTAGAGAAATGAAAATTGATAATAAGTTGGTGTAAGTCTATTGTTATCTAATGATAGTCTTTCTCAGGGAGGTGAAAAGCACCAAAGGGAAGGTCATTAGTGACAAGGACCTGGAGTTTCTGCTGGACCGCAGTGACCTAGTAGGTGAGTTCTGTTAAAAATACATCCACTGTCATGGAATGGGACGTTGGGGTGCTTTCTAGAATGTAACGTTGTCAAATCAAATCACATTTTATTGGTCACATACACGTGTTTAGCAGATGTTATTGCGGGTGTAGCAAAATGCTTGTTTCTAGCTCCAACAGTGCAGTAATATCTAACAATTTCACAACATATACCCAATACACACACATCTATGTAAAGCAATGGAATTAAGAATATATAAATATATGGACGAGCAATGTCAGAGAGGTATAGACTAAGAGACAGAATAGTATAGAATACTGTATATACACTGCTCAAAAAAATAAAGGGAACACTTAAACAACACAATGTAACTCGAAGTCAATCACACTTCTGTGAAATCAAACTGTCCACTTAGGAAGCAACACTGATTGACAATACATGTCACATGCTGTTGTGCAAATGGTGGAACAGGTGGAAATTATAGGCAGTTAGCAAGACACCCCCAATAAAGGACTGGTTTTGCAGGTGGTGACCACAGACCACTTCTCAGTTCCTATGCTTCCTGGCTGATGTTTTGGTCACTTTTGAATGTTGGCGGTGCTTTCACTCTAGTGGTAGCATGAGACTGAGTCTACAACCCACACAGGTGGCTCAGGTAGTGCAGCTCATCCAGGATGGCACATCAATGCGAGCTGTGGCAAGAAGGTTTGCTGTGTCTGTCAGCGTAGTGTCCAGAGCATGGAGGCGCTACCAGGAGACAGGCCAGTACATCAGGAGATGTGGAGGAGGCCGTAGGAGGGCAACAACCCAGCAGCAGGACTGCTACCTCCGCCTTTGTGCAAGGAGGAGCACTGCCAGAGCCCTGCAAAATGACAAAATGACCTCCAGCAGGCCGCATGTGTCTGCTCAAACGGTCAGAAACAGACTCCATGAGGGTGGTATGAGGGCCCGACGTCCACAGGTGGGGGTTGTGCTTACAGCCCAACACCGTGCAGGACGTTTGGCATTTGCTAGAGAACACCAAGATGGGCAAATTCGCCACTGGCGCCCTGTGCTCTTCACAGATGAAAGCAGGTTCACACTGAGCACGTGACAGACGTGACAGAGTCTGGAGACACCGTGGAGAACGTTCTGCTGCCTGCAACATCCTCTGGCATGACCGGTTTGGCGGTGGGTCAGTCATGGTGTGGGGTGGCATTTCTTTGGGGGGCCGCACAGCCCTCCATGTGCTCGCCAGAGGTAGCCTGACTGCCATTAGGTACCGAGATGAGATCCTCAGACCCCTTGTGAGACCATATGCTGGTGCGGTTGGCCCTGGGTTCCTCCTAATGCAAGACGATGCTAGACCTCATGTGGCTGGAGTGTGTCAGCAGTTCCTGCAAGAGGAAGGCATTGATGCTATGGACTGGCCCGTCCGTTCCCCAGACCCGAATCCAATTGAGCACATCTGGGACGTCATGTCTCGCTCCATCCACCAACGCCACATTGCACCACAGACTGTCCAGGAGTTGGCGGATGCTTTAGTCCAGGTCTGGGAGGAGATCCCTCAGGAGACCATCCACCACCTCATCAGGAGCATGCCCAGGCGTTGTAGGGAGGTCATACAGGCACGTGGAGGCCACACACACTACTGAGCCTCATTTTGACTTGTTTTAAGGACATTACATCAAAGTTGGATCAGCCTGTAGTGTGGTTTTCCACTTTAATTTTAAGGGTGACTCCAAATCCAGACCTCCATGGGTTGATACATTTGATTTCCATTGATACTTTTTGTGTGATTTTGTTGTCAGCACATTCAACTATGTAAAGAAAAAAGTATTTAATAAGATTATTTCATTCATTCAGATCTAGGATGTTATTTTAGTGTTCCCTTTATTTTTTTGAGCAGTGTACATATGAGATGTGTAATGCAAGATATGTAAACATTATTGAAGTGACTAGTGTTCCATTTATTAAAGTGGCCAGTGATTTCTAATCTATGTACAGTTGTGGTCAAAAGTATTGGTCTTCTCAAAGTTCGCTGCTTCAGTGTTATGAGATTTTTGTCAGATGTTACTATGGTATACTGAAGTATAATTACAAGCATTCCATAAGTGTCAAAGGCTTTTATTGACAATTACATAAATGTATGCAAAGAGTCAATATTTGCAGTGTTGACCCTTTTTCAAGACCTCTGCAATCTGCCCTGGAATGCTGTCAATTAACTTCTGGGCCACATCCTGACTGATGGAAGCCCATTCTTGCATAATCAATGCTTGGAGTTTGTCAGAATTTGGGTTTTTGTTTGTCCACCCGCCTCTTCAGGATCGACCTCAAGTTCTCAATGGGATTAAGGTCTGGGGAGTTTCCTGGCCATGGACCCAAAATGTCAATGTTTTGTTCCTCGAGCCACTTAGTTATCACTTTTGCCTTATGGCAAGGTGCTCCATCATGCTGGAAGAGGCATTGGTCGTCACCAAACTGTTCTTGGATGGTTTGGAGAAGTTGCTCTCGGAGGATGTGTTGGTACCGTTCTTTATTCATGGCTGTGTTTTTAGGCAAAATTGTGAGTGAGCCGCTGAGAAGCAACCCCACACATGAATGGTCTCAGGATGCTTTACTGTTGGCATGACACAGGACTGATGGTAGCGCTCACCTTGTCTTCTCCGGACAAGGTGTTTTCCGGATGCCCCAAACAATCGGAAAGGGGATTCATCAGAGAACATGACTTTACCCCAGTCCTCAGCAGTCCAATCCCTGTACCTTTTGCAGAATATCAGTCTGTCCCTGATGTTTTTCCTGGAGAGAAGTGGCTTCTTTGCTGCCATCCTCCAAAAGTCTTCACCTCACTGTGCGTGCAGATGCACTCACACCTGCCTGCTGCCATTCCTGAGCAAGCTCTGCACTGGTGGTGCCCCGATCCTGCAGCTGAATCAACTTTAAGAGACGGTCCTGGCGCTTTCTGGACTTTCTTTGGCTCCCTGACGCCTTCTTCACAACAATTGAACCGCTCTCCTTGAAGTTCTTGATGATCCGATAAATGGTTGATTTAGTTGCAATCTTACTAGCAGCAATATCTTTGCCTGTGAAGCCCTTTTTGTGCAAAGCAATGATGACGGCACGTGTTTCCTTGCAGGTAACCATGGTTAACAGAGGAATAATGATTTCAAGCACCACCCTCCTTTTTAAAGCTTCCGGTCTGTTATTCTAACTCAATCAGCATGACAGAGTGAGCTCTAGCCTTGTCCTCGTCAACACTCTCACCTGTGTTAATGAGAGAATCACTTACATGATGGCAGCTGGTCCTTTTGTGGCAGGGCTGAAATGCAGTGGAAATGTTTTTTGGGGATTAAGTTCATTTTCATGGCAAAGAGGGACTTTGCAATTAATTGCAATTCATCTGATCACTCTTCATGACATTCTGGAGTATATGCAAATTGCCATCATCAAAACTGAGGCAGCAGACTTTGTGAAAATTAGTATTTGTGTCATTCTCAACTTTTGACCCCGACTGTATATAGGCGGCAGCCTCTAATGTGCTAGTGAAGGCTATTTAACTGTCTGATGGCCTTGAGAGAAGCTGTTTTTCAGTCTCTCGGTCCCAGCTTTGATGCCACTGTACTGACTTCGCCTTCTGGATGATAGCGGGGTGAACAGGCAGTGGCGCGGGTGGTTGTCCTTGATGATCTTTTTGGCCTTCCTGTGACATCAGGTGCTGTAGGTGTCCTGGAGGGCTGGTAGTTTGCCCCCGGTGATGCGTTGGAGTGCCCTGCAGTTGCGGGCGGTGCAGTTGCTGTACCAGGCGGTGATACAGCCCGACAGGCCAAATTTCTTCAGCCTCCTGGGGTTGAAGAGGTGCTGCTTCACCACACTGTCTTTGTGGGTGGACCATTTCAGTTTGTCAGTGATGTGTACCCCGAAGAACTTGAAGCTTTCCACCTTCTCCACTGCGGTCCTGTCGACGTGGATAGGGGGGTGCTCCCTCTTTTCTGAAGTCCACAATCATCTCCTTTGTTTTGGTGACGTTGAGTGAGAGGTTATTTCCCTGGCACCACACTCCCAGAGACCTCACCACCTCCCTGTTTGCTGTCTCGTCATTGTTGGGTATCTAGCCTACTACTGTTGTGTCGTCTGCAAACTTGATGATTGAGTTGGAGGCGTGCTTGGCCACGCAGTCTTGGGTGAACAGGGAGTACAGGAGGGGGCTGAGCACGCACCCTTGTGGGGCCCCAGTGTTGAGGATCAGCGAACTGGAGGTGTTGTTTCCTACCTTCACCACCTGGGGACGGCCCGTCAGGAAGTCCTGGACCCAGTTTCACAGGGTGGGGTTCAGACCCAGGGCCTCGAGCTTAATGATGAGCTTCTGAGGGTACTATGGTGTTGAATGCTGAGCTATAGTCAATGAGCAGCATTCTTACATAGGTATTCCTCTTGTCCAGATGGGATAGGGCAGTGTGCATAGTGATGGCGATTGCATCATCTGTGGATCTATTGGGGCGGTAAGCAAATTGAAGTGGGTCTAGGGTGGCAGGGAAGGTAGCGGTGATATGATCCTTGACTAGTCCTCTGTAGCTCAATTGGTAGAGAATGGCGCTTGTAACGCCAGGGTAGTGGGTTCGATCCCCGGGACCACCCATACGTAAAAATGTATGCACACATGACTGTAAGTCGCTTTGGATAAAAGCGTCTGCTAAATGGCATATTATATTAAAATTAGTCTCTCAAAGCACTTCATGATGACAGAAGTGAGTGCTACAGGGCGATAGACATTTAGTTCAGTTACCTTCGCTTTCTTGGGTACAGGGACAATGGTGGCCATCTTGAAGCATGTGGGGACGACAGACTGGGATAGGGAGAGATTGAATATGTCCGTAAACACACCAGCCAGCTGGTCTGTGCATGCTCTTGAGGATGCGGCTAGGGATGCCATCTGGGCCGGCAGTCTTGCTAAGGTTAACACGCTTAAATGTCTTACTCATGTCGGCCACGGAGAACCAGAGCCCACAGTCCTTGGTCGCAGGCCGTGTCAGTGGCACTGTATTATCTTCAAAGCGGGCGAAGGTGTTTAGCTTGTCCGGAAGCAAGACTTCGGTGTCCACGACGTGGCTGGTTTTCCCTTTGTAATCTGTGATTGTCTGTAGACCCTGCCACGTGCGTCTCGTATCTGAGCCGTTGAATTGGGACTCCACTTTGTCCCTATACTGACGTTTTGCCTGTTTGATTGCCTTGCGGCAGGAATAACTACACTTTTGTATTCTGCCATATTCACAGTCACCTTGCCATGGTTAAATGCGGTGGTTTGCGCTTTCAGTTTTGTGAGAATGCTGCCATCTACCCACGGTTTCTGGTTAGGCTTGGTTTTAATAGTCACGGTGGGTACAACATCTATACACTTCCTGATAAACTCAGTCACTGTATCAGTATATATGTCGATATTATTCTCTGAAGCTACCCAGAACATATCCCAGTCCGCGTGTTCAAAACAATCTTGAAGCGTGGATTCTGATTGGTCAGACCAGCGTTGAATAGTCCTTAGCACAGGTACTTCCTGTTTTGAGTTTCTGCCTATAGGAAGGGAGGAGCAAGATGGAGTCGTGGTCAGATTTGCCGAAAGGATGGCGGGGGAGGGCCTTGTAGGCATCCCGGAAGTTGGAGGAGCAGTGGTCGAGTGTTTTAGCAGCACGAGTGCTACAGTTGGTGTGTTGGTAGAACTTCTGCAGCCTTTTCCTCAAATTTGCTTTGTTAAAATCCCCAGCTACAATAAATGCAGCCTCAGGATATGTGGTTACCAGTTTGCATAAAGTCCAGTGTAGTTCCATGAGGGCCATCGTGGTATTTGCTTGAGGGGGGATATCCACCACCATGGCTATATCCAAAGAAAATATCTTGGGAGATAATACGGTCAGTATTCGATTGAGGTATTCTAAGTCAGGTGAACAAAAGGACTCGCGGTCCTGTATGTTATCACAATTACATCATGATTTGTTAATCATAAAACATACACCTCTGCCCTTCTGCTTCCCGGAGAGATATTTATTCCTATTTATTGTCTGACATGCTTCATAATATACTCAGATCTTGTCTTTGTCAGCATGCTTTACCACTGTAGCGCTCCGGTGCCTCCCCCCGTAGAATGGCCCCCTGATGAACCTTCAACATAATCTATTCTGTCATTATAAACGTAGCTTTTGTTTGGGCTCATAATTGTATGAAACGTAATCATTTGTCTCCTTCCAGACAAGGCCAAGAGGAGCTCTAAACGGGAGAAGGTTGGAGTCTTCAAGGTTATCGAAGCCAAGGAATCATCTGAGATTAACTTGACCAGAGTTTGAAAGAAGACGAGATACTCCTAAAGGCATAACCAAAAAGATCTTAAGCTAGAGCTGGATCCTAAGGGTCCACAACGCTGCTGTTGGTTATAATACTGAGACTGAAACCAGAGGACTTACTCAAGCCGTCCTCCTAAAACTACTGTTTATACTACAAGAAAGTATTTCATTTTAAAGTTTTGACGTGGCTGTTTATTTTTGTTGTGGAGTTTGTCAAATGCTGTTGGTTATAGTGGAGACTGAAACCAGTCTTCCAGAAACTGTTTATATATACACTACCGTTCAAAAGTGTTAGCCTTTTTAAAATGATAAACTTGGATTAGCAAACAGAGCGTGCCATTGGAACACAGGACTGATGGTTGCTGATAATGGGCCTCTGTACGCCTATGTAGATATTCTTTTTTTCTTTTCTTTTTTTTATCAGCTGTTTCCAGCTACAATAGCCATTAACAATGTCTACACTGTATTTCTGATTCAATTCAAGAATTTTTAAGTGACCCCCAAACTTTTGAGTGGTGAGATATATATATATATATATATATATATATATATATATATTTTTTTTTTTTTTTTTTTTTTTTTTTTTTAAATTAAAGCTTTGACATCTTTCTTAACTGCCACTATGTTGTTTTTGTTGTGGAGTTGGATACTGTTTGGACTTTTTTAACCACTTCAGGTGCAGTGATTCATTCACTTTGAAGTAATTTTTTGTAAAAAGCCAACTTTTTGCATTAGAATCAATGACTTTTCACAATACATGCTTAAGAAAATGCTGTACTCTTGTCCAGTTCACTAAATGGGTTAATTGATACTGTATGTTGGACCAGAACTCCAAGCACTTTTATGTAAGGACAGGTATTTCTTTACATGCTGAGACCATGCCCTTTAATTGTTTTGTATGCAACCCCTTTTCTAAAAATAAACCATCTCCTGAATCTGTAATTATGGTCACGTGAGTTCTATTTCTTATAATAGAGGAACATGGTGCTGCTTACATACAGATGGTCTATGTCAATAGGCATGTGCCAAAAAAGATGAATGTGCCTTTGAAAGGGTTATGCATGTTTTCACATATAAAAACAATGTTTGATACATATGTCATGGTTGGGGATCAATAAGTGTGCCACTAAAACAGTTCACATACTTAATCCGAGTAAAACAACTGTAGAAAAGACTGGATCTTAAAAGAGTACAGCAAAGTCATTAAAAGCACCTGTCATTCAAAGGTCAGTAATTGTTATACAGTGTTGAATTAGGTTGCACCTGCTCAGTAGGAGCTAGTGAACACACCCTCCATTCTCTCCTAAAGCCTCTGATGTCTTGGTGCTCAGCCTTGCACACACACTACTGGGGTGTGGTCAAAGAGGACACTAACCTGGCTGGTGCATTTTCAACCTCTGCTCGGACTCTTGAGACTCGACCTCTAAAAAAGCACAGAAAATACTAGTACGGTAGTGACATTTTGATTCAACACTGGAATTAAGTTTATTCTTCAGTGAGGACTATTTTGTGGTAGGGCAAATCTTACCTGTTTTTAAAATAAGGTTTTTACAGTTACTTTTGTACAGTATTTCTGTTCTAGTATCTAGTGTGTTAACCTAGTTGGACCACTTTACTGGATCATTGTCATACGTGTCCCATAAGCCTTCGGTCTAACTAAACCATGGAACATCTGAAGTTAGTTCTGCAGTATTTTCAGTTCAACTCCAAGTCTATATCAAATGGAATATGCATCGTACTGGCCCTGATCAGTGTGAAGCTCTATACCAGCTTTGACTTCAACAGCCCCTGTATTTCACAATACAACGAACTCTACGCACTGGGAGGGATGTTTGTCCCGCCTTTAATATTCTTCTTCCTGGGAATCTTGGTCAATCGACCCACAGGAGTCATGATGAAAGAATGATTGAGACCCATTGGGAAGAGAAGCAAAGATCCTGCCATTGTCAAGTGAGTTTTCAAGTGCTGCTGTCAAACCACCTCATGTTCCTGTGTTTATTACCACACCATTACCACTACCATCACAGCTTTTAGTCCAACAACTACTGCTGCTTCCTGTAATTATTGGGATGTTATAACCCTCTGCAGGTACATGTTCTCTGCCATGATGCGGAGGGCTCTACTGGCGCCAATGGTGTGGATTCTGGTCACTCTGCTAGATGGGAAGATCTTCATCTGTGCTTTCAGCGTGAGTAGACCCCAAGCCGTTCTCTGGTAGCTATAACCACAACACCTTTTAATTACAGTATAACCTTAACTCATAGCACTGCATCTCTTATTCTGACTTTGACCCAAACCCTCACCCAGAGTAAAACTAGTCTTGTCCAGTCTAGTCTTGTAACATTCCAACTTTAACTTAGTTGTACTCTATTCTTTCACAGGCATGCCCAACAACACTGGCCTGGACCTGGACAAGCTCATGGCCAAGGTGCCCTGCAAGGAGGACATGGTCTTCAGGAACAGCACATTTCGTAAAGCTGTTTAACGCTAACGTGCGCTGCTACTCTCAAGTGAGTGTACTCCCATTTTTAAATAACCCTGAAACTGGGGTGTGTCAGAAACAATCGTCCTGATGACCTCCATTCTCTATTCCGAATGCCAATGCTTTCTACTATACTTCCCTGACAAGCGATTGGATGGTCTATCCTCCTCTTCTTCATTATTTTGGGTGCACTGGGCCGTCTCATCAAGCCCTGCTTCGACGACCATGCCACCAACCTCCAGACTCTCTACTAGAACAACTACCTGGACATCGAGCAGAAACTCTTCGACGAGATGCGTGCTGCACTGCCGCGATTTTGCCCGCAAGTGCGTGGTGCAGTTCTTCGAGGGCATGCGGGAAGACACGGTGCTAAGACTGCCTCTCTCACCCGAAGTCAGGTACGGGAGGAAAGAAGATATGGTGGAAGAGGAGGAAGAGAGACTCCATGGGATTACCAAGCAGGAACAGATGGATCAGCTGCTTCAAACATGGTTCCAGTGTAAGCCTGAGCTGGATGTCACTAGAATGGTCTACAGGCCTAGAGTGTGTGTCACCTGGGAAGACCACAATGGAAAAACCCTCTACTCAGACATTTAGCCGTGTGTGATTGTGTAATTGTTTAAATAGTACTTATTCACTTATGCCTGTTTTCCACGGGCTGTATACTAAACATTCAACACAAATATGTTTAAACTAGTAGAGAGTGGACCTAGAAACCATGTGCTGAATGTGCTGAGACTTAGACTGACTTGTTTTGCATAGTTCATTTTACATACTGCTCAACTCCATGGATATCAGACAGATGCAAGTTAGAAATGGACTGACTTACTCAACATGTAACATTTTGCTTTTTTTTTTCCAAAAGGTACCTGGTACTAATTAGTGCCTAGTGGTGTTAGATTTAATTAATCCCAAAGTAATTCATAATTCTACTGTGTAATTACAATTTTACCATACATATGTTTTGGTAAATAATTGGTAATTTTTGTACTGTAAAATTAAGTTTAAATGAATATTGTTTATATTGTATGTGTAGTTTCTTAGATATATTCAGTTGTGTTGATATGGCAGCTTGCAGCCGCCATGTTGCTCTGTGATCATTCAACACGTTTACAGTTAAAAAGAAAGAAACTTTTTTTCCACTGGGAGAGGAAACCGGAGGGCAATTCCTGACGATGAGTCACTGAACATGCCCAGACCCCAGACAACACACACGAAGAGGGATGTTTCTTCCCCTAAACCTACCAGCATGGACTCTTTGGTACTTTAGGAAATTATATACCCATTTTTGCTTTTACTCACGGTTTTAGTTTTTCAACCGTTCTACCTCAAATATCCTATCTCACGGCTATAGAATGTAAGTTTGCATTACTTAATTTACTCCAGATTTTCTTCTCTGTTATTTTCCTGTGGAATCACATGGTTTGTTTTAGGGCTTTAGCTCTACACGGCATGTGCTAGTATGAACCAATGATGAAGTTATGCAGTTGATCAGCTTCAGTTTAGCAGGAAACACAAGTTATAAACTGTTACCTTACATTAGACTGTTATACTTAATTTTATGTTCTGCGATCAAATTCAATCCATTAGTAAATGAAGTAGGCATTCCCAGTTGTTGCAGCCCCAATTACCAATAGATAGAATGCTCTTATCACCATATTCTCTTACTGGGCAGCTCAGATTAAAAAGATCTAATGTATCTCTCTAACTTTCTGCAGCGTGACTCCCCAGTGTGCAAGCTCCAAAATAGGAAAATCCTCCATTGCTCTCCAGTGTCAGACCACACAACAAACATTTCAAAATGGCTGCTCTCATCACAGAGAACTTCAAGTTTGTCTCGCTCTTCTTCAAGAGCAAGGACGTAATGATCTTCAATGGCCTGATAGCCCTCGGCACGGTGGCAAGTCAGACCATGTACAACATCTTTGCCTTCGACTGCCCGTGCTCCTCCGGGCGGAACTATCTCTACGGCCTGGCAGCCATCGGGGTGCCCGCCCTGGCATTCTACCTCGTTGGCATCATGCTGAATAAGAGTACCTGGGATCTGGTGTCTGAGTGCCGCCTCAGGAGGTGCCGGAAACTATCGGGGGTGGCTGCCTTCGCTGTCCTAGGCACTGTCGTTGGCAGAGCGGCCGTGGCTCCCGTGACATGGACTGTCATCTCACTATTACGTGGGGAGGCCTATGTGTGTGCCCTCAGTGAGTTTGTGGATCCTTCAACCTTGGAGGGTTTTCCCTCTGGACAGGGGTTAGACGTCATGGCCAGGTTTCCCTGTAAGGCCACGGTCCCACAGGAGATGCAGGGTTTCTGGGCGGAGATTGAACGCCGGCTGAAGTACGAGTCTCAGGTATTTCATTTTATCTCATTCCACTATTCCATTTTATTTTCCTGTGTGTTTGATAACAATATGTTTGTGGCATTATAGCTGGTGGAAAGAGGAAGTCCGAATTAAAATGATTTATCACTGTGTCATTACATTAAAAGGCTTATCATTGCCCTTATGTTTCCTGGATTAATTTCTTGGCTGTTCGGCTTCTCTTCCTGTGGTGAATTGTCATAGTGTTTTTCCTTTCAGCTGCTAGGGTGGCTGATGGTGGCGGGGATGGCAGTGGTTCTGTTTCTCCTGCTGTGCATGAAGCGCTGCTGCTCTCCCCTAGGCTACCAACAGGAGGCGTACTGGTCCCAGTTCCGCTCCAACGAGCACGACCTCTTCCAGCGCACGGCCGAGGTGCACTCCCGTATCCTGGCTGTTGAGAGCGTGAAGAGCTACTTTGGCTTCGTGGCCCTGGAAAAAGAGGAGAAAGTGCAACTGGAGGAGCACCAGAATGCCAGCCCTATCTCTAGTACAGAGTGGAACCGGATCACTGGGGTCTACCTGTACAGAGAGAAAAAGGGATTGCCCCTCTACAGCCGCCTCAACAAGTGGGCCCAGTACAGTGCGGAGAACAACATAGATGCCATGGAGAAAGAGATGGACACTCTGAGCTGACTGGCACTGGACACCCCAGTGTTCTTCAGCCCTGATCCTGGGAACCGACCGGGAGTGCAGGCTTCTGCTCCAGCCTAGCACTGACACATTCAACTGATTAACTTAATAGTAAAGTCCTTGATTAGTTGAACGAATCAGGTGTGTAAGCACAGGGCTGGAGCAAAAGCATGCACATCCGATGTGTCCCCAGGACCAGGGTTGAAGAACACTGGCCTAGGTAGATTAGTCTTTTACTTGTATTATCCCACATTTATATGTGTAACAACCTTCAGCTAGTGATGGCACATTATAACTATGTCAGTAAATTGGAATGGACTCAAATGTGGGTTGAACTAATGTTCCCAAAGTTACACTGTCATTGTTCCCCATTTACGTTCTCTTCCAGTTTTCAAATGGTTGTAATGGTTGATAAAGGATGATAGTCCAAATGATTTTTTCTGAGTTTGTGTTCATATGCTTATTGTCTAGTTCAGGGTCCATGTTTAACAGAATGTTGTATGCAGGTGTTTTACCCACCCTCTCAATAAGAGACAAGCTCTCAGACTAGATGGCCAGTTACTGTAACATCCTGCACTTCCAAACATCAGCTCATAGACAGAGCACCTTTTTCTCTGTCAGGATTCAGTTCTATAGATTTGTTCTTAAAAACTGCCTATTATGCCTGTCGTCCTGATTATCTCTAAGATAGTCGCTAAGTCTGTCTGTCTGTCTGTCTGTCTGTCTGTCTGTCTGTCTGTGTGTGTGTGTGTGTTTATCTCTTTGTTTATCTGCTTGTCTGTCTGACTATCAGATTCACTGGTTGCCTGATTGTCCGACTGTCAAACCCATCTAAATGTCTGCTTATCTGTATAGGACAGGAATCTGAACTCATCATGAGGGACCGCAGATGCTTGTGGGGCTTCGTACCCCTCCCCCCCCCCCCCCCCCCCCCCCCCGGCCCATCCCTGGTCTAGGAGCCGTTCATGTGTACCTACCTGTTTGCCTGTTTGTCTGTCTATGTTTCCATCATTGAGTTCCTGCCCAACTGCATTGCATCAACCAATAGTTGCGTGCCACAACTGCAATGTCATCAACTGTGCAGTCAGGCATCAGATTGCTATATCATTTGATGTGGTTAGCTGATATGTTGAATATGTATCCAGGCGTTGTAAGCTCTGGCATGGCATCTGCAATGTAGTCGGCCAGAAACTCGACCCATCTGTCTGCCTGCTGCCTGTCTGCCTGCTTGCCTTTCTGCCTTTCTGCCTGTCTGCCTATATGGCTCCTGCTCTGTTGTCGCCTAGTAATAGCATACAGCTGGAAAGAGGGCGGGGGAGGGAGGGAAGTAAAATGAGAGGGAAAGTGAGCAAGGCAGAGAGAAAGGAGGGGGGCGGGTGAAAGCAGAGCTGTGATGCAGACAGCGAATCACATGAGCAGGGATATGTTTACAAACTGAGCTGAGGAGGCGTGCTCACTAGCTCCATTATGAGGAAGCAGGACTGAGAGCCAAGAGAGAAAAAGAGAGACTGGGACCAGAGGAGAGCGGCTGCCTGGGTTAAACTTAGCAGTGTTAGGCTCATTTTCTCTCTCTCTTTTTTCACCTCCTCTTTGTCTGTTTTGGAGGAAGGGGGGAGCAGATGGTTGGGGCTGACAGAGCAGAGAGCACAATGCCAGTGCAGGCATGAGGAGCTGCTTTCACAGGAACACTGGGCACTGCAGGGAGCCATTCACATCTTTCCTTTGTTTCCCATAATTGGCAGAGTCAGGTTTTAACAGCAAGAGAGGAAATCTATGTCGAGAGGAAGGAGGACTTCAGAGGAGCAAGGGAGGTATGGGTAAGCCTTGTGAGAATGTTTTCTCTCCTTTTGGACTAATGTCTTTAACCTGCCAGGTTTGGATGTTTACCTCCTAATATAAACAACGCTATGATCTGGATATCTTTTTGTTTATTTGAAGAGTGGAGCCATTGCAATACGGCTATATATGATTCTATAATACCTTTTCACACTTGTTTTGAGCATGATTTTTGATTGAAAAAAAGTAGCTATCAATTCCTGATGACGTTGCTTGATTATTCACATCATGCTTACCTAAATCATCACAAAGGAGAGTGGATTTCAACAATGAATGACTTGTTTTTGTAATATTTTACTGGAAAACAGAGCATCATCCACAAGAGAGCTTCTTGAGGAACTGAGAGTTTTTATCCCAAAGGGATTGACTCATAGCCTACAAACACAATAAGGATTGACTAATCAGTCCTTTTCATTGGGGACAGAAGAGTTTGGACTCACATCATTGTCTGGAAGACAAGCTCCTCGATCTGTCTGCACCCCAACAAACAAAGACCTAGGAGTGGTTGTGATCCGAGACACAGTGACCCTGGTGGTCGTGAGTGACTTCAGACGTTTTGACCCCAATCCACTGATTCCCTGGGTCTCTGGCCGTCTGGAAGCTGATTTAATGCACCCGGTCCGGTGGTGTAACGGTGAGTGTGTCCTTCCTATGTGTAGTCGTGTAACAATGACCTTTGTGTTTGTGGTGTAACAATGTTTTGTAACGTTACAATTGGTTTGCATCTGAATGGATACGACTCTTATGGTCCTGTCTGTTTTGCTTAGCCCTAAACCCTCTCCCAGACAGCATGTGTTCAAAGAGTGGCCTACCTCTTAGAGCTCGACTATCAATGATTTACTAACATCCTCCTAAAATTACAGATGCCCCCTCCCTCACCCAAACCCAGCACCCCACCCCCCTCAGAGACAGAGACGGTGGAATGGCCCTTCTGGCCTGACCTTTACACAGGCAGAGAGTGACCTTTGACCCAGAAAGTACTCTACTCATTGTGGGACTATGGGTGGCATTAGACCTTAGGGTTGCTCACCATTCTCTCCCTAGATAGTTCTGCTGATGATGGTCTGAAATGGCTGCATGGACTGAAAGAACCCAATTCCCCATCTCCCCTCAGACCCACACAGCACACACACACAACACACACACAGCACATACACACACACACACACACACACACACACACACGTCTAAACGTCTGAGTAGAGGGTTTTTCCATTGTGGTCTTCCCAGGTGACACACACTCTAGGCCTGTAGGCCATTCTAGTGACATCCAGCTCAGGCTTACGCTGGAACCCTTTTTGAAACAGCTGATCCATCTGTTCCTGCTTGGTAATCCCATGGAGTCTCTCCTCCTCCTCTTCCTCCTCTTCCACCATCACACACACACACACACACAGTACAATTATTCATGCCAATTGTTGACAAGCATGTACCTGTTAAGAAACTAACTGTGAAAACTGTTAGAACCCCCTGGATTGATGATGAATTGAAGCATTTTATGGTTCAAATAAATTATGCAAATTAGGTGGCAAACCAGTCAGACTGCTCAGCTGATTGGTTGACATACTGTCAATTGAGAAAAGTTGCAACTAGACTTAACAAAAAGAAGAATACATTATATTACCAAACAAAAATAAATTACATAAAACACAATGGAAAAAAACTTTGGAGTACCTTAAGTGATATCATGGGCAGAAAACCCAATGAATCTCCATAGTTCATTGAAGTTGATGGGTCATTTATAACAAAACCTTTCGATGTTGCCAATCATTTCGATGACTATTTCACTAGTAAAGTGGAAAAACTTAGAAGTGAAATGACAACATTGAACACTGAACCATCATATTAAGATCTAGTAATGAAATAGAAGGAATGCTGTTTTGAATTTGGTCAAGTTAGTGTGGGAGAGGTGGAAAAACTATTGTCATCCTTCAATAATGATGAGCCACCAGGTATAGACAACCTTGATGGGACACTATTGAGAATGGTAGCAGACTGTATTGCCACCCATATTTGCTATATCTTTAACTAAAGCCTAAAAGGAGTGTGTGTGTCCACCGGCGTGGAAGGAAGCTAAATTAATTCCTTTGTCTAAAAATAGTAAAGCACCCTTTGCTGGCGCTAACAGCCACACAATTAGTTTGCTGCCTGTTCTCAACTTGTACTGCACTGACTCAGATGACTGATGATTGGTTAAAATAAATGGATAATAAGATGATAGCTGGAGCTGTACTGTTAGAATTCAGTGCAACCTTTGATGTTATTTATCATAAATTGTTATTGAAAAAACTCACTTGCTATGGCTTTACTATTTATTTTTTTACCTTTATTTGAACAGGAAGTCCAATTGAGACCAAAGTATATTTTACTAGGGTGCCCTGCATTTTACAATTTACACATTTTATAGAATACAAGCAACAGTTAAAATACACAAAAATACACCAAAATCTCTCAGCTACCTGGTCTTCAATCAATACCCTAAACTGCCGGAGCGGCACCAGAACATCCAATTTCAACGAGATCTGCAGATTGTTCCAGCAGTGGGGTGCATCAAAAACGAAAAGCGGATCTACATCACCTGCCATCACATGGTTGGAGAGTTATTTATCCCATAGAACCCAGAGAGTGTTCCTCAATGGAAGCTTCTCTAACATCAGTTACAGTTGAAGTCGGAAGTTTACATACACCTTAGCCAAATACATTTAAACTCAGTTTTTCACAATTCCGGACATTTAATCCTAGTAAAAATTCCCTGTTTTAGGTCAGATAGGATCACCATTTTATTTTAAGAATGTGAAATGTCAGAATAATAGTAGAGAGAATGATTTATTTCAGCTTTTATTTATTTCATCACATTCACAGTGGTTCAGAAGTTTACATACACTCAATTAGTATTTGATAGCATTGCCTTTCAATTGTTTAACTTGGGTCAAAAGTTTTGGGTAGCCTTCCACAAGCTTCCCACAATAAGTTGGGTGAATTTTGGGCCATTCCTCCTGACAAAGCTGGTGTAACTGAGTCAGTTTTGTAGGCTTCCTTGCTCGCACACGCTTTTTTAGTTCTGCCCACACATTTTCTATAGGATTGAGGTCAGGGCTTTGTGATGGCCACTCCAATACCTTGACTTTGTTGTCCTTAAGCCATTTTGCCACAACTTTGTAAGTATGCTTGGGGTCATTGTCCATTTGGAAGACCCTTTTGCGACCAAGCTTTAACTTCCTGACTGATGTCTTGAGATGTTGCTTCAATATATCCACATCATTTTCCTTCCTCATGATGCCATCTATTTTGTAAAGTGCACCAGTCCCTCCTGCAGCAAAGCACCCCCACAGCATGATGCTGCCTCCCCCGTGCTTCACAGATGGGATGGTGTTCTTCGGCTTGCAAGATACCCCCTTTTTCCTCCAAACATAACAATGGTCATTATGGCCAAACAGTTCTATTTTTGTTTCATCAGACCAGAGGACATTTCTCCAAAAAGTAAGATCTTTGTCCCCATGTGCAGTTGCAAACCATAGTCTGGCTTTTTTATGGCGGTTTTGGAGCAGTGGCTTCTTCCTTGCTGAGCGGCCTTTCAGGTTATGTCGATATAGGACTCGTTTTACTGTGGATACAGATAGCTTTGTACCTGTTTCCTCCAGCATCTTCACAAGGTTCTTTGTTGTTGTTCTGGGATTGATTTGCACTTTTCGTACCAAAGTACGTTCATCTCTAAGAGACAGAACGCGTCTGCTTCCTGAGCGGTATGACAGCTGCGTGGTCCCACGGTGTTTATACTTGCGTACTATTGTTTGTACAGATGAACAAGGTACCTTCAGGCATTTGGAAATTGCTCCCAAGGATGAACCAGACTTGTGGAGGTCTACAATTATCTTTCGAGGTCTTGGCTGATTTATTTTGATTTTCCCATGATGTCAAGCAAAGAGGCACTGAGTTTGAAGGTAGGCCTTGAAATACATCCACAGGTACACCTCCAATTGACTCAAATGCTGTCAATTAGCCTATCAGAAGCTTCTAAAGCCATGACATCATTTTCTGGAATTTTCCAAGCTGTTTAAAGGCACAGTCAACTTAGTGTATGTAAACTTCTGACCCACTGGAATTGTGATACAGTGCATTATAAGTGAAATAATCTGTCTGTAAACAATTGTTGGACAAATTACTACTGTCATGCACAAAGTAGATGTCCTAACTGACTTGCCAAAACTATAGTTTGTTAACAAGAAATTTGTGGAGTTGAAAAACAAGTTTTAATGACCTAAGTGTATGTAAACTTCCGACTTCAACTGCATGTACAGTGAGGTGTCTCTCAGGGAAGTTACCTTGGGCCATTACTCTTCTCTATTTTTACAAATGATTCCACACTCTACATGTCAGCACCCAAAGCCAGTGAGCTCACTGAAATTCTAAATAAGGAGTTAGAGTCAGTATCAGAATGGGTGATTAATAAGAAATGGTCTTAAATCTAAAACTAAAAGCTTTGTATTTGGTTCAAAACATTCTCTAAGACCTAAACCTCAACTGGAGTTGTACATTAAAGGGTGTGACTATTGAGCAAGTTGAGGAACTAAACTCCTAGGTATAACATTGGATGGTAAATTATAATGGGCTAGTCATATTGACATAGTTGTTGTGAAGACGGGGGAGGGGTATGTCTGTTATAAAAATATGTTCTGTGTTTTTGACACAAATATCAACTGTACTAGTTGTTCAGGCTCTGATCTTGTCCCATCTTGATTACTGTCCAGTAATATGGTCAAGTGCAGCACAGAAAGACCTAGCAATGCTGCAGCTGGCTCAAAACAGAGCAGCACGCCTTGCCCTTAAAGGAAAACTCCACCCAAAAACTATATTTTGGTATTTGTTTCATTAGTCCATTGTTGATATATTCCCAAAATGTTTTGCATTCAGCAATCAAGTTTTCAAGATATGTGCATTTTGCATCATATGATGCGAAATGCATCATACAGGCCATATTTCTGTATTTTGAGAACATTTTGGGAATACAGTATATCACTAACTGACTAATGAAACAAATACAAAAATATAGTTTTTGGGTGGAGTTTCCTTTAACTGCACATACCGAACTAACATCAACAACATGCATGCCCGTCTTTCCTGGTTAAGGGTTGACGAGAGATGAACTGCTTTTCTTCTCCTTATGAGAAATATTACTGTGTCGACAATTCCAGATTGTCTGCATAATCAAATAACATTCAGATCAGATACCCATACATACCCCACAAGACATGCCATCAGGGTTCTCTTCACAGTCCCCAAGCAAACATTTCTAAAAACATGTTTTTACTTTGTCATTATGGGGTATTGTGTGGGTGAGAGAAAGAAAATCTATTTAATCAATTTTGAATTCAGACTGTAACAACAAAATGTGGATTAAGGCAAGGGGTATGAATACTTTCTGAAGGCACTGTACACACACTCACATACACACAGACATCCCCAGGCCGACAAACAATCCACATGAAAAAATAATATAGTATAAAATGGTATAAATACTGTAGTGTTACTATCTTTATATACAATAGTATTCACTGTAGTGGACTTTACTGTATTACTCACTGTAGTGTTTTTGCAGACATTACTGTAGTTTACTGTAGTATTTACTATAGTGTTTTTATTTTACTATATTTGACATAGAAGTGGGGGCTTTCTCCTTGAGGAAACCTGCTGGACAAATACTAAAATAGCAAATGTACCATAACCTGTAGGCAGGCAGGTCTGCAGACTGAACCAATTGCTCATAGTGCCTGCTTTTTTCTATAACCTGTATGGAACACAATATATGGTCTATACTTGGTATGTAGGTTTCTCACTCACGGGTGGCATAAATTGGAATATGGGGGCGGGGAATGGGTGGGGTATATGCAAATCAAAACTGTAGTATTACTTTTCTTTTTATATAGTGTTTTTGCGGACACTAGTGCTTTTGCAGACATTACTGTAGTATTTACTACAGTGTTTTTGTGGATAATACTGTAGTATTTACTATAGTATTCTACCGTATACTATAAAATTATATAGTAAGGACTACACATGATCGAGGGATACTACAATGTGTAGTGTATTCTACAGTGTACTACAAAATTCTATAGTAAGGTACTACACATGATCTAGGGATACTACAGTGTGTAATTTAGTATTCTACATTAAACTACACAATTCTATAGTAGGTACTACACATGATTGAGGGATACTACAGTGTGGAGTATACTACAGTTTACTACAGAATTCTATAGTAAGTTCTATAGTACTCTATCGTAAACTGTAGTATTTTTGTATGTGGGATGTGTAACACATTTCAGTCTAACAAAAATAATGTTGTTATTCCTATGTAATTGCTTTTAGATGTTTAATTATAGGGATAGAGTTTGTGTTTGAAGGACCATGAATGGAGAGAATATGTGATCGTGGAATGTTTCTGTGCTGGAAACATTGGTTATGGAAATGTTTTGTAACAGATTAGCCTCCAAGGAATGTTACTAAAGTGTTTTTCTTGATGTCATTATCGAGTGCCTGGCTGCTGGGGTGGCCTTCAGACATGGGACACACACACAGGCCTTACTAGGGGAGCTGGTCCAACACACACCCCACTCCCACTGACAGCTCACTTTTCAGTTGAAGTAACTACGGTAATTACTTTGTGAAAAGTTTGTGCAACTCAATGAAGTTCAACAATGGAAGTAGTGTTATATTGATATGTGAAACAAGAAGCTGCTGAATGGCTAACAGTATGCAATATGCATGCCCAGCCTTGGGAGCACACATGCAATGAGATGAACCAAGAGTCCAGTGCTGGTCAGACAGACTCTGCAGCCTACCTCAGAGTATAAAAGAATGGAAAACATTCATGCTAATAGGACATTCCAAATTCCAAATTTAATTAGATTCAGTCTGCTTCAGATGTAAAACATCCTCTGTGCACTTAGTAGATGAACACACCAACACACACACACCACTTAATGTTTTGAAATGCCACATGTAAAACATACTAATTCCTCGAATGTAAAACATCCACGTCACTGAAATGTGCTTCAGAATCCATTATTGAGAATGACGTACGCACTGAACCCCTCTTGTCTTTTGTGTGCAAGGACAGAAGGGCCTGTAGAGTTTGGTCAATTAGACTCAAGGCTCTCTGTCTTTCTCCTCTCAGGATGTCTGTGCGGTTTAGGATCGCAGAGCTCAGACCCTTACGGCAAGATGACATCGGAAGACATCTATAACCTGCCCCTCAACGTGTACGTCATCATCCTGGGCATCGGCCTCTTCATCTTCATGCTCAGCCTGATCTTCTGCTGCTACATGTTCAGGTGAGGCTTACTTCACGGCAGTGATCACCTACATTCTTGGAAAAAAGGGTTAAAAAAAGGTTATACGGCTGTCCCAACAGGAGAACCCTTTTTGGTTCCAGGTTATAAAAAACTTTTAGATCCAGGTGGAACCATTTTGGGTTCCATGTAGAAAACTCTGTGGAAAGGGTTCTACAGGCAACCCAAACGGTTCTACCTGGAACCAAAAGGGTTCTAGCTGGAGCCAACAAGGGTTCTCCTATGGGGACAGCCGGAGAACCCGTTTAGGTTCTAGATAGCACCATTTTTTTCTAAGAGTGTAGGGGCTATATCATTAAGCAAGGTCAATGACTTATGGGTGTGGTACTCTCAGTAACCCATAGTCAGCTATAGCTTCCTTTATAGACCACAATGTTAAAGAGTTATGTTTTTGTCAATGTTAGCTCAGCTGGCTAAATTATTGATCCTGCTTTGGGAAGTACAACCCTGAGGCAGACACAATCAGGTAGTACAATAGGTTTTAAACAACAATGTGATTAATGCTAGGTATTGAACAACCTCATGACATCATCAGCTGCCAGGCTTTTTGCTAAGACTGTGTTTACACCTGGAGCAAAATGTGTTTTCTGGCCAAATCTGAGGCAACATATTCTACACTTTCTTGTTGTCCAGATGAAGAACCAAAAATACATACTGAAATTTGCTCCTGATCAAGTGCTTTGCAGCTGTAGCACAGCCAAGTGTAGACACATTGTGACTTGCATTTGACATTCATGTGAATACTATAGGGAAAACTGGTCTCCATGCCAACACATTGGGCACAATGAGACATGATATGATAGAGAGATGAGATATACTGAACAAAAATATAAACGCAACATTTAACAATTTCAAATATTTTGCTGAGTTACAGTTCATATAAGGAAATCAGTCAATTGAAATAAATCATTTAGGCCCTAATCTATGGATGTCACAACTGGGAATACAGATATGCATCTGTTGGTCACAGATACCTTAAAAAAAAGGTAGGTGCGTGGATCAGAAAACCAGTCAGTATCTGGTGTGCCCACCATTTGCATCATGCAGCGTGACACATCTCCTTCATATAGAGTTGATCAAGCTGTTGATTGTGGCCTGTGGAATGTTGTCCCACTCCTCTTCAATAGCTGTGCGAAGTTGCTGGATACTGGTGGGAACTGGAACACGCTGTCATACATGTCGATTCAGAGCATCCCAAACATGCTCAATGGGTGACATGTCTGTTGAGTATGCAGGCCATGGAAGAACTGGGATATTTTCAGCTTCCAGGAATTGTGTACAGATCCTTGCGACATGGGGCCGTGCATTATCATGCTGAAACATGAGGTGATTGCGGCGGATGAATGGCACGACAATGGGCCTCAGGATCTCGTCACGGTATCTCTGTGCATTCAAATTGCCATCGATAAAATGCAATTGTGTTCGTTGTCCATAGCTTATGCCAACCCATACCATAACCCCACCACCACCATGAGGCACTCTGTTCACAACGTTGACATCAGCAAACTGCTCAGCCACACGACGCCATACATGTGGTCTGCGGTTGTGAGGCCGGTTGAACGTACTGCCAAATTCTCTAAAACGACGTTGCAGGTGGCTTATGGTAGAGAAACGAGCATAACATTTTCTGGCAACAGCTCTGGTGGACATTCCTGCAGTCAGCATGCCAATTGCACGCTCCCTCAAAACTTGAGACATCTGTAGCATTGTGTTGTGTGACAAAACTGCACATTTCAGAGTGGCCTTTTATTGTCCCCAGCACAAGCTGTACCTGTTTAATGATTATACTATTTAATCAGCTTCTTGATATGCCACACCTGTCAGGTAGATGGATTATCTTGGCAAAGGAGAAATGCTCACCAACAGGGATGTAAACAAATTTGTGCACTACATTTGAGAGAAATAAGCTTTTTGTGGGTTTGGAACATTTCTGGGATCTTTTATTTCAGCTCATGAAACATGGGACCAACGCTTTACATGTTGCGTTTATATTTTCATACCAGATTAATCTAATATGAAATTATTTGGCGTCAAAACACTATGTGTATCTGCCAGTGTCAAAAATAATGTTTTTAAATCCCTTTTTATAATTCTGTTTCAGGTTAAGGCGACAAGGCACAAGGGAGCAATACGGATATAATGAGGTAATTTCATCTTGTTTGAATAAACATTTGTACTGTCAGACATACAAACACTAAACAAAACTCTTCAAAAAAGTTGTACATTTCTCAATTCATGATGACTTTGATCTGCTGCTTCTTGATTTCTTTGGATTGGCAGATGTTGTTGTTGATGATATGTTTAGAAAATTGATTTATATGGATTTATAAAGCTGTTCTTTTGTTTTTATTTTATTGTATAAAATAGTTCCCTCTGTCAAATATATGCATCTTTGTTTCTAGGTTGTTTTGAAAGGAGCAGGAAAGAAACTGAGTCTTCTTGGAGTAAGTTGATTTCATTGGTCCAGCTATGCACTTTACAAATAAGAACATTTTGTTTCAGCAGGGGGATATAATATTGGCCTTGGCATCAGAGGTTTATGGTGGGGAGTGAGAGAGTTAGTTTTTTGAAGGGGAGTGTAAACGTGATCTCTTTCCCATCCTACAGCAGACCTGTGCCGTGTGCTTAGAAGAGTTCAAAAGCAGAGACGAGCTTGGAGTTTGTACCTGCTCACATGCCTTCCACAAGAAGTAAGTCCCTTCCCACAGTCTTGGCTTTGATGGCATGAAGTGAACAGCTGCAGGTATACTCAGAGGGAAGAGATCAAAAGCAATGAAACACTAAAATTGTAATGTTAAAAAATCATGACAAAGCCCTCCAGGTGTAGTGTCAAAGTGACAGGCATTTACTGTCTGTGTGACTTTGTCATTTGACTATATGAGCCTGTTTACCCCTAACGCAAGCCATATGTCTCTCCCTAGTCCAGGGGTGTCAAACATACGGCCCGGAAGCCCATTCAATCCGGCCCGCGTGTGATTTGAGTAAAAAAAATGAGTGTGTAACAATTGCTGAAATGAGCATAGAAAATTCCTAAAACAATTGATAGACAACTTGTAGCAGGTGATTTGGAAGGAGTCAGGCGCAGGAGGGGTAAATCACAGAATAAATGGTTTATTCGGCAGATACAGCGGTACGCAGCAATGCGTAAAACAACTACAGTGAAGTAATAACGGCGCACTGGAGAAAACAAAACACACAGGTGAAAATCCCGGCGATAAGGTACATAAAGCTCCACCGAGCTATCGACACCTCCACATGAAACAATCACACACAAAGACATGGGGGCAGAGGGAATACTTATACAGGGACTGATGAGGGGATATGAACCAGGTGTGTGTAAAAACAAGACAAAACAAATGGAATGATGAGATGAGGAGCGGCAGTAGCTAGAAGGCCGGTGACGACGAATGCCAAAGCCTACCCGAACAAGGAGAGGAGGCAGCTTCGGAGGAAGTCGTGACAGTACCCTCCCCTTGACGCGCAGCTCCAGCAGCGCGCCGACACCGGCCTCGGGTACGGCCAGGAGGACGGGGAGCAGGGCGAGACGGATGGCGACGGTGGAAATTCCGCCTCAGGGAGCGATCGAGGACATCCCTCACCGGGACCCGGCACTGCTCCTCCGGACCGTACCCCTCCCACTCCACAAGGTACTGAAGGCCCCCCACCCGACGCCTCAAATCCAGGAGTACGCCGGGGCCCCCTCGATGTCCAGAGGGGGCGGAGGGACCTCCCGCACCTCAGACTCCTGGAGCGGACCAGCCACCACCGGCCTGAGGGAGATACGTGAAACGAGGGGTTAATACGGTAATCAGGAGGGAACAGCAACCTATACGTAACCTCGTTAACTCTCCTCAGGACTTTGAACGGCCCCACAAAACGCGGGCTCAGCTTCCGGCAGGGTAGGCGGAGGGGCAGGTTCTGGGTCGAGAGCCAGACCCGATCACCCGGTACAAAGACCGTGGCCTCACTGCGGTGATGGTCAGCGTTGGCTTTCTGGCGACGCACGGAGCGCAGGAGGTGGACGTGGGCGGCGTTCCAGTTGTCCTCTGTAGGAGCTTCGGTCTGGCTCTGATGCCATGGTGCCAGGACCGACTGATACCCTAAAACTCATTGAAATGGAGATAGGTTAGTGGAGGAGTGGTGGAGAGAGTTCTGGGCATATTTGGCCCATGGCAAGAACACGACCACTCCCCCGGCTGGTCCTAGCAGTAGGACCGTAGGAACCTACCCACATCCTGATTTACCCGTTCCACCTGCCCATTAGATTCGGGGTGAAACCCAGAGGTCAGGCTGACTGAGACCCCCAGACGTTCCATGAACATCTTCCAGACCCTAGACGTAAACTGGGGACCCCGGTCAGACACTATGTCCTCTGGCACCCCGTATTGCCGGAAGACGTGAGTAAACAGGGCTTCCGCGGTTTGCAGGGCCGTGGGGAGACCGGGCAGAGGAAGGAGGCGGCAGGCTTTAGAAAAGCGGTCCACATCGACCAGGATGGTGGTGTTACCCTGAGAGAGGGGAAGATCAGTTAGGAAGTCAATCAATGAGTGGGACCATGGCCGTTGTGGAACTGGTAAGGGATGTAACTTAACCAGGTGCCTAGGTGCCTTACTCTGGGCGCAGACCGAGCAGAAGGAGGCATACACCCTCACATCCTTAGCCAAGGTAGGCCACCAGTACTTCCCGGTCAGGCAGCGCACTGTACGGCCGATGCCTGGGTGACCAGAGGAGGAGGACGTGTGTGCCCAATAGATAAGACGATCATGGACACTAGACGGCACATACCGCAGCCCAGCTGGGCATTGAGGTGGAGATGGCTCTGTGCGTAACGCCCGCTCTATGTCCATGTCTACCGCCCACACCACCGGCGCCACAATGCAGGAGGCCGGGAGTATGGGGGTGTTGTCTATGGGCCTCTCCTCTTTGTCGTAAACCTCCGATAGTAATTGGCAAAGCCAATGAAGCCCTGCACCTCCTTTACCGTTTTTGGAGTCGGCCAATTACGCACGTCTGAAATGCGGTCTCCCTCCATCTCCACACCTGAGGTGGTGATGTGGTATCCGAGGAAGGAGACAGATTGTTGGAAGAACAGACTATTTTCTGCCTTGGCATATAGGTCATGCTCCAACAGTTGGCCCAGCACTCTGCGAACCAGGTACACATGCTCGGCGCGCGTAGCAGAATACACCAGAATGTCATCGATGTAGACCACCACACCATGACCAAGCATGTCCTGAAACACCTAGTTCACAAAGGACTGGAAGACTGATGGAGCATTCATCAACCTGTACGGCATCACCAGGTATTCATAATGCCCCGTGGTTGTGCTAAATGCTGTCTTCCACTCGTCCCCTTCCCGGACATGCACCAGGTTGTATGGACTCCTGAGATCTAATTTCGTGAAGAAGCGCGCCCCATGCATTGATTCGATAACAGAGGAGATGAGGAGTAGAAGGTAACTATAGCGAATGGTAGTTTGATTAAGTGCACGGTAATCAATGCAAGGGCGCAGACCTCCGTCTTTCTTCTTCACGAAAAAGAAACTTGAGGAGGCGGGTGAAGTAGAGGGACGTATGAACCCCTGGCGCAGGGACTCAGAGACGTATGTCTCCATAGCCACCGTTTCAGCCTGCGACAGGGGATGTACAGTGAGGGAAAAAAGTATTTGATCCCCTGCTGATTTTGTACGTTTGCCCACTGACAAAGACGTGATCAGTCTATACATTTAATGGTAGGTTTATTTGAACAGTGAGAGACAGAATAACAACTAAAAAATCCAGAAAAAAGCATGTCAAAAATGTTATAAATTGATTTGCATTTTAATGAGGGAAATAAGTATTTGACCCCTTTGCAAAACGTGACTTAGTACTTGGTGGCAAAACCCTTGTTGGCAATCACAGAGGTCAGACGTTTCTTGTAGTTGGCCACCAGGTTTGCACACATCTCAGGAGGGATTTTGTCCCACTCCTCTTTGCAGATCTTCTCCAAGTCATTAAGGTTTCGAGCCTGATGTTTGGCAACTCGAACCTTCAGCTCCCTCCAGAGATTTTCTATGGGATTAAGGTCTGGAGACTGGCTAGGCCACTCCAGGACCTTAATGTGCTTCTTCTTGAGCCACTCCTTTGTTGCCTTGGCCGTGTGTTTTGGGTCATTGTCATGCTGGAATACTCATCCACGACCCATTTTCAATGCCCTGGCTGAGGGAAGGAGGTTCTCACCCAAGATTTGACGGTACATGGCCCCGTCCATCGTCCCTTTGATGCGGTGAAGTTGTCCTGTCCCCTTAGCAGAAAAACACCCGCAAAGCATAATGTTTCCACCTCCATGTTTGACGGTGGGGATGGTATTCTTGGGGTCATCATAGGCAGCATTCCTCCTCCTCCAAACACTGCGAGTTGAGTTGATGCCAAACAGCTCAATTTTGGTCTCATCTGACCACAACACTTTCACCCAGTTCTCCTCTGAATCATTCAGATGTTCATTGGCAAACTTCAGACGGGCCTGTATATGTGCTTTCTTGAGCAGGGGGACCTTGCGGGCGCTGCAGGATTTCAGTCCTTCACGGCGTAGTGTGTTACCAATTGTTTTCTTGGTGACTATGGTCCCAGCTGCCTTGAGATCAATGACAAGATCCTCCCGTGTAGTTCTGGGCTGATTCCTCACCGTTCTCATGATCATTGCAACTCCACGAGGTGAGATCTTGCATGGAGCCCCAGAACGAGGGAGATTGACAGTTATATTGTGTTTCTTCCATTTGCGAATAATCGCACCAACTGTTGTCACCTTCTCACCAAGCAGCTTGGCGATGGTGTTGTAGCCCATTCCAGCCTTGTGTAGGTCTACAATCTTGTCCCTGACATCCTTGGAGAGCTCTTTGGTCTTGGCCATGGTGGAGAGTTTGAAATCTGATTGATTGATTGCTTCTGTGGACAGGTGTCTTTTATACAGGTAACAAACTGAGATTAGGAGCACTCCCTTTAAGAGTGTGCTCCTAATCTTAGCTCGTTACCTGTATAAAAGACACCTGGGAGCCAGAAATCTTTCTGATTGAGAGGGGGTCAAATACTTATTTCCCTCATTAAAATGCAAATCAATTTATAACATTTTTGACATGCGTTTTTCTGGATTATTTTGTTGTTATTCTGTCTCTCACTGTTCAAATAAACCCAGTGAGAACCCTCTGCGGCCATGAAAAGGTGGGGTCGTGTAGTGCTAGCCAGGGAAGGCCCAACACAACAGGGAAGTCAGGGGACTCAATAATATAAAAGGTGATTTGCTCTCTATGGGTCTCCTGCGTAATCATAGTGACTGGTGCTGTAACCTCCCTAACAAAACCTGACCCTAATGGTCGACTGTCAAGTGCTTTGATGGGCAATGGAATGGACAGGGGAACCAATGTAATACGTAGACTATTAGCTAAAGACCTGTCCATAAAGTTCCCAGCAGCGCCTGAATCGACCAGCACCTAACACTGGGGAACTACAGTGTAATCAGGAAAGTTTACGTGGATGGTGAAATGCGCAGCAGAGGGCTCTGAACGAGTGAGGGTTTGTGCTACCTAAGGTGACGCGAGAGTGCCCTGCCTGCCGCCTCCAGACCCAGATGAACTCTGACGAAGAGGCGAGCGAACTCCCCGTAGTTGTCCAACACGTCTCCTCCTTCACTCCAGACCACGTTGGCCCACTCCAGGGCTTTCCCCGAGAGGCAGGAGACGAGGGCGGACACCTTATCCCGACCCGATGGAGCCGGGCTGATGGTGGTAAAATAGAGGTCCAACTGCATGAGGAAACCCTGGCAGCGGGCCGCTGTCCCGTCATATTCCCTCGGTCGAGACAGGTGAATACCTCTGGGCGCTGGGGTGTGGGTGGCTGGATCCGGTTGCTCGGCTGGTTCCGCAGGGTCGGGTCCTCTCCTCTCCAGGCGCTGGAGGACCTGGAGAACCCGATCCATCGCTTCACCCAAGCTGGCTAACATGTTGGAATGCTCCCGGACCCGCTCAACGACTCCATGCTGTTGGGCATGAGCATAGAAAATTCCAAAAACAATTGATAGACAACTTGTAGCGGGTGATTTGGAAGGAGTCAGGCGCAGGAGGGCTAAATCACAGAATAAATAGTTTATTCGGCAGATACAGCAGTACGCAGCAATGTGCAAAACAACTACAGTGCGGTAATAACGGCGCACTGGAGAAAACAAAACACACAAGTGAAAATCCAGGCGATACGGTACATAAAGCTCCACCGAGCTATCGACACCTCCACATGAAACAATCACACACAAAGACATGGGGGGCAGAGGGAATACTTATACAGGGACTGATGAGGGGATATGAACCAGGTGTGTGTAAAAACAAGACAAAACAAATGGAATGATGAGATGAGGAGTGGCAGTGGCTAGAAGGCAGAAGCCTGCCCGAACAAGGAGAGGAGGCAGCTTCGGAGGAAGTCGTGACACAACTATTTCTTTTAAATTTAGACTGCGATGAAATATAACACATTTTCAGTGCGGCCTCTTTGAAGACCGAATGTGGCCCCCGGGGCAAAATGAGTTTGACACCCCTGCCCTAGTCTAATGACTTCTCTCACAGGATATGTTTGACATGTTAGTAGCCAATGGCCTATATAATAATATGCAGGGTGGTGTGTACAGTTTAACCTTCCCCTGAATTGTTATATTATTAACTGTGTACAGTGTTGTTACAATGTGCAAATAGTAGAAGTACAAATGACAAGGGGAAATAAATAACCAGATAAATATAGGTTTTATTTACTTTGGTGTTTGTGCTCCACCAGTTGCCCTTTTCTTATCGCAACAGGTCACACATTTTGCTGCGATGATTGCACACTGCGGTATTTCACCTAACAGATAACGGAGCTTATCAATATTTGATTTGTTTTCAAATAATTTTTGGGTCCTTGTAATCTGAGGGAAATATGTGTGTCTCATATTGTCATACATTTGGCCGAAGGTTAGGAAGTGTAGCTCAGTTTCCACCACATTTTGTGGGCAGTGTACACATAGCCTTTCTTCTCTTGAGAGCCAGGTACTGTCTATACATTGCAAATGTTTTTCTCTGTTTTCTGTCAGTCTGAATCTATCTCTCTCTCTCTCTCTCTTTCTTTCTCTCTGTCTCTCTCTCTGTCTGTCTATAATATAATACCTTCCCCGCTCTGCCCCCACGCAGGTGTCTGTTAAAATGGCTGGAGATCCGCAGTGTCTGCCCCATGTGCAACAAACCCATCTGCCGTTTGCAGCCAGACCCCCAACAGGGCGCAGAGGGGCCCCAGAGCCCAATGGAGGTGTGAGAGGAGAGAAGGACCCCACCACAGCACCTCAACACCACTAACTACAGTCCCAACCTGCCTCTCCCAGCCCGTCCGACCCCTAAAAATCACACCCTGGTTCAGGTGAAGGGAATCAGGCATTCCATCCTGACCTCTCCCATATATCCCTATCCTAGATTTCTGACAGACTATTTGAATCCACTCCACTCTTTGAAGGTGTTAGAGCCCTGCAGGTGTGTGTGTGATGAGACTTTAAAGTGGAACTCATAGAACAATATTGGAGGACAAACTGACAAACTGTCAATACCCTCCATCCCATGTTGCCAAGTGAACATAGGGTGTCCACTCTGATTGGTCGATGAGTAACATGGAACCTGGATGGAGGTGACACCCACATACCATGCCCATAGCTGCCAATATGGGCCTATGAGGTATCCAGCTATGACATAGGGTACAGTGACCCTGTCTCTAAATAACACATCAGGGTCATTCTTGATTTGCAGTGCCTTTTGGGCATGGCATTTTGGAAGAAATTAACTTTATTTTTGTTTAATTGTTTTTATTTAAATGTATTTGGGTATATCTTCACATTCTAAATCAATTAATATGGCCGATTAATGACTTTAAATCATTTTGACAATAACCTTGTGCCACCAGTAGGAGTAGTAACACCAATGATGCCATTGTTGTACGTCAGATTCAGCCTGCACTGTCGGTTGAGGGATGAGCATCGCGTAGGAGTGACCCACCTGTCGGAAGACAATGCAATTATGGTAATACCAATGACAAATTTTTTGTAATTGAGGATTTTCTTAAATGGAGGCCACAGCTGCTCAAATCTAATGTCATTAACCCTTTAAAAATAATTTACTAAAGTTATATGATTAATCGCTCACAATGTAATTTCCCTTCATTTAAATTGATTAGCCTAACACTAATGACACTTTATTTAGACACACCAAATTATAACACTCTAAAAGGTTGTGATTAGCTAGCAACTTTCTTTAATATAGACTCTTCCCCCAATAACAGTTTGCCCTGGAGGGAATGCTCAATGTCCTTATATATATTTTGTGTAATGAGTAATCTCAGAAACCCAGAACTAACATCTTGTGTATTTGCATCAGATGCTTGATTAGATTCTGGAGGAGATGTATGAGGAAAGATACTAACACGCTTAGCGAAGTCTCTTTAAACAATGCATTAAATATACAGTTTTGCAGTAGAAAGGACATGCATTATGTTTTATTATTAATAAACAGTTCAATATAAACAAAAACGTGTATAATGTGTAACTATTTGTCATTAAGTGTTTTTCATGGTTGAAAAGCTGAGGGACGCAAATGCCATAGAAATTCAATTAAATACATAGTCTTTAAGTTATTTCTAAGGAATTGTTTTGTATTATAACTGACTTTCAATAAAGTGTAGTGTTTCAGCGATATTGAGAACTCTGTCATTCATTCTGAAGCATTAAGCATGCAAATGTTGTACATTCATCTGACCCTGCATGGCCTTAGCTGTGCATGACTGAATTATTTTGACATTCCATCAAACTATACTGAACAAAAATATAAACGCAACATGTTAAGTGTTGGTCCCATGTTTCATGAGCTGAAATAAAAGATGGCAGAAATTTTCCATACGCACAAAAAGTTTATTTATCAAAAGAATTGTGCACAAATATTTTTTACCTCCCTGTTAGTGAGCATTTTATCCTTTGTCAAGATAATCCATCCATCTGACAGGTGTGGCATATCAAGAAACTGATTAAACAGCATGATCATTACACAGATGCAGCTTGTGCTGGGGACAATGTAGGCCACTCTAAAATGTGCAGTTTTGTCAAACAACATAATGCTGCAGATGAAGCCCTTTTGTGTGGAAAAACTGATTCTGATTGGCTGGGCCTGGCTCCCCAGTGGGTGGGCCTGGCTCCCAAGTGGGTAGGCCTATGCCCTCCCAGGCCCACCCATGGCTGTGCCCCTGCCCAGTCATGTGAAATCCATAGATAAGGGCCTAATGAATTTATTTCAACTGACTGATTTGCTTATATGAACTGTAACTAAGCAAATTCCTTGAAATTGTTGCGTTTATATTTTTGTTCATTATAAGTACTGCTATCTTAAACTACTGTTAACAGAAAATAGATTAATGTTAAATATCCACAGCCAAAATGGGCTGGTTTTATAATATAATGTCCTTGCCTTCAACTTCATCTTCAAGTATTGTCACAATCATCGGGAACAGAGGACCAATGCGCAGCGTTATTTGCGACCATATTTATTAAATAAAGATCACACGAACAAAAACAACAAAACAATAACGTGACGTCCTTGGATCAAACACAACCTACTTGGAACAAGATCCCACAAACACTGTGGGAAAACGGGCTGCTTAAGTATGGTTCCCAATCAGAGACAACAAGCAACAGCTGATACACGTTGCCTCTGATTGAGAACCACACTGGCCAACATAGAAATACTACACTAGAATGGAAAACACATGAAAACTCACACCCTGGCTCAACATACTAGAGTCCCCAGAGCCAGGGCGTGACAAGTATTCAGTGTAATGGTCTCTGAACCAAGATTGAACCATGATTTTGTAGAGAATTCCATTTTGGATTTTTTTTCAGCAGCTGGTGGCAAAGATAGCTGGGGTTTCCCTTCCTTTGCTGGGGGGGGGGGTCCGGGGGCATGCCCCTCTGGGAGAGAAGGTAACTTCTGGTGACTTTTTAAAATGAATTAAAATGTTATTATTTTGACATCTGAAATATAATTTTCCCTTTAAAATCATTATAACCTGTAGCCCAACTGATGCAGCATAGCGGCTTTAAATAAATAAACTGAAGCATGGGTTTGCCAATCTGCATTTACCACATTGAAAACCCCCAAAAGACTCTGAATTCATCAAATGCTAAAAATATTTGTTGTAACGTGTCACTCTGACCTTAAAAGCAGAAATAAGTATTATGGTAAATATGGTACTTGAATAGTGGACAGGAATGCAGGAATGAGAAGGCAGGAATGAGAAGGGAGATGAATGCCTGTGCTGCTCAGACTCGCTGCTGTCAGATTCAGAGATGTCCTACTCAACATGTTCCAGCACAACACTCCCTGAACACTCACACAGTAACAGGGATCTCAAAGCAGACAAGGTAGATGTAGGAGTTGACACACTATGTGAAGTGTACATAGACCAGTTTGCATACGATTTGAAGGATTTAATTGTTGAACCACAATCCAAATGGTACCACACACCATAAGGAATAATTACTGAATACATTGAGCCATGTTTTAAAAGATGAGAGATGCAACAACTAAGTGAAATACTGAAGCACTTCTATCTGATGGCATATTATATAAAACCATGAGGACTTTGCTGCTTGCAGAGCTGGGTTCTGTGCTCCCTGCTGGTCAGGGTATATTACTGCCATGCAACCATTCCTCATGTTTGACATTTCCCTGTATCCTGCATGGCCAAATTAATAGTTATAGATTTTTTCAGGCCATTGTTTGAAGGCACCCGATCCATACACGCAGAGCCATGTATCCCTGTAGCTACCAATAGTAAGCCTATAGGATATACGTTTGATAAAACTTCAATAAACCATCCCTGTTCCTGGAGGGATACCCTCCTGTAGGTTTTCACTCCAACCCTAATCTAGCGCACCTGATTCTAATAGCGGGTTGATAAACGGATCCAGGTTAGTTACAACTGGGGTTGGAGCGAAAATCTACAGGAACAGGGTTGGAGACCCTGTCATATGAATGAATTAATTAATTAATATTCCTTCCTATGATGCACGATAAGGGAAGCAAACTGTGAGCCAGTCTAGACATTCTATTTCTAGGGGACTCTGCTCAGCTTGGATTTCATTGGCTAGTTTCACCGCCATGGCGCCAACCCGGAAGTTGCTGAAACTCGAAGGACAACAAAAGTAGATAGCGAGCAACTGTTACAGTTGGTTTTGTTAGTTTATTTTGTGTTAACGTTAAGGCAAGAGTTAATGGTTAAAATACGTATGTGGTTAATAGGTAGTCCGTTAAGGTAAAGCTAGGACTGTTATCGTTTTGTGTTTTGTATTCCTAACCACAGTAGCCAGCACGCTTGCTAACGTTAGCAACACTGCCCCTCAACGGACAGACCAGGGTCAGGTGATTATCAAATTATTGATTAATTGAAAAAGTTATTGACGCAGAAATCAAACCAATTTGCAGTAACATGGAGGACAGGACCAAGGAACTCGAAAGACCCGGCGGTTGCTTGAGTGTCGGTCAGAATTCAGAAGAGGCGACACCAACCGATGGTAGCCGCCAGAACAGTGTTGACAACGATGGATCGGAAGACCACGATGGGACGTCCAATAATGTTGACTCCGAGGATGAGGTACAGTACTGGAGACTTGGACAATATCTAGTGTTTCTTATATTGCTAGTGGCGAGTCATAATATACTGTTATGAATATGGTAGTTACATGGTAGCTACAATGGTTTGTACTCTATAAATGTAATGCACTGTAATATGGAATTACATTGTTTTTACATCTTTTCACAGCCTGAACTCCCTCTTAATCAATTCTACCCTTATATCCGCTGTGCTCTCTGCTGCGGATTCCTCATTGATGCCACCACCATAACAGAGTGTCTGCACACTTGTGAGTTACGATAATTAAGATGAACATTCCTGAAATATGACTGCAATCACTTCAGGCTCATCACATCAGTCATAACTGCTTTGTTATGTGTTTTCCCTTTCCCAGTTTGTAAAAGCTGCATAGTGAAGCACTTCTTCTACAGCAACAGGTGTCCCAATTGCAGCATTGTGGTCCACCAGACACAACCACTGTACAATATAAGGTATTGGTTTATTGTAGTCCCCTGTAGCTCAGTTGGTAGAGCATGGCGCTTGCAACGCCAGGGTTGTGGGTTGATTTCCCACGGGGGCCCAGTATGAAAATGTATGCACTCACTAACTGTAAGTCGCTCTGGATAAGAGCGTCTGCTAAAATGACAACAACAACAAAAAAGGTAAGCATGCCTGCCTGACGATATCTAAGAGCACACAGGCTCTTGTCTTGTTCAATTGTATCAGAGGTTTTGAATTTGAAGACATCGGTTCATGTTGTTTATAACAGTTGTTCAAAAAGAGAGATCAAAGGTTGTTTTTCTGCTAGTCATCATTCGTGTTCTTTAAAGATGACGTTTCTATGGTTACCCTCTCCCTGCTGGGGAGTTACCTGGTACACAATAGCCTAGTGTGACGCACAGGTACTGATTTGTCTGGCAGTAGATGCCACTGTTATCCATTTCAAGCACTCGCTTGTCTACTGAATCGCTGTGCACAACTCTGCTTTCTGCACAGTCCAAAGGGGCACAAATGTACAGATTACTAATGTGCAAACTAGGGCTGTCCCAAACAAAAATATATATTGGTTGACCAAGAGTCATCTGTTCCAATCGATTGGTTTACATTTTTTAATGTGTATTTTTACATATATAGACACCCTATGTTTGAATAAAATAAACTATATCTAGGCTACTGAGCTTGTCTGATACTTTCAGCATGGCGCTTAAAAATAAAGACACAAAAAATCTCTGAAGCTGGAGACTCTTATCTCCTTCACTAACTTTAAGCATCAGTTGTCAGAGCACCTTACCGATCACTGCACAGCCCATCTGAAATTAGCCCACCCAACTACCTCATCCCCATATTGTTATTTATTTTGCTCATTTGCACCCCAGTATCTCTATTTGCACATAATCTCTTGCAGATGTCTATCATTCCAGTGTTAATACTAATTGTAATTATTTTGCACTATGGCCTATTTATTGCCTTACCTCCATAACTTGCTACATTTGCACACACTGTATATATATTTCTGTATTTTTTGACTTTATGTTTTACCCCATATGTAACTCTGTTGTTGTTTTTATCGCACTGCTTTGTTTTATCTTGGCCAGGTCGCAGTTGTAAATGAGAACTTGTTCTCAACTGGCTTACCTGGTTAAATAAAGGTGAAATAAAGAAAGATGGAGCCAGAGATCAATATATAGCCTAACCAGAAGAAAAAAACCCTGTTCTGACCCTCGTCCTCCTGCTGCCCACTGCTACTGGCCTTTGCAGATTCTGCATTATGCTCCTGAAGTTGCCGTTAATAGGCTACACCAGGGGTCGGCAACCTTTTCCATTTGGATTGCCAAGTTATCGTACCATTTCTACTGATCTGCGTTGCGTGCCAGTTATGATTTTCATATGCACATTTCTGTGGAACAGTTTAATTTCATTTATAGTAAAGTCTTCATATCTCAAAATGTCATGTGGTTAATCAAAATTATATCTTAATGAAAAGGATACAAATCTAAAAGTAACTTCTATTGCCAATATGTAAAAATAGCCTACATAAAGACAACAAATAAAGACTTTGCAGCCCGCAGGTAGAAAATATCCTGATAAAAATAAGTATCCTATAAATCACATTGGCTACAAGGAACTTGAAACATTGTATCAACTATTGTTTTAACTTGGTCAGGCCTGAAGCTCCTGCTAGCAAACTTGCAACATTGTATAAATGTGAGCTCCAGACAGACATAGCTGTAGGCTATTTGCGCAAGGGATAAGAAGTAATCAGGTAGGACTATTTTAGGATGTTTCCACTGGATCAGAGCATGACATTTTTCCCCCTTTCATGCTGAGTGGTACTCGAAAGGAAGAGAGCTGGAAAGATTTTTCACATAGGCTACGTTGAGGAACTATTGTCATTCTCAATGGATGTAAAAACAGACTTTGTTTACTTGCTGTTTGAGGTGAAGAAAAAATTACTTTGAGTAGCTTATATATATTTGCCACTGTTCGACTAAAAAAATCTCGGTCGACCAACAGCCTGTCGACTAAATGGGTGCAGCCCTAGTGCAAACTCATTTTAAATGTAAATGTTGCCACGATAAACTGACATTTTCACTGAAACAACGTGTGCAGAAGTCCGCTTTGCAGTAGATAACTATAACTCTCCCATTGGCCCATTATCAATGATAATGGGGGGCCAGTATGAAAAATAAAAAAATAATGTATGCACTCACTTAACTGTAAGTCGCTCTGGATAAGAGCGTCTGCTAAATGACTAAAATGTAAATGTAAAAATCTATAGGCTAATACTCAGTTATACACAGGTATGTAAATACTTAACTGTATGGTGGGTATTTTTATCTCTCCACAGGCCTGACAGACAGTTGCAAGATATTGTTTACAAGATGCTGCCACATCTAGAAGAAAGTAAGTATCCACAAGCCTTCCATTTCTCACATTTTCCCAACCGCCACATGTCAATATTTTTGTTCTGCAATTAAGATAAATATTGTTCTTACTCTTTATTTTCTTTGCAGTGGAGAGAGCAAGGATGATAGATTTTTACAAACAGAGAGGACTGGAGGTGCCTAAACCAGGTATAAAATACCTACTTATTTGTTGTTGCTGTTAATTGTTTTTGGCAGATATTTGATGGAGCTTTGATTATATGAATGGTTTGCATATTTGAAGACTGAAGACAGCCTCTACCTCTGGTGTTATCCATGTCAGTCTCTGTCTGTCTCAATGCTGTGTGTGGAACATTCCCCTAATACTACTGTAACTCTTGTCTTTCTCTCTGACCTCAGTGGTGGCATCCCCGGCGGTCCCTGTGCTGAAGAACCAGAAGCAGAGGAGGGAGTTGCTTCCCCAGTCTGTCTTCACCATCCCTCCTGAACTGGACGTGTCTCTGCAGCTGGAGTTTGTGGGGTGAGTCTCTCCCTAGCATTAGCGTCTTCTATTTGAGGGATGGGGGATATTCAGTGAAATGTTATTGTTTATGTTTGTCTCTGGTCATTCTTGCCTCCCCAGTAGATTGTGCTGTTCTTCCATTGAGTGCATAGGGACTAGGACGAACATTTCAAGTTATAAGATTGATGGTTAACTTTACAAAATTGGTTGCAGGGATTAAGAAAATTCTATGTCATGTTTTGTTTTGATCCAGAGCGGAAGAAGGCATAAACAACTATAAGGTAATTACTGCTGACAAGCTCTTTTCTCAAGTTTTAATGACAGTTGTATGAGACTGTTAAAATAAATAACAGTCACAGCGATAACGCTGCTATCCAGCCACTATATAGCAATGGTCATACATAAAGTAATGTTGTGAAGTTGAGTTGTTTTAGTTATATTGATATATTGCTCAAATGAATAAGGGATTGAAATCTGTAACACTGGTGTCCCTGGCCAGCCTTTGGAGAGGCGGTACGTACGAGTGTCGGGCGAGGCCACCGTCCGCCATGTGGAACTTTTCATCAGGAGGAAGATGGAGCTGAGTCCCACCTGCCAGGTCAGTGGGAGGAGAATTCACGTTGACTTTACCAGGATGTCTGATGAGGTTATGAACTATTTCTGAAAGGGAACCCTGGCCAGATGCCCGATAGGGAAAGGCATAAATATGTACATACAGTATATCTCCTCGTTATAATGTGAGGGTGCGCTCTGCTTCAAGAAAGAGGCATGTTGTGTATATACCTGTGTGTGAGGAACCCATCTCAATCACATCCCCTGAAATATACCTTAGTGACCTGCATTGTTGCAATGCCAGGGCACTCTAGGACAAGCAGCCAAGTGCGAGGTCGATGCACGTTAAGCTCATCCAAGGACAGAGAGAGAAGTGTTCTTGTGTCTAATATGAAAGTGCAGAGTGTAACAACACAACCTGGGAGCAGAGCTACCTGTACATAACGTGTTTAGCAGTAACACACCTGGACAGGGATTATAGGCTTAGGCTGATTTCTTGGCACTCACCGGCTTCGTCTGGGAGTAAGATCTGCAGAGGACAGAGGAAGGGTAACTACCCCAGAGCTCAGAGTGATCTGAGTAGCAGGAGAACAGATTGTAAGCACTGTCACAAGCAGTGACATTGTCCAGAGTTCTGTTCATTTTTATTGAGATCAGTTCTAAACCAGGGATGGAAATGTGATTATTCAGGAATACTATTTCTGTATCTCATTGAAATTGATCTCTCTCAGGTGCCCCCCCCCCCCCCCCCCCCATTACATTTGAGTCATTTAGCAGACACGGTTTTCTAGAGTGACTTAAAGGAGCAATTAGGGTTAAGTGCCTTGCTCAAGGGCACATCGGCGGATTGTGCACCTAGTCGGCTTGGGAATCGAACCAGCGGAATTTCGGTTACTGGCCCTAACCGCTAGGCTACCTGCTGATGACCCCCATGTACGTTGTCACTCGGTGTGTCACTCTCATATGATGTCATGCAGTCTATCGAAATGATATGATGTCGTGTTGTGGTGCAGGTGGATGTTGTGTGTGGAGACCACCTCCTGGACCGTTACCAGTCGCTGCGAGAGGTTCAGGGCTCCATGGGAGACGATGCTCTACAGGTGGGTCCACTCAAAGACCCTATGTACTCCTAGTCACTCTTTGGTCTGGAAATAGCCCTGATATTGTTAGCCTCCATTTATGAGTTTTTACTGTGTTTTTATTCCCAGGATGGTCTTTTGGTTCTCCACTTTGGACTGGTGCTGCCTGCTCACATGTGAGCAGGGGAAAGTGGGATGCATGTGATCCTGATATTAATGCTGACCTTCAGGGAACCATGGTCTTCATTCTGCTACTAATGCCTTACAGAATCAAGTCTTCTCCTCTCTGCCTACTTGCCTGACTATTTTCAGTAAATTGCTGAATCCAGGGTCCAGATGTCTTCTTCTGTAAATTGGTAGGGTTATGTTAGGATTAGGTTATAGTTTTATATCTGAGAGACTGAAGTGATTTCAGAGGGCTCAAAGAGAAAAAGGATCTGTCATGCTACTACTACCAAAAGCTCATGTTTTTGCTACACTGTAGTTATGAGTTGAATGTACACTGTATCTGTACGGTTTCTTTGTTTTACATCATACATAATTTAAGCGCTTTGAAAGTTTGTACAGACTGTCTATAAATGCTTATTGTCACTTCATGTGATTGTCTTGAATATTGATGAACCGTTTGAGTTTTTCCTGACCAGAGTTTAGAGACACACAGCTGTTACTTGAAGATAATTCAAACAGGCCTTTTTGATACATGTAGTTTCTCAATATTAACACTAATAAAATACTATGCAATATATTATATACCCATTTTGTGTTTTATTGGGCTACATTTTGCATTAGCAGGTGTGGATATGGTAATTATGTGAATTTGGTTTCTGGTCACGTTTGGATATGCTAAGTAGGTTTAGGTTATGTTTTGACCTGTAATGTGGCTCTGAAGAAGGAACGTGACTCCCTAGGGGTGAGGGTTGATCTGTTCAGTGCAGTGTCATACTCTTAGTCACTAAGCTAGGACTGACCCTGAGCTCATGCAGTAGCCCGTGCCTTTCAGAGAAGGACAGGGAGGTAATGGGAAGTCCCATCACTCTGCAGTAACTAAAATGTAAATAATGATGCATTTGTCTTTAGCAGGTTGTCAGCATTGAAAGGATGATTTTCAAGTTGATCCAAATGCCAAGCCAATTAGCTGTGGAGAGTTCATATCCTCTCAGCTCAGTGCGTGGCCTGGATCTAAATCAAACCTATTTGCATCCTTCCTGCTCTACTCGGCTCATGGGGGATCTGAGAGAGCAGTGAACAGACTTGTCAGTCATTTATTGATGTGTTCAACAAGGTTCAATAAATAGGGACAAAATGGTTACAGTACATTTTCAATGGCTTCATCAATAGAGCCCCAACTCACAAAAATATTTTCCATGTACTGTACATGCATGGCATGACAACGAACGACAGAAGAGTTGGCTAAAGCACAAACAGATCTGGCAGCCAGGCTACAAAAATATATCAATTTCTTTAAAATATTATCTTTGTTTAAATTACAAAACTCACTCATTTCAACTACCTACCTTCCATATATCATATTACTAACTAAGACATCTCGAATCCCACTATTTTAAGTGAAGCTGGAAAGTGTAGCAGTGCTCAGCTGCACATAATGCATCATAGTAATAATTATAGTAATAATTGAAGATATACAGTACATTTGCTCTGTGCCTGTAGTTAACTGGCTCACAAGCTCTGAATTTATGTTGAGTGTCTCTAGTTGTTTGAGTTGATATCTGCTTCATCGCTCTTCTCCACTTTTTCCTCAGTGATCTCCTTGAAGCCATCTTTCTGAACAGACTCTTTCTCCTTATTGGTACTCCGTGCAGAGCTTGAGGCACGTGGCTGATATCCAAAATGACGGGTGCCATGGTTTGAGGCGCCGAATAATATTCCTGTGCTAAAGTGAGTTTCCTCTCCCTCCAACAGTTTTCTGAGGACCAAACACAGGTCAAAGGGTATGTTGTCAATACATTTATAGCTGAGAGTGATTAGTGACTTACATATTGTAACATTCATATTGGAAGAGGATGGAGGGCTACGGCATGTTCCCAAAATGGGAGTCACTGTAAGACTTTTTGCTAACAGAACCAGGTCACAGGTCCTGGTATAGAGAGAAGGATATTACCTGTAAGCAGCTATTTCAATGTCCAGAGCCATTTTGACATTGAGCAGATCCTGGTACTCTCGAAGATGCTGAGCCATGTCGTTCTTGATGTTCCGCAGATCATTGTCCAGGTGGCCAATGGTATCCTGTTTAGGTGAAAGGTAGAAACAAATTAGACCTTAAAATCTCCTTTGCAGAAGGCCTCTCAGTACTGAATGTCATTATAATAATATAATATGCCATTTAGCAGACGCTTTTATCCAAAGCGACTTACAGTCATGCGTGCATTCATTTTTTTTGTGTATGGGTGGTCCCGGGGATCGAACCCACTACCTTGGCGTTACAAGCGCCGTGCTCTACCAGCTGAGCTACAGAGGACCAAGGAAAAAACTTAGTCCAGATGGGTCAACCCAACCACCCCTTTTCAGAAAACGTAATCTATATCCTTTCCTTAAACCCTACTCTTTGTTTAATCTGTCTACTGTTTAGTCTGGCATTGTTCTTTTCTACAATTGTAAAGCAGCTTTGGTCCTTGAAAAGCACTATATAAATACCATGCCTGTTTAATTAGTATTATTATATATATACCTAAAGTGACATACACTGGGCTATCTATACATGAATTTCCAGATAACCATATGCATTCTCTATAAGGACACCGTAGCCTAGTTAAGTGTTCGCTTGTGCGTGGCAAGGAAGAGGATTTGAACGCTTCCTCCCCCGAGACTTACCGTGGCCGTCTGCGCAAGATGCCAAAAACGGATGACCGCTAATCCGATTTAGGGTAGTATAAATACACAGGGTCCGTTCAGTATAATGCACTGCATTTGGTCAGTCTACTCTAGGGGGTTGAAGTTAGGTTAGTAGACTACTCTGACGCCAACGTGCCGTTTTGTTTCCTGTCATGTCAAGCAGTGTGATAGTGATACACTGAACAAAAATAACACAAATATAAACGTAAAGTGTTCGTCCCATGTTTCATGAGCTGTAATAAAGCCATTTTGTGGGGAGAAACTGATTCTGATTGGCTGGGCCTGGCTCCCCAGTGGGTGGGCCTATGCCCTCCAAGGCCCACCCATGGCTGCACCCCTGCCCAGTCTTATGAAATCCATAGATTAGGGCCTTTATATGAACTGTAACTCATTAAAATCCTTGAAATTGCCTTTAATTTTTGTTCAGTATATATGATGACCTCACGCCACAGGAGCCCCCGCAAGCTCTCATGATCAGTCTTATAAGAGTTTCTCAGCTGGATAGGATACAACATACAGCTGTGATGATTCAAGCAGAAGGTTACCCTTGCTGCTATCTGCTATAAATCCTAGCAGATAGCAGAGGCTGGATCATGAAGAGGCGATCCTGCCTCTTCGTGCAGTTTCAAGTTAAGAGCATTTCAGAACCATGGACAGGGAAGGTTGAGGTCCAGATATCAGTGTCTCATCCCAGAACATGCAACAGTCTCAAAATAATAACAATGTTTTAAGATGCAAAGACGGCTACCAATTGCAATAGAAATTATGCATTGACGTGTTTATTCTACAAATAATTTGCGTGCGTAATCTTACTTCTCCATCATGCATAGGCATGATGTTCTCACTTCCCCAACACAGGCGCACCTGTGCAATGGGGGGTGCGTGTATGTGTGAGAGAGAGAGCAGTCAAAGTGCAAACAAACTTATTTTACCTGAAAACCTGCGATTTCAAGATTGTGTCCATCTTCTATCTCTCGAATCTGCCGTTCCAAAGACTCGTTGGTACCACGCAGGGTCTCCACCTCAATTGTCTTGGACTGCAGTTGTCTCCTGAATTCGTTGATCTCCTCCCTGCTGGCCCGCATGGCCTCATTACTCCTGGTGGCCTGCTCATTGAGATTGGCAAACTTGGATTTATACCACTCTTCCGCGGAGTGCAGGTTCTTAGAAGCCAGAGTCTCGTACTGATTGCGGATTTCTTTCAGAGCCGAGGTGAGGTCGGGTTTGGCCAGCTCCACGTCGACTGACACATGAGCTGCCTGGACCATACCGCTCAGTTCGGCCACCTCCTCGTCGTGGACCTTCCTCAGGAAGGATATCTCATCCAGGAGGCCCTCCACCTTGCGCTCTAGATCCAGCCGAGCCATGGTGGCGTCATCCACGTCCTTTTTGAACGACCGCAGGGTCTGCTCAGCCTCCTCGCGCGCCCTTATCTCCTCCTCATATTTGGCCCGAAGCTTATGCAGGTCTTCTTCTAAGTTGTCCCTATCGATGAGAATGTGCGCTTTCTCGCTGCCGATCTCCTCCACTTGCGCGCGAAGCTCGCGCATCTCCTGCTGGTATAGGTCCGCGATGCGAGATGGCTCGTGCTGTCTCTGGCGCAGGGTCACCAGCTCCGTCTCCAAGACTTTGTTCTGCTGCTCCAGGGTACGCACTTTCTCGATGAACATCGCGAAGCGGTCATTGAGACCCTGTAGCTGTTCTTTCTCATTGGTTCGGGTGACTTTCAACTCAGTGCTGAGGACGGAGGATTGAGTCAAGTCGAGGCTGTCGCCTGGCACCGGCGAAAAGGAAGAAGACTGACCGGTCCTTCTGTAGTAGCTGCTGCGGGGGAGAGACACCGCAGACCTGTAACTGCTGGAGGACACAGAACTGCGGGAGGAGGCGGAGGGACTGCTCATACGAGAGGTTGAGGGTGAGAAACGAGGAGCGTCCCCGAAGACCTTTCGGTAGGACGACGAGGTATAGTGGTCAGATCCGTAGTTCATCTTTGCGGTTGGCGAGAGAGGCTTTGGAAAGCTTTGGCTGTGCTTATATAGGTTAAGACAGACCGACCCAATACACACTGAGATTTACATTATCGCCATAACATAAGCGCATGCTAATATAAGATTTTCTAAAACGAATTTATTTGAACAAAACGTTTATAGGTCTAGGCTACAATATATATATTTAAATCCATTGATCTGTTCTACTATTGTGAGGTGGAGGCTATGTTCCTTTCCCCGAGCATCGATGGAACTGTCCACCTGGTGTAGCGCTGATGTCAGAGGATTTTTAACTATTCGTGCAGGTGTGAGCTGCTGCAGCCTGCGAAACTAGACATCTGTCTCTGAGCTCTATAGAAACTATATGGAAAACTCGTTCGGTTTAGCTATATGTTTTATATCACATATTCTGGTCGTGCATAATGACGCTGTGGCACAATTGAATTGCCCCACAAATATTAATTCACCTGTACTTCACCATGCACCTCATGACACCGGCAGATGGAGACGTAGACATATATTTTACCTTTGCAATGGGATTCTAAATGTGTTATGTTTACCATGGAAGGAAAATAATTGTGCTGCAGCCTAATAGCAGGTTGTTGTTTTTTACGCACAGTCTGCCCACATTCCCTCTTTGTTGCACAGACTGCTCCTATCTTATGCAACCGTGAGATCCTGTCATTGGCATCAAGTCGATCTGTAAACTCTGATCTGAATGGGGAGAGGTCAGATAGACCTTCAATGAGGCCTACAAATAAGAATGTTCCAATAGGCCTATTATTATAACATCTGTATATGGACTGTTCAATCTATGTATTGCATTTCTATCTACATATTCTGCACCAGGCTTCACGCATGCTCCGTGAATCATTAGCTACCCACTCAATTTTGCAGCAAGACTGGTGAGTAGCTTCCCTCGTCCTGCGATACTAGCATAACTTGTAGACTAACAACGTGGTATATAAACGAAGCATACACGATATTTAAATATGTATTGGTTATTCTCTCGAGTGTGGACTAAAAGAGTCGTCTGCACTAAGCTGACCTGCTTGCGTTTAGCTTAGCTAGCAGCAGCTGTCGTAGTTGTGATGCGGAACAGAAAAGCTTGCTTCGGGTCGCGAAGAGCTATTGAACAATGGCTCGTTGCGGGACGAAGCAAATAAAGTCATGTTCCGCTAGTTGTCAAAATATCTCTACCTAGTAAACATTAGCTGACTTGCTATTGTTGCCTGTTAGCTCTATAAAGGTTGACTGTGTGTGGGAATCTCCAGTTCTCATGTGACAAGGAGTTGTCATGATGGAACAAACATATCTGGGACCAGGCTAGCTACATGGGTAGCTAGCCAGCCCTAGAAAGCTTGCATGCGGATTCTCCATAGCCAGTTAAGTTAGCTAGCTATTAAAATGTGATTTATTTTGACAAGGTCTTATCAACAAGCATTTTTCTGCCGGCACTCTTTTTAGCTCGTCGTCAGTGTTTCTCTTATATTACTACTTAGGCGCGGCGCTCCTCCCCATCCTCTATCCATTAGTTAGCAACTAAGCTAGTTAGCTGTTGCAGCTTTAGGCCTATAGAAAACTGCTTGTTTTATCCAGTAGAGTCTGTTTGAAGATCATACCTCAGACGCTGTGAGACATGCAAGCTGAGGCCGGATGTCGAATGGTGCCTGATATGATGGTGCGTTACATCCACGCCACCAACAGCACGGGTGGTGAAATTAGATTTTGAATTAGAAAAACAAATTGTCCACCCAATGTGGAAAGTTGTCTAAGGCTTCACACACATAAAAACTGATATTAAATACTGGGCTCTAGTTAGTTTTGTTTATTTTAATGGGCGAGCGAGATATAACCTGTAATATTGGTCGCCAATTGGTTAACTTTACTGTCTTCGGGAAGCATGACGACAAGCTGGTGCGATTTCCCAGTGCACTGGTGTTGTGTTGAGGTGCCTGCGGACCTGAGGTGCTTCCCACTCCGCAGCTGTATCGCGTTGTTGCCGGCGGTAGTTAACGTGGCCAAAAGTTTTCCTCCCAAGTTTTTACAATTCCAAGTTGGATAGCATCCTTCATGAGAAATAACAATGGTAATACTTTGGTAAATAATAATGGTAACCATCTGGATGTCACCGGGAACAGTCTAATCAGTGGGGAGAGCATACATGGCAAGTCGGTGTTTCACAACACCGGGACAGTGTCCTTCACCCTCGCCTGCGGCGCACTGCTTTCCCGCAGTTCTGTTAACTAGGTAGGTACCTAGCTAGCTAGTGTAGCCAATTAATCAAGGTGACAGCAAAAGTTGTTGTAGTAATTTATTACAGGACATTTACAAGTATGCCATTAACATTGTATCCAAAAAATAATAAAAACTAAATTAATCCTGAACACTTAGCTAATTCTATCAACTTCGACCACTACGATTGTCGGTAAGATGGTATGGTAGCCTATGTTTGCTGCGCACTAAAGCCTAATGTCCACCAGATGAAAAGATGAACATGCGTTTTGACATATGATGTTTTTGTCGGATGTCTAGGCCACATTTTCCGTACTTGATGCACATGTGCTTCGCAAGGCTGCAGAACGGTTTGAATCATGGAGAAGATCACAAGGGGGCATTACAACAATTAATCTAGTTTGTTTCTATTCTTCTGTCACATTCATCTCTAGTAACATCAATACATTGAACTGGTTGTTCCCATATAGAGTACTGATTTCAAATCACTAGCTTGCCCTGCATGATGGCATGCGAAATTACGCACAGAAAAGTTCTGTGTATTATTTTGCATGCCATTCTGTTGGCTGGTTTGCACTATTACCCAAGTGTAGTAATGATTAATTGTTCCAGTGTCATTCTTACAGGAGCCACATTTCCAGTCATTCAGCCGGTATGTTCTTGTCTCCAACTTCTGTATGGTTCCGCCCCCCATGTGGAAGTTTTATGAACTTCCATTTGTACCACCGAATGGTAATGCAACGCACAAGTTGAAAATATTGAACGCATGCTGTACACAGAACGCACCGCTACCTAGTGCGGCATCCCAAACGTAGGGTTGCGGACTGCTCCATTGACAATGAATTACTTCCGCCGGAACCCAAAGAGTTTGACGTATCTGGTGGACATGAAGCTTAAGGCCCTGGGCCCAGTTTCCCAAAAGCATTGTAAGGCTACGTCCATTTTTAGATCCTTTGTATGAGCGTCGTTACATCACCGAGCTGTTTCCCAAAACCATCGTTACTAAAGTTGGTCTTGAAAACGCTCGTTATTTAACGACTGTCTCAGACCACTTGTAGAACAGCTAACGCCTCGATCACACCGATAGCGTCATCGCGCAAAATGGCACGCAGCATCATCTGGAGATGTGTGCAACAAAAGTTCAACATTCACCTTCTGCTACCATTTCTGTCAAGCCGTCTATGCATACAGGTTGACGCATACGTTTGATAAATCCAACGTATGCACCACACAGAACGCACTGCAACTGCCTCTGCAACGCAATGCTGCAAGGCAAACGCAGCGTTCTATTGGAAATTAATGTACTTGTGCACCAAAAATGAAATGCGCTATCGGCGTGATCAAGGCGTAAGTATGTCGTTAGATGCTTTTTTTCCCTTCCGCATCACTTTATACATAGATTTCCGCTAAAGACAAAATCAAGAAGTTTATTGGTATTTCTGTGACTGCCAATAACTTGGGAACGAATGTGACAGTGACTGCAAAAGTTGCCCATACAAATACAAAGTTGCCCATTTCTTTACATAACAAGCGAAGGACATAAAGACGATTCAAATGGGAACCGAGATGACTGTATTAAAATATATAATATAGGCTACATAGACCAATTTTTTGAATGATATTGAAATCAATTTCATGTTAATTCAATTAAATTTTATATAGCTATCGGGAAACCAGGCCCTGGTCCAGAGCTGGTGACAGATTAAAGCTTTGGCCCAGGGCATTAGTACGCTGTGCAAATACTATCTGAGATGCATGCGCTTTGAGATTCACAGGCCAGTCGCCTTCAGTGCGCACCAGGTGCAGCTGGATGCTTCTCGTTTTATCAGCCTATCATTCGATTTTAACATTGGATGACCCAGATTCCATTTTCTTTCCAACTAGGCTACTGTAGTCTTACACCAGTAGTTAGTTCCATAGCTGTTCTCGTAAGGTTGTACACTTTGTTGTTGAATATTGTTGAATGTGCTTGCTGCATGTTCTTGCATTATGTTCAGCTGTCCTTATTTGAGGATGTCTGTGTTTAGACTTGCACAGAGTGATTAACTGCGATTCCACTGTAGTAGAGCCTTATTATTGTTAGAAACGAGTCTACTCCAAGGCTCAGAGTAGAAACAACCCTGCCTCGTGATTTCCCTGAAGGCCATGTTTAAAAAAAAAAAAAAAATCCTCACTCACAGTCAATAAGTATCATTTTTTTTAAAAAATGAGTGAGTTGAGCCTCAAACTCTTGAAATACTTATCATCAGAGCCTGGGAGGAGCTTAATTGAGGTCCCTTCAGCCTAGATGAGGGCTACACCATATTACTGCTGCCAAAGTTCCAGTAACAACATACTGGTCCTTAAAGCCTATTCACTTTGATTCACAGAAATAATTCAAACGGTTCAAGATGACTTCATGGAGCGACCGCTTACAGAACTTTGCAGACCTCCCAGCCAACATGGATGGCTTGGCCATGAAGAAGTATCGGCGTGAGGCCTACCACAGGTACAGAATAAAGATGCATAACATAACGTGTCACAGAAATGTATGCTTTGTGGGAAAGTCTTTCCATTTCATCAGAGCGAGATTCCGTTAGGGTAAGGTCATGGCGATTAGCCTGGGTGCCAGTCTGTTTCTGCTCTCTTGCCAACTTCTTATCACTCATTGTCACGCCAAACATGACAAGGGGTAGGCATGATGGCACAAACAGATCTGGGATCAGGCTTCATGGCGATATTATCGCTCCTTTATTATTGCTTATGCGTAATGGAGGCTAATTGATCATTTTAGTTTTCATATGTTATTGAAGGTGTGAAACACACTCCTGATTCCGTACAACATTTAAAGTTTAATACATTTTGATGCATAACTATGTAGTGTAATAAACATGTTAGAAAACAGAAGGTCTTTTGGGTGTCGAAATCGTGTGGCCGGCAACCTTTTCTGGTAAAAAAAGTCTGTTGTCATGGTGTAGTGCAGCCTGCCATTGGCAGGGTCTGTCTGTCTTCCTCATTCTGTGGTTGAAAATCTACATACCCTTTCCAAATAACAAAACAGGGCAAGCATTCACTGTCAATGCAACAAGTCTAAAAGCAGTGTAGGAACCACCTGATCTATGTGGTGTGCATCACTGGAGCACAGCCTACGACACATTCACATTCAGTGGTAATGCTATCGCACATGTATTCTCTATTACAAAGCTTTCCAAGGGAACTGGCCCAATACCATCCTGCAATGAGGTACGCCAAACTTTTGTTGTTGAACCTCAATACTGACTGAATGACCCTTTGTACATGATGTGTATTTATTCTCCATTCAGAATCCATGTTCATACTGACACTAGCCCTCTGTGTGCTGGGTAGGTCCCTGAGGGTGGGTGGTAGGTGGTCATGAGTTCTTGGTGTGATCTCTCCTCTTCCCCCTCAGTCTCCCCTTCATTCCCCCTCTATTACTGCATCTCCCCTCACCCGCTCCTAATGCCACCTCCCCATCGCCATCAGTCTGAAGTCTTATCTCATAACATCTGAATAGAAACTTCAGGCCAGAGTAGTGTTGGAGGAGGGAAATTCCACAGTGAAAAGGAATAAAATATATGCCAAACAAAAACCATTGATTTCAAAGTTTAAAAAACCATTCAACTCTATGCACAACGACTACTTTGAACAATTTACACTATAAAAAAACAAACATTTAAAGATGCCAAGTTTGGTAACAGAATTACGGTAAAATCACCCTCAGTTTTATTCTGTTATTGCACAGGTCCTCCTCTAAATGTAGGATTTTTTTTTTGTGTGGAAATTGTTAAAAGTTGGCCTTATGCATAGAGTTCTATGGTTTGTTAAACTTTGAAAGCAATGGTTTTTGTTTGGTATACATTTTAAAGTGAAAAATTTGAGTGAGTGAAATTCCGTTACCATGGAATTGCCCAGGAACAGTATGGCTTTGTTGGAGCGAGGGAGAGATGTATCTAGAATGTTATTGCCTACTTTGCTTCCTATTAGATATATTCAACTGATTAGGTGCATTTTCAAGCTTCTGTTGTTTTAAAATGGTTTTCACATTTTCATTGTGTCGGAATGTAAACTTCACTACAGGTGTTTCCTGTTGGTCCGTACGATGTAGGCTTCTCATAGTGAAAAGACCTAGTGTCCGAATAAATACAAGACAAGCCGAAAGTGCCTCTTAAATGGCACCAAAAAGGGCAGTGAACCTCAATGTGTTGCTTTGTTGCAATATTCACACTAGCACAGCACTTAAAATGCATGCCCAACACATTCTAAGTGATGTGCTAGTGGAGGCCCAGAAATTGGAGCCACTGTGTGTCCTTCGGTTGGTGTGCTACCTTCTGTTCTCTTTTTGAATCAAAATTAGCTGTAGTGTCTATTTGTAGTGTTGTGAAATGATTCCTTCTTCCTCTGTTGCTTTTTTTGGAATAGAGGTCAGGCAAGAGTTGACTGCACAGACTCTGGAGGGGTTGCCAAGGCCTTTCAGTATGCACATGGGCACCAGCAGCAGACAAAGCACTTGCCTAATTCACTTTCATTGTATTGAGGATTGCTTATGTTATAACGGAATTGACTCAACGTAGCAGTGTGTAAGCACATTTGTGGACCTATAATTCAATACAATGATGGCAGGTTTCAGAGGAAATCTGAGGAAGGCTTTTTGAAGTTTGAAGTTCAGATGTGTAGCAGACTATGTAACAAATGTAGAAATGGATTTGCATGCCATTGATGTTGTGATTTCTTTTTGGGTTTGAGTGATACTTGGTTGTTTCTTTCATATTTAAACATTAGGCTAGTCTCTCAACAAACCAAGTCTTTTCAGGAAGTGGGTTAATGTTGACACTGACACAGCAGTGATGCAAGACTACGGGACCTTTTGTACAGTGGTTCTTCCTTTCTGTGTGGATTTCTGCAAACTTAGCCTAATTATTTTCAAGCAAACGCCAATTATTGTTCATGTATAGGCCTACATGTAAACAATGCTACAAATTGTCAAAAGTGTAAAATCTTACTATAGTGCCGTGAAAGTATTTGCCCCCTTTCTGATTTTCTCTATTTTTGCATATTTTTGACACTGAATGTTATCAGCTCTTCAACTAAAACCTAATATTTAGATAAAGGGAACCTGAGTGTACAAATAACCCAAAAATATAAAACTTATTTCATTTATTTAATAAACAGTGTTATTTAACACCAAATGCCCTGTGTGAAAAAGAATTTGCCCCCTTACACTGAATAACTGGTTGTGCCACCTTGAGCATTTGTGGGTTTTTGAGCATGAACTGCTTGTTTCAGGTCCTGACACAACATCTCAATCTGGTTTAGGTCTGGACTTTGACTAGGCCATTCCCAAAACGTTTACATTTGTTGCTTTTCAGCCATTCTGACGTAGACTTGCTTGTGTGTTTTGGATCATTGTCTTGCTGCATGAACCAGCTGCGCTTCAGCTTAAGCTCACGGATGGCCTGACATTCTCCTGTAGAATTCTTTGATACAGCACATAATTCAATGTTCCTTCAATAATGGCAAGTCGTCCCGGTCCTGAGGGAGAAAAGCATCCCCAAACCATCACACTACCACCACCATGCTTGACCGTTGGTAGGAGATTCTTACTGTGGAATGCAGTGTTTGGTTGTTGCCAGACATAGTGGGACCCATGTCGTCCAAAAAGTCAACTCAATTTTGCCAAAAATCACCTGGATGGTCATAAAGACTCCTGGAAGAATGTTCTATGGACAAATTAGTCAAAAGTATAACCTTTTGGGCGACATGGGTCCTGTTATATACAGGGATTTTTCGCCCAACAACAGAAAAACATGTAAGCGAATAAAACCAGATAGAAAGTATGTAGAAAAGATAATGGACCTATACACAGAGTACACAAAACATTAAGAACACCTGCTCTTTCCATGACATAGACTGACCAGGTGAATCCAGGTGAAAGCTATGATCCCTTATTGACGTCACTTGTTAAATCCACTTCAATCGGTGTAGATGAAGGGGATGAGACAGGTTAAAGAAGGATTTTTTAAAGCCTTGAGACATGGATTGTGTATGTGTGCCATTCAGAGGGTGATTGGGCAAGACAAAAAATGTAAGTGCCTTTGAACGGGGTATGGTAGTAGGTGCCAAGTGCACCGGTTTGTGTCAAGAACTGCAATGCTGCTGGGTTTTTCACTCAACCGTTTCCTGTGTGTATCAAGAATGGTCCACCACCCAAAGGACATCCAGCCAACTTCACACAACTGTGGGAAGCATTGGAGTCAACATGGACCAGCATCCCTGTGGTACGCTTTCGACACCTTGTAGAGTCCATGCCCCGACAAATTGAGGCTGGCAGCTCAATATTAGGAAGGTGTTCCTAATGTTTGGTATACTCAATGTATATTTTTAAATAATGTATTATTTGAGAACTAACAATCACCAAAATAAAAGCTAGATAGTCAGGGGAAATTGAATTGATTTTATGTTTGAGCAAAAGAACACATCATTAGCCATGGCAAAATGCATAGAATTTCAGGAAATTAGCTTTAAAACTACAACATTTTCTCTGCTCCATGGCACAATGTGTAGTAGAATTGCAGGAAATTAGCTTTAAACCTGAAACAATTTCTCTCAGCTCCATGGAGAAAAACCTGTACATCGCAAAGATGGGGGCTTCATTGCCACGCCCCCCTGTCACGCCCACCACCTAATCCCCTTTTTGATCCAGAAAAAAACCTTGATGTCTGGCAAAAACCAAACGCTGCATTCCACAGTAAGAACCTCATACCAGCAGTCAAGCGTGGTGGTAGTGCAATGGTTTGGGGATGCTTTGCTGCCTCAGGACCTGGACGACTTGCCATCATTGAAGGAACCATGAATTGTGCTCTGTATCAGAGAATTCTACAGGAGAATGTCAGGCTATCTCTGTGAGCTTAAGCTGAAGCGCAGCTGGGTCATGCAGTAAAACAGTGATCCAAAACACACAAGCAAGTCTACATTAGAATGGCTGAAAAGCAACACATTTGAAGTTTTGGAATGGCCTAGTCAAAGTCCAGACCTAAACCCGATTTGAGATGTTGTGGCAGAACCTGAAATGAGCAGTTCATGCTCGAAAAGCCACATGTTGCTGAGTTAAAGCAGTTTTGCATGGAAGAGTAGGCAAAAATTCCTCCACAGCAATGTGAGACTGATTTAACAATTACAGGAAGCATTTGGTTGCAGTCATTGCAGATAAAGGTGGCACAACCAGTTATTGAGTGTAATGGGGCAATTACCTTTTCACGGGGCATTGGGTGTTGCATAACATTCAGTGTAAAAAAATATGCAACAATTGAGAAAATCAGAAAAGGGGCAAATACCTTTTCACGATACTGTATATGACATTTGTCATTTGAAATATGGCCTTTGAATTGGACTCATAATTTTTTCTCCACCTTTGTAAAGATTTGCGTAATCCTCCACTGTGAATGCATCTTTTGTATGGACACATTTAGAGTTGCTACTGCAGTGCTCCACTTCTGTTCTGTTGAACTCAGGACCCTGTCCTTTACTATCACCTGTTTACATGCCAAGTATCCTCTTTAGGTTATGTTCATCATCAGAACCTCTGACTGACTATATACTGTACTTCCTTTTCAGAGTTTTTGTGAACAGAAGCTTGGCAATGGAGAAGATTAAGTGCTTTGGTTTTGATATGGACTACACTCTGGCAGGTAAGTGTACACTGAGTGTACGAAACATTAGGAACACCTTCCTAATATTGAGTTGCTCCCCCTTTTGCCCTCAGAACAGCCTCGATTTGTCAGGGCATGGACTTTACAAGGTGTTGAAAGCGTTCCAAAGGGATGCTGGCCCATGTTGACGCCAATGCTTCCCACAGTTGTGTCAAGTTGGCTGGATGTCCTTTGGGTAGTGGACCATTCTTGATACACATAGGAAATTGTTGAGTGAAAAACCCAGCAGAGTTGCAGTTCTTGACACACTCAAACCGGTGCAACTGGGACCTACTACCATACCCCGTTCAAAGGCACTTAAATATTTTGTCTTGCCCATTCACCCTCTGAATGGCACACATACACAATCCATGTCTCAATTGTCTTGAGGCTTAAAAATCCTTCTTTAACCTGTCTCCTCCCCTTCATCTACACTGATTGAAGTGGATTTAACAAGTGACATCAATAAGGGATCATAACTTTCACCTGGATTCACCTGGTCAGTCTGTCATGGAAAGAGCAGGTGTTCCTAATGTTTTGTACACTCAGTGTATATGGGTGTGTGTGTGTGTCCATGTTTGTGTACTGACTGTGTGCATGTTTAGAATGTCATGTGTACAGTTGCCTGCTCAAATCAAAACAACGTTTATTGGTCGCGTACACAGATTTGCAGATGTTATCGCCGGTGCAGTGAAATGCATATGTTGATACAGTAGCCTACTCCCTTGCATGTAGGAGGTCTCAATATAGGCTAGACCCCCAAGTGGGCCAGCTCTGCTTTATGTGACATGTGTAACCTGGATGACATGTTTGTACCTTACACAGACATCACTCTCTCAACCAGTAACCCCTCACTCCATTGGGTCTCTGAAGTTGAACTTCAACCCAAGCTGCTCACATCCACCTGTTTATAGAGCCTGTCCCGGTCCCATAAACAAGTGCTGCTAAGGGGTTGTGTTTCCACACAGTGAGTGGGGAGAAACAACCCCTGGGGGGAGGGGGGGATAGGGCTGTGGAATAGCGCCAGGAACTAAAGGGTTTTTGACATGCCAACCGCTACAGGTCATTTGTTTCCATGGCCACTATCTGCAGTGCAGTCGAAGCGCTTTGCGATCGTGTGTTAGTGGGTCGTGTGTGTGTGTCGTGTGCATGCGCTTATATGTGTTCTGGATGTGTATGTTATTCCCTTAACATACCCATACCAGTTTCATTTCAACTGTCCACAGAGGACACGTATATATCCCCCCCCTCTGTTCCAGTGTGTAGGCCCTATGTCTTGCTTTGTCAGTCTCACCACATAAATCTTTCTCCCTCTCTATGAACATGGAGAGACTGCATTGTAGCTCTCTCCCAGTGAGTATATCACTCTGTACTACAGTAGCTGTATCCCTCCCTGCTTACTGCAGTGTATAAATCACCTGAGTACGAGTCGCTGGGATTTGACCTGACCGTGGAACGTCTTGTCCACATCGGTTACCCACAGGAGCTGCTCAACTTTGTCTACGACCCCGCTTTCCCCACCAGGTCTGTCTGTCTGACATCACACATTCACATCGGTTAGTTATTAGTAAGGTCAGACTGAATTCTTATGAATACCCTTATAGAGTTGTCTTTGATTTGGTCAATAAGACTCTATTTCTTTATGTTTTCTAACAGTACTTGGTTTGAACTGATTTCATTTCACAAATATATGATTTCAAAATAACTTAGGTCTTGAGAAAATACTCCCTCCGGTCTGGCCCAGGTTAAAAGTTATACATCTCAGTTAGTAAGCCTTTTTAGAGATGATGGCTGTCCCTCCTATCTCACACACACATACACTGTTCTGACAAGTTGTCCTACCACCCTCTGGTTCCAGGGGCCTGTTGTTTGACACAATGCACGGGAATCTGCTCAAGGTCGACGCATACGGCAACATCCTGGTCTGTGCCCACGGCTTCAACTTCATGAGGGGGTGAGTTCTGATACTCGTAATGATATCACACACATAAACATTTACCATGTGCTCATGCCAAATAGCCTCATATTGCACATACACACAGTATATAGTCATATCATACTCATTTAATCACTCTGTTCCTTTAGGCCTGAGATCAGGGAGATGTACCCCAACAAGTTTATCCAGCGTGGAGACACCGACCGCTTCTACATTCTGAACACACTGTTCAACCTCCCTGGTGAGACAGCAGTCTTCAACACATTTTTTTTGACAAGGATCTCTCCCCACTCCAAATCTAATGACACAACCTTAAAATCTGTAAATTTCGATTCTTACATCAAATAACCTTAAATTCCTAAAATGTTCTAAATGAAAAGAAACCAATAAATACATTTACTCAACATTTATTTTTCTAATTATCTTTCTCAAAAACATTTCTGTTGTCCCATACAATAATACAGTGAGGGAAAAAAGTATTTGATCCCCTGCTGATTTTATACGTTTGCCCACTGACAAAGGTATGATCAGTCTATAATTTTAATGGTAGGTTTATTTGAACAGTGAGAGACAGAATAACAACAAAAAAATCCAGAAAAACGCATGTCAAAAATGTTATGAATTGATTTGCATTTTAATGAGGGAAATAAGTATTTGACCCCTCTGCAAAACATGACTCAGTACTTGGTGGCAAAACCCTTGTTGGCAATCACAGAGGTCAGACGTTTCTTGTAGTTGGCCACCACGTTTGCACACATCTCAGGAGGGATTTTGTTCCACTCCTCTTTGCAGATCTTCTCCAAGTCATTAAGGTTTCGAGGCTGACGTTTGGCAACTCAAACCTTCAGCTCCCTCCACAGATTTTCTATGGGATTAAGGTCTGGAGACTGGCTAGGCCACTCCAGGACCTTAATGTGCTTCTTCTTGAGCCACTCCTTTGTTGCCTTAGCCGTGCGTTTTGGGTCATTGTCATGCTGGAATACCCATCCACGACCCATTTTCAATGCCCTGGCCGAGGGAAGGAGGTTCTCACCCAAGATTTGACGGTACATGGCCCCGTCTATCGTCCCTTTTGATGCTGTGAAGTCGTCCTGTCCCCTTAGCAGAAAAACACCCCCAAAGCATAATGTTTCCACCTCCATGTTTGAAGGTGGGGATGGTGTTCTTGGGGTCATAGGCAGCATTCCTCCTCCTCCAAACACGGCGAGTTGAGTTGATGCCAAAGAACTCCATTTAAGTCTCATCTGACCACAACACTTTCACCCAGTTCTCCTCTGAATCATTCAGATGTTCATTGGCAAACTTCAGACGGGCCTGTATATGTGCTTTCTTGAGCAGGCGGGCGCTGCAGGATTTCAGTCCTTCACGGCGTAGTGTGTTACCAATTGTTTTCTTGGTGACTATGGTCCCAGCTGCCTTGAGATCATTGACAAGATCCTCCCGTGTAGTTCTGGGCTGATTCCTCACCGTTCTCATGATCATTGCAACTCCACAAGGTGAGATCTTGCATGGAGCCCCAGGCCGAGGGAGATTGACAGTTATTTTGTGTTTCTTCCATTTGCGAATAATCGCACCAACTGTTGTCACCTTCTCACCAAGCTGCTTGGCGATGGTCTTGTAGCCCATTCCAGCCTTGTGTAGGTCTACAATCTTGTCCCTGACATCCTTGGAGAGTTCTTTGGTCTTGGCCATGGTGGAGAGTTTGGAATCTGATTGATTGATTGCTTCTGTGGACAGGTGTCTTTTATACAGGTAACAAGCTGAGATTAGGAGCACTCCCTTTAAGAGTGTGCTCCTAATCTCAGCTCGTTACCTGTATAAAAGACACCTGGGAGCCAGAAATCTTTCTGATTGAGAGGGGGTCAAATACTTATTTCCCTCATTTAAATGAAAATCAATTTATAACATTTTTGACATGCGTTTTTCTGGATTTTGTTGTTGTTATTCTGTCTCTCACTGTTCAAATAAACCTACCATTAAAATTATAGACTGATCATTTCTTTGTCAGTGGGCAAACGTACAAAATCAGCAGGGGATCAAATACTTTTTTCCCTCACTGTATGTACCGACTTTGAATACCACTGCCTTACAGTGACATTCAATAAACTGTTCACAGCCCCTCTGATACTGTCCACATTACTGCTCCAGAGTACTGCTCAAATACTCCACTGGTTGTTGTTCTATATGTTAGTGTTGTTGTTTTTTTCTTCTGAGGAATGTCCTTTTTGCTGATGTCACATTGGTGTTTCAAATGGCTTTACCTTCCTCCCTCTTCAGAAACCTACCTCTTTGCTTGTCTGGTTGATTTCTTCACCAACTGCCCCAAATACACAAGGTGAGTACGCTGCTCTTCCTCTGAAAACGGAATAATTTTGAATATTTATCATCAGACAGTTTGGGATTTATAATTCAAGTTATTGTGGTCCCAGCTGCGAGACTGGCTTTAAGAATGGAGACCTCTTCATGTCCTACAAGAGCATGTTCCAGGATGTCCGTGATGCTGTGGACTGGGTCCACTTGAAGGTAAAACAACCTCCCTCCTAACGTATTTTTCACTGAGTATGGTTATATGCACACAACAATACGATTATTGTGAATAGTCCGATTAATATAATAGTTTGATTTTAAACGTTTACATGCTACATGCTATTTCCCTAATAATCCTGTTTACATGGACACTAATGGGACTTTGATAAATGCAGAAAATCGGCAATCAAAATAAGCGTTCTACCACAGCGACCATGTTATTTTGGGGAAGCCTATTTGATTCTGAGTTCGGACATATAAAGTTTATGTGAAAACTATTTCTAAGATGCATACTTTCAGTTTTTCCGAACTCACTTCACTCGCGCATAAGAGGGAGGTTTGCACTGCTGGTGCTGGCACATGCACAGATCAAATACACCGCTGGAACTCCGATGAAGCTGTTTACATGTCCTAATAATTCAAAAGATTGCTCAGCGTATGCTTACTTCGATTAAGATAAGCAGAGTAAGGTGTGTACATGACTTGTCGTGACTTGACTTTAACTTTAATCTGAAGACTGTTATTTATCGAATTAACTAATTACATTTACATTTTCAACTAATTATGTTTAATTGTTACCCGATTTAAATTAATAATGTAACAATTAACTCATTAGGATCTGGGGCACCACGAGAGCGGTTCTTTAAAGAGTTACCATCTCCCGAATTAAACTCTAAAATGTCTTTATCTATAAACAGTCAACTTTATTAATCATAACCTCGTATCATATCATAATTCTAAACAGTCGTAACCTCCTTGCATCTGCATAAACCCGAGCCTTACTTATGATTCAGTATTACACAAATTGGTTTAATTATTATTTTACTAGCTAATTAAATGGGAACACAGGATAAACACACACACACTGCACCGGTTATTGACTGGAGACTTAATAGGCTGAAAACAGGTCCCTAGCGGAATAACAACAACATGGATGCTTGTTAAAGAAGAGATGGAGAGGGACAGAGACACTTAACATTGCCACATTCAGAAACTACTCTCACCTACAGTAACCGCTGCCCGCTTTGAGCAAGAAATCATGAATGTATTTACGTGAAATGCCGGGGTTCTCTCGGTGAACGGGGCAGCCTTGGAAAGGAGGTTGGGCACGCTTGTAAGGCTTTGATTGTCTGAAATGTTTCCAATAACTCTTCTCCTGTTGTCCTTCTTCGTAGTTGTCCGGTATCTGGTGACTTGTCGTGTAGTCCTGAACAGAATTACAGAGTTGATTTTCCTTCCATTCACTCTTGAAGATGCTTCTTTGAACATAAGCTAGACAGCCATATCCATGGTTCCCCAGTGGGGTGATGAGAGTAGCGTAATACGATGGTTTGAGCAGAGTAACAGGATGGTCCTACTTAAATTTGCTTTCGAAGATAGATACTTTACTTAGGACAGCTAATCAGCCGTACCAGTGAGTTTATCGTCTCCGCCTCGGGTTGAGATTCAAAGTTCAAACCATTTTAAACGCGCAGCTGCAGCTTCACACTTTTCTGGTCTGATGTGTTAATTCGTAACCCATCATTTATAACTTTTGCTCGAAAGGGGCGGTTCCGGCAGGCTGGCACGCTCCCTGACCTCACTTCGGAGCGGTGACTATTCACTGTGCAAAGTTATGGAAAACAATTATCTCTTAACTTCTCAAATCACATCCCTCTCTTAACAAAAACACTTCCATCATTTTTCATATTACATGCACAACGTATAGTATGGAAACTTCATCTATGAAGTGGGGATACTTTCCAAGTTACAGTATTTCCTTTAACATTTTTAATGACATCACAAAATAACAAACAAAATGACATTAGTGTCCTATAGATCGCCTCTGACCATTCCCCCACGTTCTACATTAGAAATATTGTTCCAGTATTCTCTTTTGAACGTGTTAGAGTTCTAGTGAATTTGGAGAGCACAGGCCTGGATCTTCTCCCTTGATGTACAACAGGTCGTGAGTTGTTAATCCCCACTAGTTCTTTCCTTCACCCTCTACGGGTGAGAGGGGTTCTGATTGACTATTGCCATACTTGGCCTTCTGCCATAATCTGTTTAAAATCGGATTATTAGTGTGCATGTAAACGTACTCATTGTATATATGTTATTCCTTCTATTCCCTGTCTAAATGTTTTGTCACCTGTTTTCATCAGGGATCTTTGAAAGAAAAAACGGTTGAAAACCTGGAGAAGTATGTGGTCAAGGATGTAAGTAAACTTCACATTAATTAATTGCATCTGACACAGTTTCAGTGACCTTGTCTTTTTTTAACACCTGTAAACGTATCACTTAAAAATTGTGGAGGTTTAATTTGAAATGTAATTTGCTTTATTTATTTCTTCTTCATTAAAGGGGAAGCTCCCTCTACTCCTGAGTCGGATGAATGAAGTGGCCAAGGTGTTCCTGGCCACCAACAGTGACTACAAATACACAGAGGTGAGGCCTACTGAGTGCACTGTACATAACCCCATACACAATCAATGAACATCACGTATAACGTCTCTCTGTTTATCATTTCAGAAAATAATGACATACCTGTTTGACTTCCCCCATGGCCCAAAGGTAAGGGACTGAATTGTCTTGTTTAGATTGTTGTTGCTTCCTTTCAGATCTATGAACTCGAAGTGAAGAGGGGTTTAGGGGAAGCGGCAAGAAGCTGAAAAGGAACAGAGGTTCAGTGTGCATGTTTTTGCTGCAGGTGGGAATGCCCCATCTGCCCTGGCAGTCCTACTTTGACCTGATCTTAGTAGATGCCCGCAAGCCCGTGTTCTTCGGAGAGGGGACAGTGCTACGGCAGGTTGACACAGTGAGTGTGTGTTTGGGCTCAAGTATGCTTTAAAATGTGTAGTAGTGTGGTGCCTGTGTGTGTGCACGTTTTTATGTGTGTGTGTGTGTTGGCATTGCCACAATGACCTTACCAGAGTGCTTGCTGTTGCAGACCACTGGCCGGCTGAAGATTGGCACGTACACAGGACCGCTGCAGCACGGCATTGTGTACTCTGGAGGTAACGCGCCCCTGACACATATCCATTATACAGTGCACTCGGAAAGTATTCAGAACCCTTGAATTCTTCCACATTTTGTTACGTTACAGCCTTATTTTAAAATTGATTAAATTGTTTTTTTTCCCTCAGTCTACACACAATACCCCATAATGACAAAGCAAAAACATGTTTGTTGAAATGTTAGCAAATTTATTACAAATAAAAAACTGCAACATCACATTTACATATGTATTCAGACCCTTTACTCAGTACTTTGTTGAAGAACCTTTGGCAGCAATTACAGCCTCGAGTCTTCTTGGGTATGACGCTACAAGCTTGGCACACCTGTATTTGGGGAGTTTCTCCCATTCTTCTCTGCAGATCCTTTCAAGCTCTGTCAGGTTGGATAGGGAGCGTTGCTGCACAGTTATTTTCAAGTCTCCAGAGATGTTCCATCGGGTTCAGGTCCGGGCTTTGGCTGGGCCACTCAAAGACATTCAGAGACTTGTCCTGAAGCCACTCCTACGTTGTCTTGGCTGTGTGCTTAGGGTGTGTTTTCCCTCTATCCTGACTAGTCTCCCAGTCCCTGCCGCTGAAAAACATCCCTGCAGCATGATGCTGCCACCACCATGCTTCACCGTAGGGATGGTGCCAGGTTTCCTCCAGACGTGACGCTTGGCATTCATGACAAAGAGTTCAATCTTGGTTTCATCAGACCAGAGAATCTTGTTTCTCATGTTCTGAGAGTCCTTTAGGTGCCTTTTGGCAAACTCCAAGCGGGCTGTCATGTGCTTTTAACTGAGGAGTGGCTTCTGTCTGGCCACTCTACCATAAAGGCCCTTTTCGTGAAGTGCTGCAGAGATGGTTGTCCTTCTGGAAGGTTCTCCCATCTCCACAGAGGAACTCCGGAGATCTGTCAGTGACCATCGGGTGCTTGGTCACCTCCCTGACCAAGGCCGTTCTCCCCCGATTGCTCAGTTTGGCTGGGCGGTTCCAAACTTCTTCCATTTAAGAATGATGGAGGCCACAGTGTTCTTGGGGACCTTCAATGCCACAGACATTTTTTTGGTACCCTTCCCCAGATCTGTGCCTCGACACAATCCTGTCTTGGAGCTCTACGGACAATTCCTTCGGCCTCATGGCTTGGTTTTTGCTCTGACATGCACTGTCAACTTTGGGACCTTATATAGACAGTTGTGTGCCTTTCAAAATCATGTCCAATCAATTGAATTTACCACAGGTGGACTCCAATCAAGTTGTAGAAACATCTCAAGGATGATCAATGGAAACAGGATGTGCCTGAGCTCAATTTCGAGTCTCATAGCAAAGGGTCTGAATACTTATGTAAATAAGGTATTTCTGTTTTTTTAAACCGGTTTTCGCTTTGTCATTATGGTGTATTGTGTGTAGTTTGATCAGGAAATTGTTTTATTTAATCCATTTTAGAAATAAGGCTGTAATGTAACAAATTGTGGAAAAGGTCAAGGGGTCTGAATACTTTCCGAATGCACTGTATATACAAATATCGCTCATAAATTAGGAATTTATTGTTGACGCATACCTGTAAGTAGAGCTTCCATACTGTCTCATTTCCCACAGTATAGGTGTCTGTCTGTGGCCAAACATCAACAGCCCTGTTTGAATACTTTGGAAATGCATTCTAATCACTGATATGACATGACCCTTTTCACCTATCACTATCGTGTTGTAGTTGAACCCCTAGTGATTACTCAGAGGAAGGAAACGGTCCAATGCAAAAGTATTCCAACAAGGCCTTAGTTTTCAGTTTTCTCTCTCCTCACAGGTTCCTCTGACATAGTGTGTGACCTGCTGGCGGCCAAAGGGAAGGACATAGTATACATTGGGGACCACATCTTTGGGGACATCCTCAAGTCCAAAAAACGCCAGGGATGGAGGACCTTCTTGGTGATCCCTGAACTGGCTCAGGAGTTGCACGTGTGGACTGACAAGAGCTGTGAGTTTAACACACCCTTATCATAGATACTGATGCTTGACAACAGTATTTGGGTATATTTGTGCGTCTTTGTGCACTGTTGTGCATCTGTTACAACTGTGTGTGTTTCTGTGTTCCAGCTCTGTTTGAGGAGCTCCAGTCTCTGGACATCTTCCTGGCAGAGCTCTATAAGTGAGTGTGTGCCTCGTCCACACAGCAAACTGAACCACATCCTGCCAAAACATAGGCTCAAGGTTGACAAACTAAATAAGGCATTGTTTTATCGACCAAATGTGCTCTATCAAATCAAATGTTATTTGTCACATGCTTCGTAAACAACAGGTTTTTGTGGGTATAAGCTGTTCAGGGTCCTGTTGGTTCCAGACTTGGTGCATTGGTACCGCTTGCCTATGACTTGGGTGGCTGGAGTCTTTGATCATTTGTAGGGCCTTCCTCTGACACCGCCTGGTATAGAGGTCCTGGATGGCAGGGAGCTCGGCCCCAGTGATGTTCTGGGCCGTACGTACTACCCTCTGTAGCGCCTTGCGGTCGGATGCCAACAGTTGCCATATCAAGCGGTGATGCAGCCAGTCAAGATACTCTCAATGGTGCAGTTGTATAACTTTTTGAGGATCTGAGGGCCCATGCCAAATCTTTTCAGCCAACTGAGGGGGAAGAGGCGTTGTCATTCCCTCTTCACGACTGTGTTGGTGTGTTTGGACCATGATAGATCCTTATTAATGTGGACACTGGGAAACTTGAAGCTCTCGACCCATTACAGTACAGCCCCGTAGATGTGAAGGGGGGCGTGCTTGGCCCTCCGTTTCCTGTAGTTCACGATCAGCTGCCTTTGTCTTGCTGATGTTGAGGGAGAGGTTGTTGTCATAGCATCACACTGCCAGGTCTCTTACCTCCTCCATATAGGCCGTCTGATCGTTGTCGGTGATCAGGCCTACCACTGTTGTGTTGTCTGCAAACGTAATGATGGTGTTGGAGTCGTGCTTGGCCATGCAGTCGTGGGTGAACAGGGAGTACAGGAGGGGACTAAGCACGCACCCCTGAGTGGCCCCAGTGTTGAGGATCAGCGTGGCAGATGTGCTGTTACCTACCCTCCCCACCTGGGGGGGCCCGTCAGGAAGTCTAGGATCCAGTTGCAGAGGGAGGTGTTTAGTCCCAGGGTCCTTAGCTTAGTGATGGGCTTTGTGGGCATATGGTGTTGAACGCTGAGCTGTAGTCAATTAACAGCATTCTCACGTAGGTGTTCCTTTTGTCCAAGTGGGAAAGGGCAGTGTGGCGTGTAATTGAGATTGCGTCATCTGTGGATAAATTGGGGCGGTATGAAAATTAGCTTGGGTCCAGGGTGTCTGTGATGATGGTGTTGATGTGAGCCATGACCAGCCTTTCGAAGCATTTCATGGCTACAGATGTAAATATTACGGGGCGATAGTCATTTAGACAGGTTACCTTGGCGTTCTTGGGCACAGAGGCTATGGTGGTCTGCTTGAAACATGTAGGTATTACAGACTGGCTCAGGGAGAGGTTGAAAATGGCAGTGAAGACACTTGCCGGCTGGTCAGTGCATGCTCTGAGTACGTGCCCTGGCCCCCGCGGAAATATAATTAGCATAATTTAAAAAAAATACCCATTAAAAATATGTCAGTTTAAACTAGAGGTATCTTTTTTGCGTCTCAATCCACCTCAACCGCCTATGTAACACTTCCGCATTTGCGGTGAAAGGTGACAGAGCTAGAGCGGTGTTTGACAGACCGTCTGTAGCGTCCGACAAACTATTATGACCCCTCTATGGAAAGATGAGACTCTAACGAACACGATGGAAGTATACACTACCAGTCAAAAGTTTGGACACACCTACTCATTCAATGGTTTTTCTTTATTTTTACTATTTTTTACATTGTAGAATAATAGTGAAGACATCAAAACTATGAAATAACATATATGGAAACATGTAGTAACCAAAAAAGTGTTAAACAAATCAAAATATATTTTTACATTTGCGATTCTTCAAATAGCCACCCTTTGCCTTGATGACAGCTTTGCACACTCTTGGCATTCTCTCAACCAGCTTCATGAGATTGATGAGGGGGAAAAAATCAATTTAATCCATTTTAGAATAAGGCTTTAACGTAACAAAATATGGAATAAGGCAGGGGTCTGAATACTTTCTGAATGCACTGTAGGATAGACACTTCAGAACAAACTTACTTTAGATTTTTTGGGGGGACTATCTGTTATTCCATGTAGTGAATCTGTTATTCAATGCATTTGTTTGGGTTAATAGCAGTAAGGCCAAATACAAATGTTCATGAAATAATGTTTTTATATTTATTTCTGATTCTTCAAGGGGTCTTAAAATTCAAAATCAAATAGCAAAATGATCCTCATGGGTTAAAGGTCTTACTCGCATCGGCTACGTAGAGCTGATCACACAGTCGTCCAGAACAGCTGGTGCTTTCACGATTGGTTCAGTGTTGCTTGCCTCGAAACGAGTATAGAATGCATTTGGCTCGCCTGGTAGGCTTGCGTCACTGGGCAGCTCGCGGCTGGGTTTCCCTTTGTAATCCGTGATAGTTTGCAAGCGCTGCCACATCTGATGAGCGTCAGAGCCTGTGTAGTAGGATTCGATCTTAGTCCTGTATTATGCTTTGCCTGTTTGGTGGTTCGTCTGAGGGCTTAGCAGGATTTCTTATAAGCGTCCGGGTCCTTGAAAGCGGCAGCTCTAGCCTTTAGCTCAGTGCGGATGTTGCCTGTAATCCATGGCTTCTGGTTGGGATATGTACGTACGGTTACTGTGGGGACGTCATCGTCGATGCACTTATTAATGAAGCCGGTGACTGATGTGGTAAACCCCTCAATTCCATCGGATGAGTCCCGGAACATATTCCAGTCTGTGTTAGTGAAACAGTTCTGTAGCTTAGCATCCGCTTCATCTGACCACTTCCGTATTGAACGCTGGTACTGTACCTCCTGTTTGAGTTTTTGCTTGTAAACAGGAATCAGGAGGATAGAGTTATGGTCAGATTTGCCAAATGAAGGGCGAGGGAGAGTCTCTGTGTGTGGAGTAAAGTTTTTTAGCCTCTAGTTACACAGGTGACATGCTGGTAGAAATTAGGTACGACGGATTTCAGTTTTCCTGCATTAAAATCACAGGCCACTAGGAGCGCCACCTCTGGATGAGCATTTCCTTGTTTGCTTATGGCCATATACAGTTCATTGAGTGCGGTCTTAGTGCCAGCATCGGTTTGTGGTGGTAAATAGACAACTACGAAAAATATAGATGAAAACACTTGGTAAATAGTGTGGTCTACAGCTTATCATGAGGTATTCTAACTCGGGCGACACACACCAACCCCCTTGAGCTTACACGACGCTGCCATTTTGTCCTACCGATGCATCTAGAAACCAGCTATATGTGTATTATCCATGTCTTTGTTCAACCAAGTTTCCGAGAAACATAGAATATTACAGTTCTTCAGGTCCCGTTGATGGGATAGTTTTGAACGGAGCTCATCCAGTTTGTGCTCCAGTGATTTTACATTTTCCAATAGAACAGAGGGTAGAGGGGGTTTATTTACTCTCCGTCGTAGCTTCATCAGGGTGCCCGCACTTCGGCCTCTATATCGCAGTCTCTTTCTCTTCCAAGTGTTGGAGATTAGGGCCTGGTCTGGGGTGAGCAGTATGTCCTGTGCAGCTGAATCGAGGTTGGTGATGTCCAGATGCTTTTTCCGGTCATAGAAAATGCGGAAACATTATGTACAAAAAAAGTTACGAGAAGCGCAACAAAACACACAAAATAGCAGAATTGGTCAGGAGCCCGTAAAACGACCGCTATACCTTCCGGCGCCATTCCTATTCTACGATAGAATGGTGAGACAAGTACAGATTAATATAGCTTGACTCCACCAAAGCCCAATCCAATAGAACTGTCTCTCTGTCCACAGAAATCTTGACAGCAGCAGCAACGAGAGACCTGATATCAGTTCCCTCCAGCGCAGGATCAAGGTACACACACCCTGCAAACTGGCACCACGCACATATGCATACAACACATACCCAAACTCAAATTTACACATACTGCAAAAAAAAAATCCCATACAGTCCACACAACCTCTAAATCTTCTCACTTTTTTTCTTCTCTTACCCACAGAAAGTGACCCATGACATGGACATGTGCTATGGGATGATGGGCAGTCTGTTCCGCAGTGGCTCCAGACAGACTCTGTTTGCGTCACAGGTGATGCGCTACGCCGACCTGTACGCTGCCTCCTTCATCAACCTCCTCTACTACCCATTCAGCTACCTGTTCAGAGCAGCACACGTACTGGTGAGTTCAGCTAATGTCTCATAGGACATCCAGATCTACATTCAGCACACAATGATGGTGAGGGAGCTCGCCCTCGTTAGATCACAAAAGTTAGGACAAAACGGAGGAACGTTGTTTGTCTGTAGGAAGACAATAAATTGAGAGCAGCACTACTAAGGGTTGTTTTTTGTTCTGTGTGGATCTGTATGACACTTCCTCCCCTGTGCTCTTCCCTCCCAGATGCCCCATGAGTCGACGGTTGAGCACGCCCACGTGGACATCAACGATACTGAGTCGCCCCTGGCAACACGTAACCGCCACTCCGTGGACCTGCTGGAGTTAGACTGTAAGAGGCACCAGCTGACCCGCTCCATAAGCGAGATCCAGCCCCCAAACCTGTTCCCACAGACCCCCCAGGAGATCACCCACTGCCACGACGAGGATGATGACGAGGAAGAGGAAGAGGAGGAAGAGTAAGCAGGAGAGGAGGCTCGCCAAGGGTAGACTTTTGCTTTAGGCACATATCTAGGATCAGTTTAGATCAGCCCCTCAATACTAAACCAAAAGGGAGGTAATGCAAATACTACTCCAGGAGGTGTATAGTGTGCGTACTGTTGTGTAGCCAGCTAGGTAACTGAATATCCCCAGCAAAGGGAATGGAGAGGCTCGTTAAGAGTCAGGATTAGGGTAAGGGTTACACAGATTTTAGTTTTACCGTTTGTATATATTTATCAGCACAGGCTATGTAAATGTTGTTTGTTTTGTTCTTTTTGCTTGGTGAAGTTTCCAGAGAAGTTTCCAGATGGAGCTCTTCGGACCAAACCTAAGAGACTGATGATGACATGGCCCCCCTAGCATGCCTGCACTGACCTGGCACCATTATGCAGTCAGTATCACATACATGAGCCGTGCACGCATAGTCTTGAAAGGCCGACCCTAGGCAACACAGTGACTAAGGTCTGGTTTCAATGATGGACTATTTTGGCATAGAGCAGGGATGGGCAACTTTGATGTGGGTGGGGGCCCCCCAAAAATCTGAACTCAACATGAGGGGCCACATTTGCTCGCAGGTCTGCGTACCCAGATGTGCATACCCCCCAACCACCACATTGCGAGTAAAACATTTTAGCAGCCTCCCTCTTGACAGTGAAGAGTCCATTTCGTGCAATTCTACACATTTTGCCATGGGGCGTAGAGAACATGTTGCAGTTTTAAAGTGAGTTTGCTGCAATTCTACACATTTTGCCATGGGGCGGAGAGAATTTTGAAGTTTTATTATATTATATCTGAGTGAGACTGACTAACAAAATAAATTGGGGCCTCCGGTCTGTAAATCGACCATGATTACTAAGTTTAGATAGTCTAGCGGCCAGCTAACTTACCAATCTAAAAAATGTTGCTGACATGGGCTAATTGAGTGACTATCAGTGACTGACATAATACAAAAACTGCTGATGCACAACCACATTTCGAAATTGCACCTTGTGCATCCTACTATTCTAACTCTCAACAGTAAGTTTGCAGGCAAAAACTTTTTAGTGCTTTTAGTTAAGGATGTAGACTGGCCACGTGATATTCACAAAAATAACCTCTGTGATCTTCATCTTGCTAGCTACTATTTTGTATTTTATTCAAGTTGATAAAGTAGTGACGTAGTTCCTCTATGCCAAAAGAGTCCATAATTGAAAGCAGACCCTAGTCACTGTGGAGCCTAGGGTCGGGGTTTCGAGACTAATGCAATTACGCTGCCCTGCTACTGCCCCCTAGCTGTGCGTGGTGTGGCTTTTTAGTTTGTTTTACTGAATGAAATGGTTCCCTTCGTTAAAGATGCACTATGCCGAAATCGCTCTGCCATTTCCTGATTGCTTGAATTCTAATAGTTAGCCTAATTTCAGTATATGTGACAAAACAAGCAAGTATAGTGTAGAGAATCATTGTACCATGTAAACCGCTGTGAAATATATATTTTCCATAACCAAAAATATTGTATTTTCAGCTGTTTGAAGCTGGTAAAACGCAAGTAAAAGACTTCAGAACGGTAAGCATAGAAATTGCACACATAGAACAGAACTACCGCTTGTTAGACTTGCTATATATTGTTGCAGAACAGTATTTTTATGGAAACGGAAAGCATGTAATGGCTGCTGTGGAACAGTATAAAAGTTTGTGGTCATACACACAACCTTAACTTAGGTGCTGGGATAATAAAGCCAACTGTTTATGCTCCCAAAAAAGCACTGAATTGGGGGCATAAACTGTGTGTGGGCCTCCCTGTTCTTTGCTGTGGTACAGTACACATCTGTCTGAGGAATGTGACAAATAAAAGTATCACGTTACGTGACGTTACACAGCAACTGCAGATCCAGAGCAGTCGGCAGAAGTCGCAATTCTGCTCCAGAACTCCTTTCGGCATCTAGTTACCTGCTCTAGTTACCAGATTCCTCCTACTCATTTACCCAGAAACACCCCCCACTGAATGATAGACTACATTTCTCAGAATTCAGTTGTATTCCATAACTCAGCCAATCAGAGTCCCCGTCTCTACTAAGTGCCCTACTCATTAAGATTATGGCAATAATATGCCCTGTGTTATCATTTTAGTTCAGACCATTTTTGTCTCATGAAATACTGTGTATATCAGCCCTATGAAACTGTTATTGCCTTAGTCTGGTCTGCTTTTGAATCCTGGATTTGTGAGACTGAATGTATATACAAGATAAGTATATTTTTGTGTGTCTTTTGAATAATGTTTGAAAGGGAGACAGTCCGGGTAAAAGCAGTCCTGCTGCTTGTGTTCTTTACTGTAAAAGTGATCTGAAGGGATTTGATGTGGTAGGCCTATTCTATGCGCATTTCAAATGGCTGTAGTTCAAATGACATTTCCTCAGTTCACGGCATGCTACCCGAGTATCTGTATCCAGAGACGATATCATGCAGATGCTTAAAACTCATCAAATTGCAGGCATTTTGTTGAAAGCCTGAAAAACATGGTATTGAAATGCATCTGCACTTCCGCAGAAAACTGGCTTAACAACTGTAAGTATTCAGCTGCATGAATGTCTTTTTATAAGAGATGAAATTCTGCACTGCAAGAATAATTTTCTTATTTCTGCAATAGTATAGGCTAACTGAGTATATCTGGTGTCTCTGGGAGTACGGTTGTGTATGAGTGTTAATGGTTTATTATGGTGCGTAGCATGACCCATAAACTGGTCCAAGTTTCTCTCAAGTTGTTTATTTTTAACCCCCCTAAGGTTCTGCAAAGGTCTTACAATGCCAGTAAGCTATGTGCTCATATGATTGGCTGTTTGTTTTGATAACTGTTACTGGACAGTCGTGTCCTACTGTATGGAACTGGACTGACTCCCTCTACTGGAAATGTTTAAATTCAGAAGTCCCTTTACCTTGTGGCGGATTTACCTGCTGTATAAAAGCAACGCTAACTGTGCCAATGAATGTCATGCTGTTATTTTTGTAAATGTTTTCCAACTTTTTAATAATTATAATTTTAGTGCGTGTTCTGAATCTGTGAAGTTTGGAGCTGCTTTCTTAATTCACTGTGGAATGTGAGACTACATACAAAAGTAAACTGCCAATGGATTTAAAGCAATTTATGAAGAAAAATATTATAGAATAAAACATTTTGTGCATGTTCTGCAGTTGCTGTTTAAGTGTGGAATTTGTTTCGGAGAATGTTTCTTTGGGGAATATCCAGTTAAATAAAATGTAATGCGCTGTAGCATTAGATTGGCATTACTGTGTTATGTCACACCTTTTACTCCATTGAGTAGCTTACAATATCGTACCAACAGGGGGAGACAAACATCTGAGAAAGAGCAGGGCTAGTCAGGACTATTCAGGTGCTGAGGTGACAGCAATTTCTGGGGTTATTGATTGAATATGAGGTATATGATATAGCGATAAGGTCATTATACATTTGTGTACTCTGCTTGAAATGTCTCATGTCCAGTTTAATCTAAAATAGTGTCTTCAGCAAACCTTCTATAATAGAGGTAGGTGACAGGAGGTCGCAGCCTGTTAGGCCCTGGCCGTGTGTCCTGACAGGCCTTGAGGCTGATAAAGTGGCATTGTTCTTGCTGAGGGAAGAACATTCTCAAGGTTCCAGATCTTGGCTGGAGTAGTTGCATAGAGCTCAAGTGGAGGGCTCGTCCCCAACACGCCAACCTCTCTAGAGCCCTCGAGTCTCACCACTTCTTTCCTAGTGTGCATGATGTAGCACATGCACAATACACGAGACTTGCAACACTTTACTTGGCCCTTGTGAGAGTAGTTCATTGAGATGCAAACCTCCCCTTGACTAAGCTCAGGGTCACAGTCTAGGACAGCCAGCTGCTTAGCCTTTGAAGGTTGCTGATACTGTCACCATGGCAGCCTCTTTTATGCCAAGTTTGAGGAACTTTAAAGCCCACTCACATTTCAATGTAGCGTTTCACCTAATGCACCCTGACTGCTAGCCCCAATACCACTATTACCAGACTAATCAAGGTTATATACAATATGATTCCTTATTGAAATGGAACGAGTTCTCATCCCTTATCCAAACTGTATCTACTACTCTGTGTACTCGCTAAAGCTGCGTTTATACTTGGTTCTAACATGCGTCCTTTGTCCTGATCTTGTCCACATTGTGATTGTGCCCACATTTTTACAGGTGTAGATTAGAAGACGGAGCCTCCTGACCACCTCCAGAGGTAGTCATACCCACATTGTCTGGATATCTTAGTCTAGGCAGATCTCGACAGTATAACCATTTAAATCATTATCCCGCTCTTTAAAATCAACATGATTTTTGGCATCAATGTGTCTTGAAATAATTTGCATACAAGGAGGGACCAGGATATCTGGTCACAATGCATACATAGTGGACAGATAACAATTTGACTACCATGTGTAGAAGCAATGGCTACAATATGGGCATAATCCGAATGTGGATAAATCATGATTATAGATTTCAAAATGCATAGGCAAAATATCTACTTTAACATTTTCTCAAAACAAATAGGCTAGCATGAATCAATATTAAGTATGTTATAGATCCAGTGTAAAAAAGACATTCATATTGAAATTACATTATTCCGACCCCCCTACTGTGAAGGAAAATATATTCTGATGTATACACTTTTTGAACTTTTCCTGTTGAAAAACAATATCCCACGTATAAATACAGTAATGTACACACACTTAAGAGTTAAAAAAATATGTAATAGCGCAAAATAGTTTTTTTTAGACAAGTGCTAACTTCGTCCTCTCGACTCCTTTTGAAAAAGGTCAAATGTAATCGAGGAGTCCGCGTGGAAAATGAATGTGGATGGAAATGCGCTTGCTTGAAATGACACTGACCTTCTCCACTCATGCGTCCTTAGGCAAATGACGCTTACGGGGTTGATCCCAAAATAAACATGTTAAGTGATTAAAACAAATTCAGTTAGTTGTGCAAGACATTTTATAGATAAAAACAATATGCTACTAATTGTTTTAAAATGTGTGCATCTTTCTTCTCTGACAAAACAAAAGCTGATTCAAAGAAGGTGTGGCAGATTTTCTAAACTCTTCCATTGTAGGATACACATGAGAATCCTCGATGAAAGGTGGCTATAGGTGGGTAGGACACGCTTCCATTTCCCTAATAATGACATGACACACTCCTCGACCACTTATTGGTTTCAGGTCACAGAGGAGAGAGGACGGTATTTTGCCCAAACGAGAATCTCCCATGGAGTAGGCCATTGGTCTGATGTAATTGGCCTCTCCCCAGGAAAAATAGAGAACAAAAGAGGAAAGGCCACCAATTGAGATGTGCCTTTTAAGTAAATCAAGTGATGAGCTAAAATGGAGACTGGAGTAGGACTTTAATAAATAAGAGTCACTCTAATATGCAGGATAAGAGCGCCATATGCTGATATGCATACTCTTAAGAACAGCATGTACCTGGGGAGACTTCCAGGAGGCATCCAGTCCAAAAGGCCAGGGGCTACGTCAGGAAGGTGCAACATTACAGAACATTGATAGAATTGACCCTTTTCCAAGCCCCGCCCTAGAATTTTGGGCAACCAATCGCAGTGCTCCAATGGAAAACAACTGTCGTGGAGTCAAGCTCTTGTTTCAAACACATGAAAGCCCGTGAGCAAATTAGATTTTTCTTCAAAAAATGTTTTTGTTTAAATGGCTAAATAATTTAGCAGTGCACCAGGGGTACTGCGATTCCTGGGGGGAAATTTTCTCCCAAGAAACAACATGGTGACACAGACAGGAGCAGCTCATAGTCATAGTCGCAGTGCTGACACTTCACTTCAGTAAATGCCTCAGTTGATCCTGAAGGTTTTTGGAGTGTTCCACACTGTGGAGAAAGCAACGGGAGATATGGTCGATTGCATCATCAAGTAGTGTTATGACTTTGAATTTGGACAGTGATGCAGCTCTAACATAAACAGAGTTCATATTTTGACTTACTTCTTCTGGATGGCCTCTTGTCTGGAAGATAAAACAAAGTCATTTTATTATGATATTGTCATCTCCCTAGTCAATGTTTATTATCCAAGCATAGCAATCCCTACAATGAGCACGAGAATCAATTCTGAACTATCATGTTTACCAGATGCACATTGGCCTATTTTGTCCAAAATAAACTGGGGAGAACTTACTGATATTGCAAATGGGTGGTGATGATGGACATTTTTCTCAAACTCTGTAAAACAAACAAATTGTGTTTTTGTTTTGTTGTACAATATCAGTACTAGATCAGGGTGAACACGGTTAGTTGAGCTACTGTAGTGTGGACCTGGATCCCTGTACTACTTACATCCTCTGAGTGCAGAATGGCATCCTCCTGAATGACCATGTTTCTGGCGGCCTGTCCCAGGAGCTGAAAGGGACATTGGGTAAATGTAAATAGTCTAAAGTGGCTTCCTCACCTCCCTCCCTTCCTTCCTTCCTTCCTTCCTTCCTTCCTACAGATAGAGTGAGAATGATAGGCAGTTCCTGACATGAATGAAGGAGGCAAGTGAAGTAGTTAAGGAAAGGACATAAGGAACTTAGATAGTGGGTAGCTCATATTGATGCACCCATCATGTGATGTAGCTGCTATGCAAATGAGCTCGCTAGCCTTGTCCAGCCTAACTTCCTAGGCAGCTAGATACCCCTGACGTTTCATGAAAAACTGACAACCAGACAATGTTCATTTGATACGCCATTTGCAACTTCAAACAGATGTAACAATGTTAATCTTGCTAATACAAGAGTCCTTAGCTAGCTAACGTTAGTTGGTCAGCGTTTCTATGTATTTTCTTGCTAGCTAGTTAAAGTTAGCTGTCTGTAGGGCAACCAGCTAGCTAACCAAATGCAGCAGGGTCTCACAATAAGGTGCGAATCGATTTGACACTAATTTCCAGTTTTTACCTCTTGACTCCGTGATCCCTTTAGCACCTGGCGAGTCAAGGCGATCACATCCCCGCTGCAGGAGCCCACTTTATCGGACAATAAACCTTTGACAGATTGACCAAACCGTGGTTGCGACTCCGCGGAAGCCATTGCAGCAAAGATTTTTTATAAATAACCCAAGATAGACCACAACGTGTCGTTTCCAATGGTAGCAAATGAATCATAGTGGGCGGAACAAGCAAGCGGGTGGACAGAGCCAAGCATGAGCTAGCAAGGTCCTATTGGCGCGTTCTAGCACGTATTTGCATTTTCCAATAGGGAACGCCTACTTTGAAGTAACTCAATTCGCACTTGCACTCCTAAACAACGCAATTTGTTTGGGTAAAGTCTACAAAACTTAATCCACTATGTTCGTAACAGATTTTAGTTTTGGGAACAGAAAACTTTGTCGAGATCAAATGTTTCATAGATCAGCCATCTTCTCCCACTGCCGGCCACTGGGCTTCCTCTTCATCACCATATTTGGTGGTGAGTGGAAACAACAGCCGAATGATTCAGATTTATACATCCGGTGAAACATCTGGCTCATTGTTTTATCTGTGATTGCAGTATTATGACTACGGAATTGTCACGAAAACGCCCACTCTTATACAGCCACAACATCTTTGAAACCCTAGAAAATAATTTTCAAAAGTCCATTGCCGTTATAAGATTAGGCTATTGGCGTCTCTGGCTTATATTGGCATTCCTTTATGCATAAAACATTAGTTAATTAATGCATTTAGTTTGCCTATTATAGGTTATTTGCAACAATATATATTGTTTTATCAAACATGTTTAGTGGGATTAATCAAAGTTAAACAAGCTTATCTTGTTTAAATTGGCATGAGCTGTTAAAGATATCTAAGCTTAAAATATGCAGGGTCAAGGTATGGCATTGAAGGAGCCGTATAAAACCACTCTGCTCCTCAGTGCTATTGCTATCGAAGTTCAGTGACCCTCTGAGTCTCAGATAACGACGCCAGCCCCTCTCGGCCCTACATACCACATGGCGTGGTTTTTGTGCGTGTGTGTATTCTCTGTGGTCGGGCTGGGTCTACTGATCTTGCAGGTGAAACTTCGGAGGTCCCTGGAGACCAGAGGGGGCCCCCCGAGCCTGCCCGCGCTCCCACTCATCGGGAGCCTGTTGAGCCTGCAAAGCAATCAGGCACCGCATGTCCTCTTCCAGAAGCTGCAGCAGAAGTATGGACAGACCTATTCTCTCATGATGGGCGCACACACAGTCATCCTAGTCAACCACCACCGGCACGCCAAAGAGGTCCTCCTTAAAAAGGGGAAAATCTTTGCAGGGAGACCCAGAACAGTGAGTGGTTGCATTTTCGTGAACCTGTTTTATTATATTCTATATGACCGAGACAATTTATAGTCAGCCTGATCATTTATTTGCAGATTATTTGCTTGTCTTTGATGCATTGTAACATTATATAATTGTGCCTGAAATGTAAATTAAAAATAATTGTAATGTGTAATGCATTGAATTTTTACAGTTAACATTTGTTACATAATCGTTGAGTGGCATTACTCACTCCTTATTCTCTCCCAGCCTACGTAATGCACTTTTTGTTCTTAACAAGGTAACCACAGACTTGTTGACGAGGGATGGTAAAGATATTGCCTTTGCAGACTACAGTGCCACTTGGAGATTTCACCGTAAAACAGTGCATGGAGCCTTGTGCATGTTTGGTGAGGGCTCTGCCTCCATCGAGAAGATTAGTGAGTATTAAACAATGTTTATATCCTTTATAGCAATTTGTTATTGAATCTGAATCAACTCAGAACACTCTGATTCAGGTGTACTGAAAACTAACTTTGGTAAACATTTTCTCTTTCTGTGTATCTCTGTGTCTCTCTGTGTCTCTGTGTCTCTGTGTCTCTCTGTGTCTCTGTGTCTCTCTGTGTCTCTGTGTCTCTGTGTCTCTCTCGCTCTCTGCAGTCTGTAGGGAGGCCCTCTCCCTGTGTGACACTCTGGGAGAGTCAGGGAGTGCATCGTTGGACTTGTCCCCAGAGCTGACGAGAGCTGTCACCAACGTGGTCTGCTCTCTCTGCTTTAGCTCCTCCTATTGCCGCGGTGACCCCGAGTTTGAGGCCATGCTGCAGTTCAGTCAGGGCATTGTGGATACAGTCGCTAAGGACAGTCTGGTGGACATCTTCCCCTGGCTACAGGTACAGTGCAACTTGTTGTTTAGATCCCCCTGGATGGAATGGACCAGCACAGCTCTCAGGTTTCCTTAGTGCCTCTCTACATGTCTTCTTCTCTCCCTCCTAGGTCTTCCCCAATAAAGACCTGCGCCTCCTAAAGCAGTGTGTGTCAATCAGAGACAAACTGCTTCAGAAGAAATACGAGGAACACAAGGTAGGCTACAGCAGGTAGGTATAATATGTACTTTCCTCTATATAAATACAATATAGAGGAAAGCACCTATTGTACCTCGTAATTTTTTATGAATATCAGGGTAATACCAGTTGCAGCAGGCTACAGTAGGTCATGGTGTATGACTGTGCTTTACGCTATCTTCCTCAACAGGCGGACTACAGCGATCATGAACAGAGAGACCTGCTGGATGCCCTGCTGAGGGCCAAACGCAGTGCTGAGAACAACAACACCGCCGAGATCACCACTGAGACCGTGGGCCTTAGTGAAGACCACCTGCTCATGACCGTGGGCGACATCTTTGGAGCCGGAGTGGAAACCACGTCAACGGTCCTAAAATGGGCAATTGCCTACCTCATCCACCATCCACAGGTGCAGAAGCGAATTCAGGAGGAGCTGGACAATGTGGTGGGGGGGGACAGACCCCCCCAGCTCAGTGACAGGGGGAGCCTGCCCTACCTGGAGGCCACCATTAGAGAGGTGCTACGCATCCGACCTGTTGCCCCTCTACTCATCCCACATGTAGCCCAAACAGACACCAGGTACACACACACATTAGTGTTTGGATCTAAAGACGTTTCTTTGTATTGATAGCAAGTTCACGCTGTTCCGTTTCTGTATGTATTTAATTTGCAGTATTGGCGAGTTCACTGTGAGGAAAGGTGCTCGCATCATCATCAACTTGTGGTCCCTGCATCACGATGAGAAAGAGTGGAAGAACCCAGAGCTGTTTGACCCTGGTGAGAATGTCTCAAGTTAATAGACTATTGATACCTCATTCTCTGTGTATTAGTGTCCTCAGTCCTCCCTGTGTGGTCAGTTTTCTGTGTCTCAGTCTTTCTATCTGTGTCTCCACAGGTCGCTTCCTGAACGCGGAGGGGACAGGTCTGTGCATCCCCTCGCCCAGCTACTTGCCATTTGGGGCAGGGGTGAGAGTGTGTCTGGGGGAGGCGCTGGCTAAGATGGAGATCTTCCTCTTCCTCTCCTGGATCCTACAGCGTTTAACGATGACTGTGTCCCCGGGCCAGCCACTGCCCAGCCTGGAAGGAAAGTTCGGGGTGGTCCTCCAGCCAGTCAAATACAAGGTCAATGCCACACCAAGAGCAGGCTGGGAGAAGAGCCATCTCCAGCCATCTTAGACCCCCCCCCACCCTTACCGAAGGAAATGGGTGTTAATGTTTAAACACTATTAGTGGTGCATTCGAATTGGCCTTGGAATCTCATAGCTCCCAGTTGGTGAAGTTGTGAAGACAATATAAATGCGTTCTAGTGCTTTTGAGGTCGGTACAACTCTTCAACGAATGAGATTTTAGCTAGAGGGCTAAGCTAGCTAACATTGCTAGTAATAAGTTAGTTAGCTAGCTGATGTTGATAATGTGTCAAACCATAGACTGTATGGGTCAAAGTAGCTTCTTTATCCACATAGCTAAAGGCTTTGTAAAGGCTTTGTTTTACCATCTTTTGGTCGACAAAGTGAAAGGTCATTGATAAATCGTCACAACTCGATGATACTCAGGTATCAACATTCTGGCCTGAGTTTCTCACTTCGAACCTGGAGGGCATTGACTTGGAGGGCATTGTACTGGCTATTTCGGAGTTGGGAACCCATATTTCAAAATTTCATAGAACATGGAAACAGGCTAAGGTTGTGATATGTTACGCAGAGACAGCACTTGTAATGACTGCTATTTTTCACTTAAGCATGTGTATGGATGTTGAACAATGCTGTATATTTTTTGCCTTACTGAGCTGTACTATTGTATTCACTGTTACTACTGTTTTACACAATACTGTGTCTTTTAGTGATAAAAATAAATAAATCATATAGCACTCTGTTCTTGACGTTTGGTCAAAGAAAACTAATCACAGTGTTTCCAGCTACAGAGAAGCTCCAAGTGGGAGTGTATTCTTGCAGAGAAGTCCCCTTAGTTGTGCTGGCATCCTAACAATATACTGTCCTTCCAAGTCAGACACACTCACAAAATGACCTCACTGACAAATAAATGTCAACAGCATAAAGGACATGTCATATTCAGCATTCTTTAATATCCATTAATTTGGCTGCGGTTTTGTACAAAAGGTTATCAATCAAATAGAAATTGCAATTTCTTTCAACAGATGATACAAGAGAAAGAGATACAAAACACAATTTTGCACCAAGGGCTTCTTCAATGGGAAGAAACCACAGATCTTTAAAAATACAAATATATTGTCATTTTTCTTAAATAATTCCCTATTTCTTCTAAAATACGTTGATATTGAAAAAAAAAAACGTAGTCTCCACACCTTGTAATTGGATTTTCAACGTTGCAGAACCAATTTTTTTAAGGTGTGGAGATAAAAACTAATGGCATTGACAAAATTATTGGCAACCTGGAGCTTGGTTGCACACAGCCTTTGGCCAAGATAACTGCTGGAAAATGCTTCTTGTAGCTGCACCTTTCTACTGCCAATTTGGCCCATTCTTCAGCTGCAAACTGTTCCAATTCTTAAATGCTGTTTTCAGATCTTGCCATAGGTTTTAGATGGGATTCAGATCTGGACTCATCGCTGGCCACTCCAGAACAGTCCAGCATTTATTCTTCAACCATTCCTATGTGCTTTCTGATGTGTGTTTGGGGTTGTCCTCCTGGAAGGAGGCTTCTGTTTTTCAACACCAAACCCACCACTGGTGTGCATGGCCAGAGCTCTATTTTCATGTCATCTGACAATAGCACCGGTTCCAATCCAATTGCCAATGCAGTTTATCAAACTCCAGGCGGTGTTATGGTCAGATTACATCAAAATAAAGCTCTTTGGCCACGCACACCAGTGGTGGGTTTGGTGTCGAAAAACTGAAGCATGAGCAGAAAAATACCTTATACCTACTGTAAAATATGGTGGTGCGTCTTTGATGTTATGGCGCTATTTTGCGTCCATTGATCCAGTGGCCCTTGTTAAGGTCAATGGCATAATTAACTTTACCCAGAAGCCTACCAGGACATTTTAGACAAAAACCTGGTTGCCTCTGCCAGGAGGCTGGCACTTGGCCACAACTGGATCTTCCAGCAAGACAATAACCCCAAGCACACATCAAAATCCACAAAGAAATGACCACAGAAACAACATTTTGCAAGGGCCACCTGTGGTTTTAATTGAAGAGGGCAGTCCATAAGCGTAGACGAAGGATATCAAGGATCTAGAAAGATGGAGGAATGATGATCTAAGATCCCTCCAAATATGTTCTCCAATCTCATAAAACATATTAGAAAAAGGCTCAGTGTCGTTATCCTCGCAAGGGGAGGGTGCTAGAGTATTGAAAACAGGGGTGCCAATAATTTTGAACCCTCTATTTTAGTATACAATATGGCTCAGTATTTGCATATTTATCAAGGGTGCCAATAATTATGGTCTATATAGAGCTCTGGCCATGCACACTTGAGACTCCTCACTTTTATTTTTCAGGGGTAACAGCAGTAAGGTTGAAAATACTGTATCCCTGAAAACCAAAAACATCCGCTTTCTGCCGACTCCGCGGAGAGTGGTCCGTCTATGGATGCCACATTCAGAGCTTTGCATATAGAAAAGTGAGACTAGACATTGCTCATTTGTCATATGGTGTAGAGAACTACAAGGTAGCATCACTCCTGCTATACAATATTTGCAACAGAAAACACTGTATCTCAGTTTAAGTAGGCCAGTGGACAGGGGCGCAACTTTGGTTTTAGAAGTGGGGGGGACATTCTATTTTTTTTTGTCCTCGGATAAACACTCCAAACAGCCTACCCGACCACTCGGAGGCGTCCGCATGGTCCTAAAGCACACCGTTGCATCGTTTTGTATCACATTACAATTATAAAACTGGGGGGGACAAAAAAGCTATTTCAGAATGTGGGGCCCCCGTGCCCAGTGAAAGTTGTGCCCCTGCCAGTGGATACAGGTGTTGAAATAGTTAAAAGCTTCCGCATGCTTCGGTTCGGCTACGAGTGTGCTTGCATACTCCCTTAAAATACCTTCACTTGAAAAACTAGAAAAAGGGGCAATAGTACTGTTTGTCCATCTTGAGACGCCGTAGCCAGTATACACTTCCTCATAATAGTCAGAATTAATCTAAGATAACTCAAGAAATCTGTCATTAATTTTGACATTTTTGCAGAGGAAAACTTAGTCATGCAATTTTACATATAACTACGATGTTTGGTGCAGTATTTCTCAAGATTTGTTTTTACAACAAACACTTTATTGAATAATCCCTACTGTGAACAATGACCGATGTAGGGGCATAGACTTTTGGCTGAGAATAAATGTTGTGTGCACAGACAGCCGAAAAAACCCTTGCCACCGATGCGGGCCGCTCCCGAGGACTATGGGCTCTCGTTCTCCGTGGCTGACCGGAGTAAGAGATTTAAGAGTGTTAAACCTCGCAAGGCTGCCGGGCCAGACGGCATCCCTATTCGCGTCCTCAGAGCATGCGCAGACCAGTTGGCTGGAGTATTTACAGTCATATTCAATCTCTCCCTATCCCAGTCTGCTGTCTCCACTTGCTTCAAGATGTCCACCATTGTTCCTGAACTAAATGACTATCGCCCCTTAGCACTCACTTCTGTCATCATGAAGTGTTTTGAGAGGCTAGTCAAGGATCATATCAGCTCCACCTTACCTGACACCCTAGACCCACTGCATACCGCCCCAATAGATCCACAGACTATGCAATCGCCATCGCACTGCACACTGCCCTATCCCATCTGGACAAGAGGAATATCTGTGTAAGAATGCTGTTCATTGGCTACAGCCTTCAACACCATAGTACCCTCCAAGCTCATCATTAAGCTCGGGGCCCTGGGTCTGAACCCTGCCCTGTGCAACTGGGTCCTGGACTTCCTGACGGGCCACCCCCAGGTGGTGAAAGTAGGAAACAACACCTCCACTATGCTGATCCTCAACTAAGGGGCCAAATAATGTCCCCGGCCAAAAAGGGTCCCCCTCTGCATCACAATGGGATTCGATAAACTATTAGCGTCCATTGCTATATCAACGGTGTGATGACCTAATGATTAGAATTCTGGAGATCATTACAGCCTAAATTACATTCTTTTCATCATCGCTATGCAAACAAGGCTGATTTCCGCAACAATTTCGCTGTTTAGACAAGTTTTGTTTAACTAATAAAATGAAAACATTACTTCAAACTACTTTTGGGTACCTTGTTAACATTACAACATGAAATCCATGTCTTAAACGTTGTTACGTTTCGGAAATGGCAAAGAAAACGTGTAATCTACTTGACACATTAAAGTTACTTACCTTACAGATCACGAAGTCAGCTAATTTCCATTGGCTTGTCTGGCTGTCATGTTTTTATTTTAACCTGCCCTTCCCTTATCTACACTGAAATAATATAATTTCAGAAGTCCTCTATTATGATTAATCTTTTTCTATCTCACATAGCTCATTAGTACACCCCTGTGGTTTAATATATATGTATCTATTGTAGGACCTAGGACACAACAATGAATAATGTGGAACAAATAAGTACCATCAAAGGATACCTTACAACTTACAATAATGAACACCTTATGAAACAGCTGTGAAAACCAACCTGGCAATATTTAAGATTTTAATACATAAACTTTGATCGTTTTTGGTACAATTGTGTCATTAATTTATTTTCAGATTTTTTGTACACTCACATGGCAATCATAGACTAAAATACTGAATTCTGGTGTGTGGAATATTGAGGAGGTGGTTGCTGTGTGGGTGGGAGGTTCTGCCTGTCACTTGTTCTCAAAAGGCAGCCAGTCTCAGAAGGGGGACTTGAAGAGGGAGACTGCAAAGTCCAGGCACTGCTGCTCTCTTTGTTCTGAGTGTTTGCAGTGCTAGTGTTTTGAGTTAATCTGTGTATCTCACATACAGTGGCTTGCGAATGTATTTACATTTACATTTTAGTCATTTAGCAGACGCTCTTATCCAGAGCGACTTACAGTTAGTGCATACATTATTTTTATTTTTTCATACCCCCTGTGGGAATCGAACCCACAACCAGGGACGGCTTGTTCAATAGGGCGATATGGGCGACGCACTGCCAAACGGGAAAAGGAAGGGATTTTTTTTCTAATCAATTATATCACGGCAACAGCAGTTATCAGTGTTCACGTCTGAT